TGGGATATTTGAAAGGGAAGGAAATTTTGGCGTAAGTCAAATTTGGGAACGATTCTATCATAAATGTTATTACTTGAACAGTACGCAAAAATGGATACAAATAGTAGCAATTTTCTATTATTTCATAAAATCTTTCATTCTTGCTTTATGGCTTATACATGCCAACGGCCAACATCACCAGGCAAGTTTCCGTTTCTTCTTTTTCATTTTTTATTTATCGCATTGTTTATTCTGTGACATGGATACGTATATTTTTCATCAGGATTGAAAACGATCGATACTTCTTACTCATATGTTCTATTCCTTCAGTTTTTTTTTGAAATTACTCTTCATATACAATATCTTCGTCAAAATTTTGAAATTGCTTCACACTTGACTGTTTTACTTTGCTTCGTCACTACTAGGATGTTATCTGATGTAATCTAAATGTAATTCTCGAAATATTTTCCATTTTTGTTCGAGTCATGTGAAAAATTGGGTAATGGAATCCATTACAAATTCAATCAAATTTTTAGGTAAAATATTTAAGCAATTACATTACTTGAAGTTGAAGTATACTTTTGATTATATAAAAAATTTGTAGATAGGTTGCATTTTTTTCCAGAAAGTTACTCTATTTATTGGTCGTATTATTTGAATGGTTCTTTGAGTTGAATAATTAATGAATTTCATCTCGCGAACTATTAGATTATTAATTGCTACTATCTTAAAACTCAAACAAAAGAGGCAGTATGAAACTTTTCTAGATATCAAATAGTAATTTATCAAAATTTATAAAATTGATTTTCTTTTTATTCTCCAATGTTTTAACTTAACTCTATTTCAGCATATATCAAACTGGTGGCAGCATTTTTGATTACCGCAGCAGTGTTAACATTTTTTGCGTTCTTCCTCAATCTATTCGGTTTACGAGCACAAGATTTGCATAGAAAATATGTTTTCTATAAATTTGCCACTTATCTTTCTTTATTAGGAGGTGGGTTTGATGTTTCTCTATCAAGTAATTATTTTATATACATTGTTAGCTTAGGTTTATCACTTATTGGATAATTTTTATCAACATTATTAATCAATTTTATCAAATGTTTCAAAATGCAAATAAAAAGGGAAATTTTGACACACCAAAATATTAACATTTTATTTCTTCTGATAGTGGAAAACAACGAAACTTCTCTCTTAAATTAGATGATTTTAGAAGTTTTCATGTGTTTTCTGCAATTTGTTAACTATTCATTGTCTCATTTCAGTATTCCTAGAACTCATATCTTTAATCGTGTTTCCCGTATGTTTTTACGTTGAGATGAAGAATTTCGGTTATCGAAATTGGGAATTCGATTGGTCATACGGTATTGCCTGGGGTGCAACATTGTTTGCATTTGGCGCATCACTGTTATTGATATGTGATAAAGAACATGAAGAGGTGTATTTCAAGGAGAAAACAATATACAATCCACCACCAGAATTAAAATAATTTTCATTATAGAAATGAAATTTTCATAAACTTCATTTGAAGAATTCTTGGAGATGTATTCCTAGTAGGCATCTTTAGAACTGTAATTGATTTCCTCTGGTAAAGTTATATCCATTTAAATTTTCAAGTGTTTTTGGATTGGGAAGAAAAATCTCAAGTTTCCGAAAAATTAAATAGAGAAATTGTTTTTTGAGAACAAAATTACAATTCCGATTGACAGTATAAATATTTCTTTCTCATATTTTTGTTTGAAGTAGTATTTTTTAGCTTTCATATTCCTGGTTTAATCGGTGATATGCGCATTTTTTTGTGATAAGTAATAGAACTCATTGCATGCACATGGTGACATATTTTATTGGAAATCCTATTAAATGCCTTAAGTTTATTGAACTGTTTTATACATATTGCATTTTGCTTCTTTGTGTATAGGTCAGTGCTTGTTGCGTTCACGCCTGTTGAGCTTATTTTTTTGAATTGCATTTCTTTTTTGAATTGATTTTATTTATAATCTCTTAATTACAGTATTCACAGAGAATATTTTTTTGAAAAATACAACGTGGTTTTGAATCAATATTTTCTAGAGATGCCAAAAGCAGCATATCTGAATCTAATCGGAATTATGAAAAACTTTAGCATTGCAACAGTAATGATAGGAAGTGATCGGAAAGCAAAAGTTATTGTATGATTTAGGCAACGGAATTCTTTTTCCCTATCTTTAACATTTGACTGATGAGAAGTGTTATGAAAAAATTGATCTTTCACATAATTATTTTCTTGTTGATGCTATAAGACAGCAGTTTTCTGTCTACTATTGTTTTTCTGTCAATTGTTTTAATCAGTTTCTAAATGAATTTATGATGATAAACTTGTAATTGTTATAAGAGCAATGTCAAAGGTTTCTTTGTTGCGATAAACAATATAAATCGCAGTTTCTTGATAGTTAAAATATTCTCGATTGTTTGCGAAATTCGTAATTGTGAGATGATTTTATTTATACCTGGATAGCATGGAATACTGACTGGAGTGTTTTTTGTTTATGATTTCTGTGATCTTAAACTAACCATTCAGGATTTTCAAGGTTTTTGAAAACTGTTTAAACAGTCTTTTGAGAAGTAAGATTTCATGCTTCACGTTGAATCTAAGCGTTTTTAATAAGTTAGTTTGGTTTCCTTATGTCAAATGACAGCCTTTTGTTGTTTCTTGACGCAAAATATAAATGCATGACGGTTGGTAATTCATATGACAGCAAAGAACTGAAGTGGAATGAAGAAGAATTGAGGAATAAATCGGAATGCATGTAGTTTTCGTAATTTTAATAACTACCACTGATAGTTATCTTTTCTTCACTGTTGAAGTTCAGTTGATTTGTTTCTGTGATTTTTTTCATGATTTCTCCATGTAAAAATAGCAAACAAACTTCATTCTTAACAATCCGGATGATTGAATTAGCTAAAAATATGCTATCATATCATTCTTTGGCCTGATTCCTATATTTCGTTTATGATAAATTCAAGTGGTTAAGAAAAGCAATGTTGAACGGTTGGCCTATCTAACACTATCAACAGCAAAAACTTGATAAAAATATCGTGTCACCTTGAGATACAATTAATTGAGTTATGTTCCTTATGCTTTATCACTGAAACACATTAAACATAATTTGTAAATAAAGAGACATGTCATCCATCTATCGGAATTCACGAAGTCGTTCAAGAAAATTTAGCTGAAAATTACATAAAGGTCATTTTTTCGAAAATTCCGAGAGGGAAGATGATAACTTTTATGCAACAGTTGTAACCAATCCGATCGCTAGATATATGAACAAATTTCGACTGTTTATTTCGGATGATACATGCAAGCTATAGAAACCACTGAAGATTTCGTACTTGCTATCATGCCAGCGTTTTGCATCATATGAGTGATTAAAGGAGTAATATGTGGATTTATCAATTAGCAATTCAGTAAGATATAAGCACTAAAGCAGTAAATGATAATAGATGAATAAGAGCTAAGACATCTAGATAAGGTGTGAAATTTATTATCCTTTTAAAAATTGCATAAATCACCTTAGTAATTTGAAAAAGATTTTAGAAAAGAAGGGATTTATTTTAGTCAAAGTTTTTAAATCTTTTCTAGTAAGAAGTGGAAGAAAAGAAATGAGAAGATAATTCTGAATGAAACTATATTTAAATTCTTTGAGCAATACTCTCTTTTATCACTAAATTAACTCAAAACTTTCGACTGTAACATTACGGTTGAAGTATTGAACTCTCTAAATTCGAGCACTAAGAACGACACATTCCGTAAAAGCAAGAGACATTGCGGTTGAAGCATTGAGTTCTTTAAGTCCTAACACTAGATTTCAAGATTGCTGAAAAGGATAAGACAAAAAAAAGGGAAAACTAGCAGAACATACGTAATATGTCATCAGTTCATATGGAGGCTTTTTATCATTTTTGGATTAACAACTTATTAGTCGTGGTGATATGAAGAATCCACAGAATGAAAATGTAAGACATAGTCATCGGATTGATGCATGAACTGTATAACATTTGCCATTAGTTAAAATTTATTTGAAACAATTTCGCAACAATGATATCATTTATCAGCTGCTCGTCTAAATATCTGAATGATTGGTATCATTTGACTCTATTTTGTGACAAGTGAAAATTTAATGCACAATTCAAACAAAACTTTCGGTCACAATTTCAAAATAAAAACGGAAGGAAAAACAAACACGTTCCAATATGGGAAAATTAAATAACAACTTAAAAAGCAAAAACGATTTAAAAAATACGTAAATCCACATGGAAAAAGTGCATGAATGAATGTAATAAAACAGCTTGAGTGCTAACAATGAACAGTCAGCCTTCGAAATCGGGAATTGTAAAAATGAATCAAAGAAATATTAAAGGTACAGAAACGGGCCTGAGCAATATAGTGCACTATATGAGCAAATGTTTCACAAAGAACTATTATGATAAAATGCATATGATATTGTAATGTTAAAAAAGTGGCTTTATGATAGAAAAAGAAGATAAAATTAAACAAAATAAGATGAGCATAACAAATAAAGGAAAAGAGCAAAAGCAAATGCAATGTCTTGGAGAAAGCTATCAATAAATTAGATGTTTGAAAATGCAAAAATTTATTTTTGCATTTTTTATTTTTTTTGAAAAAAAATTTTTTAGTAGAAATTACAACAGGAATTACAGTTATGTGCTGTAGAAATATATGCAGTAAATGAAGAAAACAGATTTACGCATGATTTACGAATAATAATAACAACAAAGACAAAGGGCAAAATAAATATAAGGCAAACGTACAGATGGCGCAAGAGGTTGTTTTAAACACTATAACATAGAACAAATATGCACTAAATAAAAATATGCAACAGTACAAATCAGTGTTTGGAAAAATTTGAAAGATGTTTTGAAAAAATTGCAGCATATTTCAGGAACAGAAATGAAATTGAAATCAAACAATTTAAATGCTATAAATCTATACATTTTCATCTTTATACTACTAACAATTACTCTTCCTTCCAACCTTCAGCAAATTCAGATCCTTCACATTCTGAAGTCCCATGGAACCATTCTTCCACATCTTCATATATTTTTGTTGGTCGCTCCTCTAGTAATGCCTCACATAACTTGCAGAAATGAAATCTGAAAGCACTACCAATTTCGTAAAGTATTAGACTTCGATTGATTATACCCATCCTAAAACTGTTAATAAAACTTAATGTGTATTAAAATTGATACACATAAGTCCAATAATGACTCTGATGATGTAAAATCAAATGCAAACCTGTATCCAGTGTTCTGGTACGCTCGAACCCAACCATCGCGACGCCATTTAAAATATTCCAAATAAGCTGTTTTATTAGACATCAGTGCAATCAAATAATTGGCCATGGCTTGAGCGCTTTCAAAATCATCCATAGGAATAAAGGAGTGTTGAGGAATTAAGCTTAAAATTCATTCAAAATTACTTACAAGAATAAAAAATCACAAAATTACTCAAAATTACTTAAAAGAAAGTATTTCTCCGTGACATAATTCTTACAAACAGTATTTTCAATAGGCCCTACGCAATACAAATACCGAAAATTACACGAGATGATAAGATTTTAACAAGCAATGAAAAGACAAGTATGAACTAACTTTTCATACGTCTTCCGTCTCATAACGATAGGAACACTTGGTAGATGATATCGATCGAAGTATTTCTCCGTAACATAATTTTTACAAATAGCATTTTCAATTGCAATGTAGAAGAAATTCATTGCACCAAGATCTTTTTCACATTCAGAACCTCTTTTACATGCATCACGTTTGTAGGGATTATCTGCACATGCCCCATATTTATCTATCATTATGTATCTAAAATAATTTTTGAAAAAGTTTTCGAACAGTCACCTATATTTCAACTAAGTTTCTTTTTAGGAGGATAAATGGTAGCTTTGGGAATGAATAATCAGAATGAAGCTTTAAATAACAATAAAAGTCATATATACTCGATGCATTTTATGGAAAACCGAATTACTTTATTTTTGGAAAAGAGAATTGAAATTTTTAGATATTTTATGAACGCAAATAAAGCTCACTTTCCAAGTTTCTCAACAGCTAATTCTCGTTTTGAAATTGTATTGCAATTCGATACCAACCAAAATATTGCACTACTTTTATTTTTCAATATTGTTTTTTCATCATAAGGCAGGTTTTCGGGCTCAAAACCAAGTCCTTTATTTATTTCGGGACTAATCCAATAACCTCCGTAAACCCATGGGATATCTGAATCATATCGATATGTCATTGTCCAGTTGAAAAAATTACCTGAAAAATAAGTTAGATAAACAATTATATCACAACAATGTTCGCACCAAATGATAAAAACACAGAATGGATAGGTAAAAAACGACGATTCGCAATGAGTATTAGGTTTTTTATTATACTGTAAGTTTTCATATTATCTTCCTGTTGAAAACTTAAGATATAGAGAAACTGCTGCGTTCCACCCTGTTATAACCTGGGCAGATGAGAATAACTTTATTTCATAGACTATGATAACAAGAAAAACGAACGAGGTGCATGCAGTGCATCCCTTTGCCACAGCTTATAATTCGGAGGTGCTTCTACCGTTAAAAATACATATCGTTGTGATGGTGACCTCCTTTTTGGTAAATCGTTTAAGCGAAAATCTTCAGTCATAAAGTGGAAAATGACAGCGTCAGCGCTGTCAACCAAAGATCGATCTGCCGTAACCATACACTTGTCCTAAATAAATATTCGAAACTTTCATAAAGCACTCCTCTCCAATACTATAATCAACAAAAAAGGTATGTTTTATCTGCCATTATATATTGGTACCAATAATGACGAGCTTCTCATGTTCTCTTCATCAAGGTCCTTCAATTCTAGAATTATTAAACTATCGCTCCTTTCCCACTATTGTTATGCCTCTTTTCGCATTTTAGAGAGCCTATTTTACAGCATAAAATGAACAAATCGTTGCTTACCTTTAAATCAGGGCATTCATTCATGAGGTAGAGACGATCTTCCGGTAATTCGCTAAAGAAAGTTGTCCACATGAGTATCAATTTTTGTTTTATTTTTACTATTTGTTGTTGCTCATGTGAATAAATAGTAGTCTGGACCGTCTGATAACGAGAGAAAAATAAATCCAGCACTACTCTCGAAATAATAAAATAGAAAAAACAGATAGTAACAAGACCGGTGAGAATTCGAAAATGTAATTGGATCATTTCCTTAATCACACCAGCCAATGATGCTGTAAAATTTCCTATAATGTATATGATTTGGCCCAGCTCTAAAACACAAAGAAACTTAAAATCATACATTAAACATATCAGAAATAATTTGGCGCTGCCATCGAAATTAGCGACAACAAAAACAACATAACAAAAATTAGATGTCCTTAAGCAACTACGTTTCCGTGACTTCACTCCCCGAAAAAAATTTCTATTCTGGATTTAGTTCAGATACTCTTCAAATTAAACTTCTATTAGCAATTTAAAATGAAATGAAAGTCTGTTAGAACAAATTATACCATAACAAATGACAATATAGTGAATAAAAATTTATTTACAAAATACTGACATCCGCTCATGCATTTTTCAAGATTTTTAAGCTGAATTTATCCATGATACTTTTTTACTGAAAGAAACAATGCTTTTATGACAAGGATAGGAATTAATCAAAAACTTAGATTATAACGATAACGACGGTAAGAACAGATTTTTGTACCTCCGAAATCATAGTGGTCACATTTTAAGTGTACATAATTCACAAAATCAATTCAAACTATAATTAAAATACTGCTGTTGCAATACTATCAGCGGTATTTCATTAAATCTGGTTCTTCTCTTCTAAGAACTTTACTCGTTGTGTTGCTACTATCCACCAAATCTCTCTCATCATATCTGAAATGACAACAGTGATGTATGAAAAAGTGATTTCTTGAGAATTGTGTCCTTCAAATCACTTTGAGAAGTAATATCGCTTAATTCTACTATGTATATTTTTGGATATCACAAAAGTGGTCATGATTTTCTGATTTTCTGTTAAATATTAACTGAGAAACTACTTCAAAAATAAATCCTGGATTCCAAATTCACAAAATTATTAACATTATATATGATAAGGTTTAAAAAAAGATTTCTAATAACTAGTATTTGGAGAAAATTACAGGTCTTCTCTTCAGACGATTATCTTTGTTCTATAAAAATTCCCAATAAAATTATTACGTGAAGTTTACCAATGCATGAAAAGGTTTTATTATAAAGAATTATTACAAAACTGGATAAAAAACTTACAAGCCTTCGCCCGATACCAAAAAATGTGATCTAAATTTTAAAACTTTCATATAACATTAATATGTACTTTGTAGCGATTGTGTGGTTCTTTGGTTTAAAAAAACCGGTTCGTCGAAGTTTTTCACCTCGATATCCTAAACCTTTCCTTTCATTGCTAGTTTGAGCACCGCCGATTTCTTCCATCTCCACTGAAACAGTTTCGAGACGTCCCAAATTATGTGGACCAAGACCCAAACCAGGACACCAACCGCAGCTGAAATAAAAGATCACGATTCAGTGTGTATAACTGCAAAATCCTGAGCAATGAATTTCCTTAGATGAAATCAATGAAATCCGCAAATCCTTTAGAAACTCGATAATATTAATCTATAAATTCTTCACAACCTTTTCATGATTTTACTGCCGATTCCCCTTGTATGAACTTCAAATTGACCGAAGCCGATAGCAGATGAAGGCCTCTCAATGCTTTCGTAATGTCTTTTCATCAACTTTTTTTTGAAAACTGAACGGACAACTTCACCAGATCTGTAAATTATGAATGAAGACAAATAAAGAAGTTCTCAATAAACTTTGCACAAAACTAATTTTGCGTTTTTCGAAAAAAAAATTTCGGATAAATGATATATGGAAAATTCATAAATAATAAAGTGAATAAAAAGAAAAAAATCTGTGAATTAACCATCTATTTTCTTTATCGATTTCCTAATTTCTTTAACACTGCATCTCTCCATAATTTTCCATATATCCTTTAACATAAGAGTTTTTTTTATGCCGTAATTTGTGATGCAATAATCCTGTCCAATAGAAAAGTTGAATAAGTCTTATAAACTAAATTAGCAAACCCTTATCTTAACTTAAGATTAGTCGACAGGAGCATAGAAATCAAAATGAGAGTTAATCTTAGTCAAAACAAAAACAAGAGTAGAAATGTTTGTAAAATCTTTTCCCTCACCTCAACTTTTGATCCTCCATCATTTCTACTGACTGCCTGGCATCCAAATCACCATCTTTTTGATCATAATAAATAGAATAATCAACATCCCAATCATCAACCCATTTCCAATCGCTATCTGTCCCTTCTTCTAATTCATTCCAAAAAAACGAATCCGTGTACCAAACAAGGCCTGGTCCTCCCTTCTCCCATGTCACCTGCAAAAACGTTGATTTTTCAGCTACTATTTATAGCCTTAATAATAACCTGAACAAGGGATTCGTGAGTTATCACTAGGAATATGAATCCATATGCAATTACGATATGATTTCAAACCTCTTGCTCTGTCTCATACTTTCTCGGCTTAGTACGTTCTTGCTCAGTAACATCGTCGTGAAGAGCCTCGTGACTGCAATAAATATATTGCCACTCAAAAAGAGCTTGGCAGAAACACAATATAAACTACAGTCTCTTAATTAATGAAAAATTAATAAATTTTAGCTGTTAATCAAAATGAAAACAAATTATCTCCAATTAAAGAATTCAAATGATACAGTTTTAGGTAAAAATTAGGAAGGAAATGACACTATTTTTCTGAGAATCAAAATTGAAAACCTTACCGTTCCCACTCTTCACAACGGTCATCGTCATCCTCTGATCTGCTGTCATTTACCAGTTCAAATTTATTATCAAAGGTATCTTCCGAAGTGCATGAATTTAGATCCAGAGACGAAGATGTAACCGTTTCCTCTAAACATAGAAGACGATGGAAATGTTACTAAATTACAGAAAAAGAGATAATCTACTTAAAGGTTTGTCTAAATTTTTGAGTTTTTAAAATGTGAGCTGAAATATGTATATGAAAATGGGAAATTTGAGAATAACATGCAATTCTAAAATGTTATTCTCAAACTCCTCATTTTCATATACATATTTCAATACATGAACCACTGTTCTCACAAATAAATAAAAAAAATAAATAATGAGATAATAAGTTGCACCTTCACAATCTACAACAGTAGCTTCTTTATTTCCATCGTATTTGAAACAAACCGCGCCGTACTTGCCTACACACTTTTTAGCTTTGATACCCAATTTTATAAGAACGGTTGGCGGTAATTTGCAAAGGCGAATCTAAAATCAATCGTTAGTAAATCAAACAGAATCAAATTGAGATGTTCATATTATGGCGAAAGTAAGGCTCGTATTACAGAAAAGTAGCATCAAGCATGCTTGGAAATTTTACAATGAGAAAAAATTATTTCGAATAAAATATCCACCTGTTCATAGAAAAATTTTGTTGGAGTGCCAACGTTTCCAAGAGGCATAAGACTTGGTGGTTTGAGTTCGATAAGGGAACGAAAATCCGAGTTTGCTGACATCGGACTGCTGCTATCTGATATCTAGAAACGAAAAAATAACACATATGTTAAACATGAAAGGCTGAAGAGAACTGTCCTTGCAATTCCAAACTTGAGAGATCAAAGAAGAAATGAGAAAGTAAAAAGTAAAATCAACAAATTATTTGCAATCAGAATTGATAAAAACAGTCACTGATAAATAAAAAGGATAAAGAATTGGTGAGACATAAAGTCAGGAAAAAATTAAAGGAATAAAATCAACCAGGTCAATTCCTGAACCATCTAAAGAATGCAAAATTTTCTTTTCATTATAATGCTCGCATTATGTCAACAAATAACAAAGAGCAAACTGGAATAAGTTCAATAATAACCTCGCAAGATTTCAAAGGAAAAATAAAACATTTTAGCGGCATTTGAAGTCCTTTCTCATCAATCCAGAACTTCAAATGATACTGCCTGATACATGCAGTTCGCTCCTCTTTGTTTTTAAATGAAACAACGCAGCAAAAACGTTTATACTCCTTGGAAGTGGACGGTTTGTCTGCATTACTATCAATCTGAAATACAAAATTTGCTTTTTTGATATTCAAAGCGTCACGAAATCTAATAATCAAAACTTATACTAATATTTTCAAATTTAGCTTACATGTATTTCGGGTCGATGCCGGTAGTGGAAACAGTGAAATCGTTCATTTTCGACATAATGTGAGAAGAAATATCGCAAGTGTCTTGCATGATATGCCTTCGGAATATTGCGGACAATTGCATAAGCTTCTGAACAAAGAAAAAAATTATGTTTTACTTCAAAACGTCAAACAAAGAAAAGAAAATTAAATTATGTTTAACAGTGAATGACTAAAAGCGAATCTGCTAACTTTTTTTCTACTAAAACAGCTTTTTTACTTTTTATGTCAATTACATTCATGCAAATTCAACAGCTGTATAGCTTTACTAGGACAAAAATAATACAAAAGTTTCAACGACCTATATCAGAATTGTTCAGCAATCTGTAGCTTTAGCAAATTAATGGAGATTTTTAAGTAAATACACAAAATCACCGGTCTTCAATAATTTAAATGAATTTTTTCATGCAACGAATATTTGTAAAGATGGATAGATCGACAACTCTCATGAAGCATTTTTCCAAATGTGTAGAAAAAGTTAGCAAGATAACATAATAGTCCTTTGTTAATAAGATGAGAAAAGAATCACAAAAAATAGTAACAAACGATAAATCATAAATCAAGAAAGATGAAGTTGAAGTTTGTGATAAATCATAAATCATGTAAGACGAAATCAAATAAAAACATGAAACCACGAATTATGCAGCAAGATTAATTATAAAAAGCAAAAACGTACCCTGCCCTGATAACGCAGACTTCTTTATCGAAAGAGCAGTATTAGATTGCGTTTTTTCGACCTTATTCATCTTTAAACTGTACACAGTCTCTTCTACCGACTATTCCAACCAATCATCCATCATTCCATTACCCTATATGCACCCATATATATTAACCAAAGCCATAAATGAACATTTCTGGTCATCATTCGATCTGGTATTGAAATCTTAGTTTATCTTTATTTTATTGTATGAGGAAGATAAGAATTGGAAAAGGCTAACAAGATAAGCTATGCATTCTGCATTTAAAGATCATCCACAGCGAAATCGGCCGCTGAGACGGCAGATATTCCATATAAATAGCCTATTGGATAAAATTTATCATTGAATTATTAAATTACCTCTCATATATCACATATTCATATTTTAACATTTCATACCTAATTGATTTAATATGCAAAAAAAGGAGACACAGTTACAAGCAACAACTTTAGAAGCTAGTAAGCCTGTACAGACCATAACAGAAAAGGTCAACCAACCCCATAAAATACAAAAGGTCAATAAACACCCAACTCATCCGCTTAACCCGCCATCGAGAAATACTTGCTCACAAACCACTTTCAACTATTGTTTCAGGAGCCACTGTTCAAATAGCAACTTGATACCTTTCAATCCTTATTACGACTATGCAGTATCCCAAGCTCACTTTGTTCAATAAGCTGCAATGTTGACACCTCGAAACGAATACAGATGCTTTATTCAAATTTTGTTAAATCATTTTCCTTCCAAAATTCTGGAAAAGATAAAATTTCATCAATGAAAGCAGAAGCAGAAAGTACGGAAATTATTAGCAACAGAAAAGGAATATACGGAAAAGTACAGAAATTTTACAACAAAGTTTGCAAAGGCTCTCATTTCAAATAACGATAACGTAGAGTGGAAGTATCGCAGGCAAGAGCTTCAGGTTGCCCCATGCTAATCTTCGATGAGCACTGAAACGAACCCAACACATTTGGAAATCAAAATGTACAGGACTCCAAATTTTGTTAAAGCTACCTTAATATGCATGTGAGCAAATAATTATGACCGACTACAATATGAAACTAAGCATATGTGCATTCATTCAAGAATTCCAGGAATCAATACAAAAAAGTACTTAAGGATCTAAGATAATCGAACACTTGCCGGTATGGAAACAGAATTTAGAATTTGAAAGTAGAAAAGTAAGATGATGATTTGGCAGGATTTGGTCTTCCACAAATTAACAAAATTCAATAGTGCAGTGAAGATATCAAATGCAACTGTTATCTGTATGTAATTACTCAGAAATATATATATATATATAAATTATATATACATAATAATAATAGTTATTTAAAAGAACTGCTATATAACCACACCTACTGCATTCCATTAATGAGGAAACAGAATAGCCAGATAACATAAAGTGGAATTGACAAACAAAAATAAGTAAAATGAAGAAAACAAAAAACGGCGTAGTCAATTTTATGCAGTTATTTTGATTACTACCTATATATTAATCGCAGATAGAAAACAAAAAGGAATACATCAAATACAAAGAGTTATAGACAATGAAAAAAGTTTAAGACGAATACCGCTTCCATCTTAAAAATCATCATTCCCATTTCAATGAAAAATCGAGACTCGAACTCGCAGAATTTTGAAAGCAATTTTCAGAACCTTCTTCAGCTTCCTCCTAAAGACATTTAATTTTTAGTATTTTGATTTATGATTCATTCACAATGCTTTTGTGCCGTTTTGCACAAAGCAACAATTAGAACTGATTTTCACTTAAACTTCAAAACTTTCAAAGGTTTCGGCTTTCAAAATGGTAATTGAAAGAATAAAAATGTTATCGGAAAATGCCACATACCGCAACCGTCGACGACGCGAGCATTAATAAACGATGAGCAATAGGGAAATTATCTCGCTGCAGCAAATGTAATAAAGCATTAGCTGAACGGCCATATTCCACCGGGCAACTAAAAGTTATATATCATATCTTCGATTGCTGTTACTCTGTTGCAGGATTGCAAAGTATTTTCAATGCAATAAAAAGAGAAAAGGATTTACCTTAAACAGAATAAAAGAGATTTATCAAACTGTTGTTTTTTGTTAGTACTTTCTTTTGCTGAAAAGCATTCTATATTATAAAAACGAAAAAGAACCACATAGCAAGCCTTTTTTAACCTTTCAGTTTTTAACTTGAATTAACAGCTAACTTTCAGATCAGAAATTTTTTTCACATAAAAGATACCTGCAGATGAAAATAACCACTGGGCAGCATAAAACCATTTTTGTTCAATGTTTTTTATATGAAACAAAATGCTACTATTAGTTGCGCAATAATTCAACAGTTCGATGAGCATATCAAATTTTCTTTCGAGATAAAGTTTGGTTAAAAGCAAATCGATTATGGATGGTTCCACCAATTGATAATCTATCACTACAGATGCCAGAAACAATGTCAGCTGCAAAAAAATGAAAGTTCGGTAAGCTATCTGAATTAACAATTAGTAGTACGACTATCAAATACAATTTCTTTCTCCTAACCGTCTCTTCAATTTCACTGACTCAAATTATTTTCAGTTGCAAATTCAATTTCCTACCAATAGTGATAAATAATTGCTACTGAACCTACTTGAGGTATTTGTCTGGTACTATTTATTAACGATTTGAGCAAAACTGCTTTCTCTGCTGAATGAAATGTTTCGATGTTCAAATCAATTTCGTACTCATCAATCATTCGAGAATAGAGCATTATCTCCAACATCGAACTAAATAATTTTGGAATTATTTTATACTGCATGGAATCTCAACGAACAAATTTAAATAGAACGATAAATATAAGCTCGAAGTTCTACTGATAAAATTAGTTACTCTCAAATTTATCGAAAGTTTTCAGATACTTTTAATTCTATGCTCAAATTTTGGAAGGTTTGGTGAATATCGTAATTGATGTATGGAAGATGGGGTTAAGTGACAGTACTAGATATTCAATAAAAAATGTTTCAGTTTCATTAATTAAAAATTTGAATAGTAATATCACATATTTTTCACCAGAGTCATATAAATACTGAATGTAGTACTGAATGAATCACCGTAATTCTTCAATCATAACACAAAATTTTGTTTTAATCCCCATTACTAGAAATGAACAAAATGATTAATAACTAGAAAGCTCACCAAACATTCCTTAAATCCTTTTTCATAATCTCTGGAAACTGCTCAGGTCGTAGTAGTCGCAACAAGCAACAAACACTGCGTATTCTGCTTTCATATGAACCCTGAACTACATTTTATGAACACCGAACAGCTTAACCAAAGTAAGCATCATTAATTGGATAAAAAAGTGCACAGCTAAGTTCTACGAGTTTTACAATCGCCAAGTTCAATATCAACTCATTAATTTAATAACTCAAATCCAGCGCGAAAATATATGCAAACAGCTAAACTCAGATCAAACCTGTCGATAGATATTTGTAAGAGCACAAGTTGCTTTTTTGTAACTTCGTAATCGTGATAATTGCACAATCCTGAAAGCTTAGAAAATTATATTTTGTTGAATTCAACCCTTATTAGCACTAATGGTTTCCTTCAGAACATCAACTTAGCACTTCGATAAATATGCGTGACAACAAGGATTGGAGAGTCTCAGAATATGTAATCATATCAACATGTGATTATGGTACTTTGGATGTCGAAAGGAAAAAAGAAAATGTTATTTGCCATCAGTGGCTTTTTTCCTTTTTCCTGTTAAGCAAATCATTGCCAAAATGACAATTAGTAATTCGAATTTCAAACCTTGAAACTGTAGGGTCACAATATGGCAATTTGTAAAGTTCCCCATTACTTTCTTTCGTTACCATCGACATCACTGGTGTGTCACTTGAATTGGTCTGCAATGTTTCATTTCATCAAAGCTGTAAAAATTTTCAGTTCGGCAGTACATATCACCACGAACTTAAATTATTCGCTTTTGTATATTTTCCAAAGCTACAAGTGGATATTCAACTGACCATTTCACCTACTTCATTAGGGTCAAAAACTGTAGCTTTTTCAGCATTCCATTCAAGCCACTGTTGGATGACTCTGTCTTGAATCGTATCCAAATTCAGGGCAAAGATGTTAGCCAATTCAACTGTGCACGGAACTTTATCATCTTAAAAACAAAACAGAAAAATGGAGTTTTGTTTACATTATTTTGAGACAATTATTTTGAGTCGGAGATAATTAGCTACAGTAGAGAAAAATCTTGCTGAAACTTATGGTCGAGAAAAGAGGAAAAAATGAACATACTAATTTCTTTGAAGTTATTCCAGTCAATTTCATTTGCATAAATGTGCTCGATAAGATTTTGCGGTGTGGATAATAAATCTAGCGTTTCTACCCGTAGGAGTCCATATTTCTTGAGCACAAACTCGATATTGTAAGTTTTACAAGCCTCCTCCAAATTCTGTCGGAAATGCTTCAAAAAGTCAATATCTTCGACCTGCAACAAAATCTGATCTTACCGAAAATATCAAGAACCTGAGATTCCATCAACGATGTTTTCCCTGATTATTTTGATCTTACAGAAATACATTTTTTTTAATAAATAAAAAAAACTTTATGCCCAACATAATAACAAATGTGTGTTTCGTCAAAATGAAAAACGATTCCCCCGTACTATTCAATTATACATATATATACCTCAGTTGATTCATTCATCGAATCTGTAACCCATTCTTCAATGATATTGATTCCCAAGGATAAAAAGCGCAGTTTTGTTCTACCTAGAAGAAAAAGTGATGAAAAGCAAAGCAACAATATTTAGAACCAGAAATTGAATTTCTGAACTAAAAAACTCACTTAGTGGCAAATGTCTGAAACCATCCGTTAAACCTTTCAATGTTCGAAGGCGATTGGTGGCTTTTCTAAGCAGCTGCCTAATTCGTTCAGTATCACTCTCATCCATATCAGTGTCTTTGATAATGCATGTTTGAACGGCTAATAAAATAGCACTGGATAAAAGATCTGATTTCGAGATTTCAATTTCAGGCAACGCTCGAACAAATATCTGCCAATTCTAAAAGCAGCTGTTATAAAAAGTATAATTCATGCACTGAAGCATCGATACATCTTGAGTTTACAAATGAGACAAAAATGAAAAGTCTACTTAATGATTAAATAACTTGATTTAATGATGATTACAAGTAGTACAAAATTGATGAAGGCAGAGAAGCTTTGTTTCACAATCACAAAAGAATAAATATTTGATAACAAAAGGGTAAATCTCAATCCAGATGTACCATTAACAAAAATTCTAGATAAAAGATTTGAAAATGCCATTCAGAAGTGATGAAGTATGAATATAAAAAGTTTAAAAAGGTCAACAATCGCATTTAAATTTATTTTCTGGAAAAAAAAGAGAAATAAGCTTACATCGACATTGTAAAGCGTAAGCTCGGCATGAATCATTGGGAGCAATGTATTTTGTAAATCTTTCTCACTTTCAAACATGAAAGGATGAAACGGTAGACGATGACAAGCTCTACTGGGAAGCTGGCCAAAGAGTAGATTTGTCTTTTTGTATAGTGGGCCGCTACTGTCTTCCTCTTGAGTGTTCAAATCTTCTCCGTCAGAAACTTTCACTGTTGAATCATGGCTACCAGTTTGCTGAAAAAATTAAACTGATTCACATTTTTTACAATTTTAGGTGATTATTCTATATTAACAATATATAGGTACGAAAAAACTTTGGATCAGTGCAAAATTTTTCTATCATGAGCGACCTGTTTAACAAGAAATTTTTGTCGATCATGGTACCATCGTATCTCGTGATCGGTTGGGGGATTAACACGTTCATTGATTTCTAAGAACCGAATTGTTATGGAGGCTCTCCGTAATATTTCGACTTGATCGCTATTATCATCATCGATATACTTCTCCATTCCACTGATTATTACTTCGATCGCCTAAAAATTACCAAAGTAAATAGCAATATTCAAAAATGCTTTATGCTTAAAAACTACGACTATTACACTTTAAAAAAAGCTTTTTTAGTTATTGACAACGTTGCAAGGCATTTCGTGCAGCAGATTAGAAAGACAATATAAACGTAAAAGCAATTATTTTATACGGGAACAAATCAAGCTACGAAAATTGCTTACCTCATAATTATAAGGACAAAGCATCATCAAACAGGCATAAAGCTGCATGAAAAGATTCTCCGTGATACCAATTTCCTATAATCATTATAGCGTCCAACTTTAAAAATACTTCAGAAAAAAAAATAAAAATTAAAAAAAATTTATAAAAGATAAAAATCAGTTAACAAAAAATAACAGTAACCTGTAATGCTGCAAACACAGCAAAACGCATTTCTGCCGCTAATATTTGATCTTCTTCTGCAGAAGCTTTAAGTGCCATTTTTGTTGCATATAAAACCAATGCTTCAGTGATTTCTAATGAAAAATCCTTGCAAAACCTGGAAATACATGATGACTGAAGCAATCTTGAACTTTTCCAACAAACAAAAATGCCGATGCATCTTTGTAAGACATTTCACAAATCTTTAATGGGATTTCCTTAGATTGAAAAATATGCTTTGTGACACTATACCGAACCTTACGAATAAAAGTGACTGGAGTATTAAACTCCTATTAACACTTTGAATGGAATTACTTGTGACAGAACTGATTATGTGAATTCTTAAAGTAATGAGGGCATTTTATCCAGTTCCATAAGAGTTCGATCTATTATTTTTTTGATCGGCGAATAACAAACATAAGACTGAATTTAGACAATTAAATTAAATTCAAAAATTTTTGTGACTTAGTGATTTTTATTCACGAAATGGTCATTTACACTGGAATATTGATTTTAAATGTGAAGGATACATAACCTGTCTCATAAAACGAATAACTTACGCGATTAAAATTTCGGGTGGAATAAGACAGCGAACAAATTCCTGAACTGCTACATCTAGTGATACATTTTGCGGGAAATTAGCATTCAATCTTCCCAATTTCTTGATCCACAAGGTCAGTGCGTAATAATGCTATAAAATAAGCAATTTCAAGAAAAAGAGAATTTGGAAAAGAAACTAAATAGTTCAAAGTATTCCAGTCAAAGAATTCAAATCATCACCGTTATCTGCTTTTTCTTTTTCGTTTTCAAAACGTATGGAGGTGTAATGAGTGAGAGCCTTTATTATTAATTTTCTTAATTAAATATTAACTAACGCTAAGTTGCTTATCGGTAGAATTATCGCTGAGCATAATAGCGCAAAATCGAGCAAGACGAATTAAATTGAGCATAATATGAGGCGATTTTCGTGTTACACACCAAGATCGTGTTTTTAGTAAAATCTGGAAAAATATGAAACCTTTGAAAAAGGAGTCTCCTTTTATAATAATAACTTTTTATAATAAAAACACTGACGGTTTTAATCACATCATATTTTTACATTCTGAATGCCAGTAAATGTAGTTACTTGGCAATAAACTGAAAGTTTATGCCCATAAGTTACTTTCACTTTTCCTCGCTCCTCCATCTCTTCCCTTTCTCTCTCAAAAAAAAATCATAAATAAGATGACCTATAAAATACTGTTTACAAGTCAACATTGAGCAAATAAAAAAATACAAAAATTAAAATTTTTTTCTCAAATTTCTTTCTGACTTGATTTTCTCAACAAGTTCAGTATTCCTTAAAAATCATAAATCGCACACTCGTCTGATTTCTCACATATGCTTTACGCGAAAACATTAAAAAGTAAAATAATAATTACCTTTCTGATATCGGCAACTGGAGCAGAAAAAATAAGTGCAGCGCAAAGTTCAAGATCAGCATAATTATGCATTAAAGCTCGCTCCATAAACATTTCAGTTGCTTCATGAAGCTCAGAATAAGCAAAGCCAACCTGACTTGGAACCACGTAACATGCTCAAAAAATTTGCATAACTTACATTAAATCCAAAGTATACTCATTAATTTTAAAAACGGTGTAAAAAGTTTTGGTATTTCGTTAATACTTGATAAAAAATATAGAAACAATAAGTTTACCTAATAATGCAAATGAGAGGCGAGCACAAACTGCTATCAGAATCTGATTATTGAGAATCAGGTAGGAGAAGAAATTTGTCCAAGCTGTACGCATCTTTTCATAGTATTCTAGCAAACTACTCTTGCTGTAATTGATATATGAATGCATTTCTAAAAGTCACTTAAAATGAAATTTAGAAAATGTAGATGATGAATTACTTGACATCAATGAAATCGGTGTCTATCAAAACATCAAAAACAATGGAGCGAGCCACAGTAGATAATTGTTGTATGGCATCACTTTTCTTGAAAAGAGTACCGTCCATTTTATAATGATAAACGCTAGCCCGTCTCCCAAATCCATATATTAAGCGTGCTCTATAATGATTACTCTGTTATTTCATTTGTCTTATTTTGTACATGAGTTAAACTATTAAACTTTTAAATTCAATACTTGGAAAAGTTTAGCAAAAGACCAGAATAAAATAGATTTTACAGACATAAATAAAGCTTACTTTTCGTTCGCATAATCATCTTCTATCAGGTTTTCAGACATGCACTGCGAAACAACTGCTTCGAACAAATTTACAAAAAGTGCGATCTGGAAAGTTGTGCGTTAGCTTGCGTTCCATTTACAAAATTGAATAAAATGTCAGTATGTTGTAATCGAAAAGCATAACACTACAACACTAAATAATTGTAGCATGTAACAAAGTTTCTTTCTAAAATCAACAAATGCCACGTTCTTTTACGTTCAATTGACAATAGTGCGTAGTTAAAAACAGCTACAATTGTGAGTTCTACTTCAATGGATACAAAATCAGTTGTTGTTGGAAAAAGAATTTAAATAGGATATGTGAAATAGTGCGACCCAAGCGGATATATCGAAAAACTCAGGCACATAATTAGAACCTTTGTTATCTATATTAATTTTTGTGATAAATAAAAGAAACAACTTACATGGAAAACATGGATGCTTAAAAAGAAGTTTTGACAAGTAGTTTCGATAAGGCCACTCATTAAATCGGACAGGTTTGCAAACACGACAAATATCTAAAAGAGAAATTTCAAGAATTCGAATTAAATGAAAATTGAAGCATTTATAAAACAATGATGACTCACTATGAGAATAGAAGTAAATATTCAGTTTTGGTATTTTATGAACGAGCTAAATAACGGTTAACAATCTAATGTCTCAGATCACGGCAAAAAGCCAAGAACGTGGTGGCTACGTCCTCACCGGCTCAAAATCATTATTCTCAGCTAGCTCAGACATGATCCATAATCCATAGCCACAGCTTTGCACTACAAGTGACAATAATTGTTCGCTTGGTCTTTTCGTATCTTGCATCGCAAATCTGCAATTACAAGGAGTGGCATTTACGCAATATAAATATGAAAACTTGTCGAAGTTTGAATAAAGCTTAATTACTTCGCATATTCCAAAGCTGCTACGGGATTTCGATTTTCCAAAGCACAGCGGAGCGCTACTTCATACATTGCACTTTCTTCCATCATCAGAGTATTTGAAAATTTTAAAAGCTGCAGAAAGGACATTTAGACATGTATTTAGACATGCTATTATGACAGTACCGAAAAAATATTCTGCGGGATAAAATAATCTGATAAATTCTTCGATTTTCCCTCCTTTTAAAATTCAAAGCAATAGCAGTGCTACCTCAATTTTTCTCTGTTCTAAAATTCAAAGCAAATCAAAAAGGAATATAGCAGCGTTACTTCAGTTATCTTTGCAGGGATGCCACCACCAGCAAAGCGTTGATTCAGAAAATGTCTCAGTTCTGCTGATTTCCAAGCGTTACTTCGCAGGAATGACAAATACGTAATCACGCCATAATCAATTTGCAGTTTTCGAATAGCATTCAATTCTGATAGAAGCATTTCATCCTCAAATGCTGAACGATGCATACAAGAAAGCAATTTTGAATTAACTCATCAAGTTTTCAGTCTTTAAGAAGAGGATATCAACATTTTGCTTAAGAATTTGAGAAACCCAAGATAGGAAATTATCAACATAATCCATTTTGGCCTGATCCAATAAAATTCTGATTTTTAAAAGGAGAATACTAAATTATTTGAACAATTATTTCCTTTTATAAGTGCACTGCTGTCTTTGCAACTTCATACATTTCGTCACTTACGATTCGAAAAGACTTAGAATAGAAATACATTTCTAAACTATAACAATAATCGTAAGAGCAAAATACGATACATTTGAATAATTCATACAAATTGCTAAGGCATCGTCGAACGACAAGAATTAAGTAGTTGGAAAATTCAAATTATCACTCATTGCTAAATTTTTTTAATACTAACAGCTATTAAAATGTATGGTGGTGTCTCTGCACTACAAGCTACGTTATCTGGAACGTAATTTGAACATCTGTCGCGACAATTTCTCTGCTTAACAAAACTTCCCCTCAACCAAACTTATAAAACCTTATTAACTGTACACAAAGAAATCGAATTCAAAACAACACCTTTCTGAAACGTTCCAAGATGCAAGAAATGACTTCCACAGTTCGAAATCGAATTTCTTTCTCCTTCTAAAAATTATGAAATTTGAAAGTGAAAATATCCTGAGAAAAACAGTAACATCTATTAAAATTTAAAAAATTCACTTCCGTCAAAAGCAAAACCGGACAATTTAATAATGCTTCAACGTGTGACATAAGCTGCATGATAACACAATTTCGGTCTGTTTCACTCAGATCGCTGAGATAAGAGACGACATCCACAAACTAAAATAAAGCAAATTAAATAAGCAGAATGAAAAATAGGACGGTAATGCAAATAGAGAGACAAGTGCTTTCACATGAAGAATGACAAAATAAAGAGCTAGGAATGGTGACTCTTCTAAAGTGTGACTTTTTTAAAAACAATAACAAATTATCAAATGAAATAATGCTTCATTTTGTGATAAAATGAGGAACCAACCAAATCGTCCATCAATTTTGTATTGATCAAATAAATACAGAAACGAAAAACACATTCATGCCGTTCCATTAAGTTCTTCTTTAACTTCCCCGCTAATTTAATTATCTAGAAATCCAATGAATCCTTCTCACATGAAATTTGGTATTAATTGCATTGATATTTTTAAATCGCAAAAAACTCCTGATCTCCCTTTGGCTTACACCGCTACATCAGTAACTAAACTGTTTTGGACAGAGAATTATTTTAAAAAAGAATATAAAAAATCTAGCGCAAAAAAGTAAATAAATTTATAACATCTGTTTATTATTGCTTTCAAAACCAATCGACCGATGAACTTAAAAATTCACCTCCAGAGCACTGTTAAGCCTACGTTGAGGATCAGCTTCCACAGATTCTTGTCGAAAAATAAAGTCTATAGCCTTGCTAAACAAATGCTTTTGTTGCAAATATCTTTCAAGTGTTTGCATTGGTAAACGATATTGTACCAAACGTTCTCCCAGTGCGGCAAAATCACACTGCTGTTGCAGACGAGATCTCCTTAAAATTTTGAATATCTTGTAATGAAATGTATCGGTAGAGAATACATATCTAATTAAAGAGGAAATCTTGCTACAACATGTACATTTGAGACCACCTTATCAAAAACTACGAAAAGTGTGAAACAATTTAATTAAAGATACAAAGTTTTAGTTAACGATCCAAATTTAGATTATTTATTTCTCCCTGGGTCGTGTGCAGCGCAATATTAAAAAAATCATCATTTAAGACTTGATAGCAATTGAGTAGGTGGGCCTCCTTCTACCTTCCTCTGTCCTGGTTCAATGGTCGTCTCATCTAGCGTTCTAAAATGATCTTCCAACAAAAGTTACATCTTAAAATCAAGCCCGGGATCTCTTAACATTGCGTGCACGGCGTTTGATAGCTGCTTTGTCCATGGTGGGTGAGCACGTTTTGCAACATCAATCAGCGCTTCATATCGCAAATTTAAATTAGAAATACTTTCTGCTACAGCCAAACACCGTTCATCCCACGGATTAGAACTGGAAACGACACCAGCATAGCTAGTCGCGATTTTCTGTAAAAATGATAAAAATCATGACAGGATGACTATCACAGAACCAATTAAAAAGACATTAATGTAAACTTTGTCCTGTTCGTAATAGAAGTTTTTTAAATATTTCAATAATTTTATCAAATTCGTGAAAAATATCGAACTATTCTTATTGACGATGCTACTAGATTCGATTTTTTGTTTACCGTTAACGAAATTCACGACAATCGGTATGAATTACTAAATGCGACAACTGCTTTGTTTCCTTTTGCTTTAATTTAAACAAATAAATCTTACCAAAATGTAATTATAAAGCGTACGATCAGGATCTAATTTAAATTCATTCATGTAAGGTCTTGCATACTGATCAATATTACTTTTGATCAACTGCACACTTTTCACCCGCTCTAATATTACATAACAGATTGATTCCACTGTTTGTTCCTATGAAATTCAGCATCAGTTACGATTGAAATGACAAATTATGAATCAAAAAATGCTAACTAATAAAGAACGAATTAAATTTGAGGTACTGATCTTATCCCATATTTCAGCATGGTAAGGGATAAGCATCACAACATCATTATTTCTAGCTATTGAAAACGAGGAAAAGAAACTACAGTGAAAAAGTAAAAATTAAGAGGCAGAAGTATTTTTTTCAGGCAAAATTAGCAACTAAACCCATTTAGCTGATTGTGAGTCTATCACAGTTATTTCTTTGCTTACCTGATAAGTATTGTAACTCATTGTACACTGATAAATGCCCTTCAGTCTTTCCATTGAACGCAAATTTTTCACATAAATGTTTAATTCTCCCATAATATCATCTGGATCTTCAGAATAACACCTGATAATTGAAAGCGCATATGCAATTTCCGCCTAAAATGAGTATAATAGAAGTTTTTCTCGAAGTTAAGAAATTATCTGAATGTTTTAAAGTAAACAGATAATGATAAAGAGATTTAAGAAGCCAGTTCAAGCTATATTCCATGAGATATTCAGATGTTTGAGGCACTGAAAAAATCTTCGTCAAAAACCTAGCGTAAGTTCGGTTCAACCAACCTAGAGCCAAACTATATAGAGTAAAATTCCATCTTACAGTTAGAGTGGAAAAAAAACCACGTCATTAGCTCAATTTAATTTGATAACTCACCTGATGACATGGAGTTACAGAACAATTGAGTAAGTTCTGTATAACTCTTTCCATGGTTGATGCAATTATAAACGAATTTTCAGGAAAGCATTCCGGATGCTCTCTTTCGACTGCACGAGCAACATCCATTAAAAATGCCTTACAACACAAGCAACAAGTTTTAGGTTCATTTATGAATACTACAGGGATAATTTCTTCTTCCAGAAAACGCACTATTTCTATTATATCACTGGTTGTATCTGAAATTTAAGGGGATTCAACAGTAACTTAGATTCTCCCTGAAATCACAGATTTTGAATTTGGCTTCGTATTTACAGTACGGAAAGAAGCCCTCTAATAATCGAGTAACTATTGTATTATTTCATGGTTACAATTTGGAGAACTGCTAAAAATTGGTATTCGGTTGTAACTTCACATAAAACAATTTCCATCATAACTTACCACGAATTGCGAGACGAATTTCTGCCAACAATTGCTCAAAATTTCCTTTTTCTTTAATCCATTCCTCCAGCGTTTTTCGATAACGACACCATATTAGGCGTGCTTCACAAAACTGTCCATTCTTGCAGAAAATTTTGAAGATATGCTCCCACGAACAACCACCAAGAAATTCGGACCACAGATCAGTTCCCGAAATCTTACTGCAGCACGGTTTTCGCTGAAAACAAAAAAAATCTTGCTATTAAGTCTTCTGTTCTAAAATTCTCCGTTCTATAATATCCTGCAATACACTCTGAAATTACAAATATGAAACGCACCCAAGGACCAAGCACTTCACGATATGACTGATAATTGTAACGCAAAAGCGATAACTTCTCCTTCGTCTCATTATCTGAAACAAAAGCAGAAGATTCAAGAAAATTTCGTCCCTCATGCAAAGACACAAAATGTCGGATAAATACAACATTACAATGCTACCTGTAATTTCGAGCCTTTTTACGAAATCTAATATTTTCTTGACCCATGAATGGCTTGAACAATACATTATTGCAGCTATGCACATTTCAGCCACCTAAATAGATAAATATCACCTTATTCAAATCTTTAAAATATTCAAGATTCATATAATGAAAAATGCAGGCACTGGAACCAGTACAACTCAATATAACTATTTGTAATGATGGCCCGAAAATTCTGTAAGAATTAAAGATAAAAACAGAAATGTCTACCCAATTCTGATCCGAAACTTGAGTCATCCATCCAAGAAATTTGTCCAACTCATGTATATCAAGACCAGTCTGACCCATCGTTCCCGTATCCACGAAGTGTTCAATACGAGCTATATAAATTTTCTGAAATTGTTCACCTTTCTTTCAAAATCGCATTTTCATTTTATGATTTAACCACTCACAAATAAGGTGAAGTAGAAACGCATACCTCCGTATTCAAGCCAAAATTTTGAGCAAATTCTTCAGCTTCAACCCATCGCTGCTGACATATTAAATGATCTAAACGCATTTCTGGCTGGCATTCATAAACTGCGTGGATCTTAACCGCATTTAGTTCACTAAATTCACATTATTTTAAGAAGTAAATATAAACAAAATTTGTCATATTCAATTCTACTACAAAAAATCACCGCAGATTTGTTTTACGACAAAGCAATTGTTAACGCAATATCATATTATCTCATGAGAAAAAAATTTTCTTAAAGAATGGAAATATAGGTTTTAAGAGTAAAAAAAGTATCGCTATGCATAAAATAGTTCACAAAAACTTGAATATCTCAACATTGAACATTACCTTCATTTTGAAATGGTAACTGGCGTTAACTTAAATGATGAAATTAAATTAATTCGTCTAAAAGCAATTAAATACTAGTCAGCCAAATATCTGTAACAAATCACTTACCTACATTCATATGCGAAAAGTTGTATAAAAAGCACCAATCCCTCCTCACGAGTAACCTTGTTCAGCAACTGGGTCGTGTTGTTCACTGCTTTCGTATAAATTACATCACAGGTTCGAAAGTTGCGAATTTGAAGCTAAAATTAAATTAAATAAATTTAACCTTTGCACAGGTACAAATGGATTTCACGATCTAAGACCATAACTTACCTGGCATGTTCCTTTGTGATCCGTAAAAAGAAGCACCAGTTTTGTGTTTTCGTTTATTTTGCCTTCCCTATCCGGAACATCGTCAAAAAGCATGAAATCCTTAGCTACTTCACCAGTTTTTAAAAGATCGACTGATGAAATCAGCAGAGTTGTTATGGCGTCCCAAATTAATAATTGTCCATCCGTTGTCAAAGCCATGATAAACTGGAAAACGACACGCGATGCATGCTTGTCACGATGTGTAAGATGTCGAATTCGTACGATACCCGAAATATCTGAAATTAAGAAATCAAAACATCTAAAACCAAAAATCATATATATGACAGAAGCAATCTAAAATCAAGAAATCATATTTTAATATTAATTCTGTTTCATTACAATATAAACAAATCTATATACACTTTTTTAACAGCAAGAAAATAGAAAAAGCTTCTCCTTCTTTTGGAGAAAGAATTTATTTCGCTTCAATAAAAAATTGAAGTGCTTACCGGATGAATAAAATTCATTTAGAGCTTTGTCCAATACTTCTGCAGATAAATCAAGCAGTGCTACCCTTGCGTTCTCTTCCGTTGACAGCTGAGAAAAAATGAATGACAATCAAGTCTAGCATAAAATTTAAATATTTTGGACAGAAAACTGCGTTAATTTAAAACTGAATTTTTTACTTAAATAGCATGATAACAAGATTTTTTACAGATTGATTTTTGTCATCGCATTTAGTTTAAACTTCAATGAAATTTTTCCTTTCATCTTTTTTTGTAAAAACTGAAAAGTTCAATAAATAAGATAAGGCGCGTATTATTAAAAAATAGTACACTTTATTTCATGTGCAATATTTCTGATTTATTCAAATTAATGATAATTTATGAAAATTGAAGTTTTTTATGAAAGTTTATGAAAGTTGAAAATTTTACGAGCAAAAGACTGTTAAGATAACCAATGATTGCAGAGTCTCTACCAGTGTAATGTATGTCAAATTGTTTCCAAATCATGTTTTCCATGCCCTAAAATTGACATCGCAAATTATTATTTAATAAAAAAAATTATTTAGATAACCAAATATCACAGTATCAAATTCAAATAAAAATATGAATGCACCAAGCTTAGGAATCATGGCATTCTCAAGTATGCCTAACTATATTCATGAAAATAAAAACCTTTTTCCTGTTCGATATTTCGATTTCGATTTCCTGTTCTGGATGAAAATATTCGGAGTAATTCGAGAAAAGGAATAAATAGATTTCACTGCTTTCCAAAACGATGCACATCCGCACATCTTTAAGCTGCAGATCGCAACTGATAGATGCACTCTGTATCCGTTTATTTTCCATCAACTTCTGAATAAAGACAAAAAACTAAGATGTTTTAAAAAACTAAAAATTTTTCATCTTTTGCAACGTTATGTCCATTTCAACTTCAACCTGCATGCATTTTGTGAAAGAAAAATTGAAAAAAAATGACTACCACTTGATGTATTATACGATTGGAACCGATGCTAAGAAACATCACATTTCCGCAATTCGTCAAAATTGCTATTAAATTCACAACAGGCATGAATTTCATAGCAACTGGGTTGATATTCTCTGAAATACTGTTTACATATAGATAGCTGAATATGATTCAGCAAAACAAAAAAAACTCATTAACAAAAAAATTCATATTTGGATTTTTTGAATTTAGTCGAAAGAAGTTATTGAAAGTGACATTTGTAGATGAGAAATCTTAATCTTTTCTCATTACTATGATCTCATGCAATCTAAGTCTCCAGCTTATTACGCATAACTAACACTCGGGCACACCGTATTCAGACAATTCATGGATTATCTCACCTCCAAGATGCACTGTGACGATAAATCTTGTACCACAATCAAAACTAAATATTGAAATGTCCTCGCCTATTGCAACCGCTAACAAATCACCATCATCATTTATATCGCTTAACACAGTTCTCTCTTTCCGCTCCTCACATTCTTCGTTTTTGCTTTCTAATCTTTCGTAATCGCCACTTTCATTTTGCACAGATTCCATACATGATCCGTCATCATCTATTTATATTCAACTGATTAGAAAATGAATTCATGATTATATTACGCTGCAATTAAACTCCTCCCTTACTACTTGTCCGACTTCACAATACATCTGCACTAGTTCCAATACATCATTTTTCTAGATTCACAGGCGATCGAATAGTCCTTTTTACTCAGAACACCCTTCGCAAAGGTAAAAAGAAGTAAAAGTAAAAATTTTTAGAAATTTCATCATTAGCAAAGTCAAAGACATATTAATGGACTTTAACTTTTCTCGTCTTGAAATTTTACCGAAAATTGATGCAATTATACTTGACTCGTACAAACTGTGACACTTTTGTTTGGAAAATGTCAGATTTGTTGTCTCATCGCCATCGTCAGGCATCGTTATACTGATGAAACGAGTACCCAAAACAGTTGACATAGCCGGAAAATAGTGGATATCTAGAAATGATAACGATTACAAAAGAACAGTTTATAGCACAAGCATTCATTGGATTCTATTACCTCTTCAGTTTCGTTTAACAATGTGACTCAAGCATGAATAAGTTTTTATGTATCACTACATTACGAATGCACAAAAAATATCCCTCAACAGAACAGAAAGAACAGACTTGCGCACTTATTCTAGAAATATTTCCATGTGGCAAATTAACAATTTCCTGTCTTTCAAACTGATGGGAAGAAATGAAATCGTAATAAATCGAAAGTTGCAAAGATACATAAACTACTCTCTAATTTTTTTTTCTTAACTTTCTTTGAATTGAAATAGTTTGATAAACATGATGTAATCCAAGAAAACATCCTCTGTTCATTCTATAAACACTCATTCGAAGAAATGGTAAGTAATAAGTTCGCTATTTAAAGTTTCCGAATTTGTTGCAAGAAACAAAGAGCGACGGAACGAAGTCAAATCCACTTATGAATGATGAAGAACAAAATATTTTTCTTGAAGGAGTAACAGACAAAAAATGCTGGGAATCCCGAAACCCAGGATACCCCATGTTATTTATGTTGGAGAATTATGGAAGGTTACAGATTATGATACTTGAATGTTTCACTTCCGACAAAAATTCATTTAAGTTTTTGAGATGAATCAAAATAGAAGTGAAGAGTGCAACATATGTAACACGTTCTGTTGCATAAAATTGATAAAATCAACAAGCATCCAACTCCTTATCTATAACATTTAAGTTAAGTATTACAGAATAATATGTTCAAATTAATTTAGCAGTGTATGAATTGTGGTAAGACGATGGATGCAAGAGGTATGGATAAATATTAAAAATCTGTTGGTCAGTAAAGGGAATGAGGAGAGAGAGTGAAGTTGAGTCAGTATTAAAACTAATTGTTTTCATTTTATCAATCTTACTAATTCCACAACTAAAATACAGCAATATTCCCTTCTAAAGAGAATGAAATAAGAAAATGACAGCCAGATTTCCCGTCCTTCCCCTCTGTCTCATACTTGAAAATGTACGTTCCCGCCAGTCATCATTTCCCATTTATATTGCCGCCCGTGAAAACACAACGCTTTTCCGTTACGGGATAGCGGTAGTTTAAAAAATAGTAATTTGTGTAACTTTGTGACAATTGGTGAAATGATGAAGTTGTGATAAGTGACTACTGGGCGCTTGAGTTTGAATTGGCTAGTAGGATGTTAGTGTAAAATATTCTGCTATATTTGACAGGTCTAGAGATCGGGCTTGACAGATTTGATATTCGTAGGCCTATCAAATTGCCATGGATCTGATTTACTACGCTAAATGCCGTTAACAATGCTTCCCATCCAATGACAACCAGGAGATGACGGTTGCTAGTCATGTGGCGGAAATAGTAAGGCAAGGGATTTGGGCATCGCTAACCGGTGGATGGTACTATGAACCAGGCTACACGCTGTTCTGCAATGCTGTTCATTTGTATTTATGGCTCATACTCTTTCTTATCCCTCTGTTACTTGGTTTGTGCTCTTTTTTTGTCATTAATTTTACACTACATTTGTTAGTTCTTTTTTTAATTGAGAACATTGCTAAACTTGTTCAATAATTGAAAATTTGATTAAGAAAAGTTAAAGGAAGATTTTGTCTATTACAACTACTTAAATCAATTCAGGTAGTTAGATTACAAAGTTTTGTAGTTAAAAACAAAGATGAACTATGAATACTGAATGATGATGGTTCAATAAAAGGATAGTCGATGGATGAAAGAGCTGTCAAAATTCTATCATATAATTGATAAAGTGTTAATCCAGTGTGCTCCTATCATCATTATATTAGCAGTTTATTTGGCTTGAGATATTGTTTAATTATATCCATTCACATTTCAGGACTATCCTTTAATAGTGTCACGTCTGTGTACGTTATAGTGGCATATGTAACCTTTATCATTCTTCTCTTTATAATACTTAAATTCACGGTCTCATATTTGCACAACTTGTTTGACACTGTTGATCCAATTCCTTATCCACCCAGCCGATCGCTAAAGGTTGTTGCTTTTTTCCCTTATTCAGTTTTATTGTTTCTGAAATTTTCTTAATTAATTCATTGTAATTGGAACCTGTATTATTATTGAAGTAATATTAAATCTAGGGAAATGCAAAATGCAAATGTAATGTTAAATATTGTCAATATTTTTATAGTTATTTGAACCTGATTGATAAGTTAAATAAATGGATGCACTTTATAGATTGAAAGTTTTTCGTGCGAGACAGCGCAACACTCGAATGAAAAGCTTGGAGATGAAGAAATTGAAATGGTGGATTTGCGGAAGAAAGATAATGATGAAGCTGAAAGTATAAATTGTAGTCTATCTCGGGGCGCGTTAGGACGTCGACGGTGTGTACGAATTGGTGGCAATTCTGTTTCATCTATAGATACGGAAATACGGTTTCGCAAGGTTTTTTACGTCTTTGTGCGCAAAAAAATAAAATTAATAAAAGTAGTTACTTCTCTTCAGTTTTAAGCATTTGCTCTCTGTTTTTTAATTACCTCTTCCAGGAAGCATGTGGCGAATGGGGTGAAGATCGCAGTGGTCGGCAATCCGGACAGGGATTGCTTACACCGCCAATAACAACGCTTCTTCCTGTAGATAGTCTTGAATTGTTGCCGACTGGAATAAGGTGAATTCAATTTTTGTACTCTCTTGAAGAACTGCCAGATTTTTCTGATTTAATTTAGAATTTTCTCTTCGAGTAAATGGAATTTATCATATCGCAGGCATCAATCAGACAATGGCAAAAGTCAGTGCACTGGAATCGATCGGAAGTTTTCTGAACCGTGTTTGAAAGAAATGCACAGATGGAATCGAACACGACGTCGACATTTCAGCGATATTGGTCCTTCTATACGTCGTGCAAAATCAACTTCCGAAACTTCAAATAAAGAAGGTGTTAGTAGTAGGTCGATGTTAAGTGAGCGAACGTTAGAAGAATGCAAACGGGTATATCTTTTTCATAGAGTTTCTGTTGCTCATTAAATTCATTCTGCCTGCTTTTAAACGTTTTCTTAAAAACGGGAAGGAGAATTATCGTTCGCAAAACTATCTACGGAATGAGGTCGTGCTGCGCTTGTCTCTGCTTAATATTTTCTTAGGCGTAACTTTTCGTTTCAAAACGTAGCTGATATTGTTTTTGCTCAAGCGGTAAAAATAAATAATCCTGCATACTTGCAAAAAACGAAACTTCTTTGGTGATCTTCAGAGAGGTAGGATTTAATTGAGGAGATCGAAATTTCGCTTAAAAGCAAGGAAAGGTCGGACATGGCTCTGTTTAATATGATCGGCTACTGCATTACTCAGCCATAGCCTATTTAAGCTATGGCTGAGTAATGTAGCCAATCACTTTGAACCTGGAGAAATCTCGATATTTCTGTTAATAATATTATTTCTCAGCATTTTTTAAATCTTGAAGTATTCAGTTATGTAGAATTTGCTTATAGTTTCAAACGACTTTTCCTTACATGATATGGCAGTGCATATTTCAACTATAACTTCCAGATAACTCGTAAATCTTACCCGACAAAAATGAGTAGTACATCAGTTTTTCTATCAAGTGCTCTAACAAAACGTATCTCTCCATCTCATTCAGGTTTCACATATTTTGCACTTTCTTTTTGATTTTGGGAATATGTTTCTTCGTTGCTTTGGTATTTGTAAATGCATGCATCTGATTAGGTCTTGAAGTATAAAAATTATGTTTCGAAATATCGAAGTACCGTTTTTAACAAATTGTTAAATCTTCCAAATTTCAATTCGAATAGTGTTTTTTGAAAGAACGCAAACTTGCAGATGGTCTCACTTTTGACAGTAAGTTGAAAACTAGCTCGAGTGATCTATATTATTTAAATAAGAAGAATCCTATTATGTTCGATGAAGGCAACGAACAACAAATTTCAGAAAGAGTAATTCTTTTCTTCGTTCTATCTTTTTCTACTGCACCAGTTTAAATAGCTATCTAGTCCTAGTTTCTTTTTTTCAACTTTTAATTAACGCTCATTTTAGATTAATGTGTTAGACATACCATCTACTAGTAAAGAAGCTGAAAAAAAAACTTTTGTTATGGAAACTGTCGTACACCTAAAGGTATCTCTATTCGATTTTTCTGGAATCAGTTTGAAATCAAATTACCTAATGTATCTTTCACACACGTGCGAAAATTGTTTTCTTTAGCCAGATTCTGAACTGAAAACAAATGTATCTTCGGGTGAAGGTTGGAGACCTATTTTTGTTTCCCTTGGTGATTTGGAAAGACCATCAACAAGTACATTACATCGAACGTCAGAGCGGATCAACGGAGGCGATAGCGTCTCAATAATTGGTAACAAACGTGCTCTTTCCGTTAAATTTTTTTATTTTGCAACTTTTTCGTTTACTGGTCTCTAAAATCTTTAAGAATTCGAAATTAGAACTGCTTCAGTTAATACAGGATTCGTAAATATAATCAATCGAATGTCCTCATCTCAACATGAACGAAGTGAAATCTTTGCATTCCCATTTTCCTGCGGAATTTAATAATTTCTATAAATAGTTCCAATCAAATTATTTATGAGATATAAATTAGTTGTGTGCGCTTGTGAAATTATCAGAAACGTTGAGAAAAGATTTCAATATTTTCTAATAATTCAAAATTTACTGACGAGTATATGAAGAAAGCAGTTATTCGTGCAATGGCGAGGATCTTAATGTAATTTATTTAAATCAAAAAAGCTGTTTGCGTGAGAAACGAAGTTTATTACATGAATTACTGAATTACTTTGGCTAGTTTTTTGCTTCCCATTTTTTTGAGGAATCAATATCAGTCCAACTAAGCAAAGATACGAATCCCCAATGTATTATCACAAACATAAATTGTTTAATTAATTTTTATCTTCTTATCTCCCTAATGTTCACTCCTCTTGATTTTTAATAATGATGCCTCCTTTAGTAAAAAAAAGTTGAGTTAAAACAAACACTAATGCTTCAGTCAAGGACTTATAGTTCATTAACTAAAAAATGCTTGTATCTCCAGAAAGCCTAAATATTTGCTTTCCAGATTTTAGAATTTGTTGTTTTTTTTCCTGCCCTGATCAAGATTCGCTAATAAAACTCTTCGGATAGTTAGGCTTTTTAGTAGTTAATGTGTTAAATGACATCATTATCTTCACATAAGGTAGAACATTGTTGTCATGTGTATAATTATGTAGGGAAATTTGGCTTAAATCAGTAAAGCAATGAACAAGAACAACAGATAAAGCTATTTTATAAGCAGTGTACTTGTTTTGCATGTTAATCAAATTTAAGATGAGTGCAACTGGAAATTTTTATCAAAATGGATTTTGTTGAATTTGGTTGCATTAAAAACGTTGAATTGTTGCCTTCGATAGATTGTTTTTAGGGAACAGCTCTAGAGGAATGGATTTGAAGAGTGAAATTACAAAGTTTCTGGAAGAATTGATTGATAAGCATCCGGAAACACTGGATGCTATTGAAAGTGTGAGAATGAATAGATTAGGGCGAGGTCTCGGTTCTGCAAACTCTTGCCTTCGCTCTCATCAGCCGACTTTGACACAACCGAGGTTGCTTTTGTTTTGCATGCGATTTTTTTTTTCTTGAATTATATTGATATTTATTGAATTCTTATTTTGTCAATGTTGTCGGTAAGTGTAAATAATATAGTAGAAGTACTGAAATCTGTATGTCAGACGACAAAATTTAAATTTGGCTGCATGTCAGAGTAAAGGAGTTTTCTTAAATGGTCCGTGGTTAAAATCTAGTGGAGTTATTTTTAATCAAATAGAATTCATGAAAGTCAAGATAAATTCTGCATTACTTTTTGAAGAATGGTTGAGAGGAGTTCTGCAACAGTAGCGGCACTTTCGAACTTGGCTATGAAAGACGGTACACATGTCGCATTAGATCACGAGGATACTTCGCAAGGAGCCGTTCATTCATTCCAGGTTCTTATTCGGAACTTTGAATTTTTCGAATTCCAAAAGTTGAAAACTTCGTGAAATAAAGTGCGGGAAGAAAATATCTCTTCCATTTGATCCTAACATTCTTTAGCTTATTGCAGGATGAAGATGGAAATTGGTGGACATACGTTTTTGATGAGCATGGTGTTGGAACTGCTCATGCGTTGGGTAGTAGTCGTGCTTTAATGGAAATGATTCAGAGCAACAACACTACAGCTAATGTAGTAAATATGTTTAAATCTAAAACCCATTCAGCTATATTGCTTTTTATTCTATTAAAATAGGATTTACGAAAAACTATAAATTTTTCTTTTAGAAACTAGCAGCCTTACCAGAAAGTGATTCTGATTCAACAGAAGATTCTTATATCGATCCATCCGCAGCAGCAAATATAGCTGGAAGTTGTTCGCGTACGCTTTTGGAAGGCGCATCTTTATCTACTGCCGACCGATGTAGGGCGTTGTCATCTTCATCAACAGAAAGTAGCACGTACATTGCGGATACTCCTAGTGCTATTTATCACGCTTCAAGCTCTGCATTGATGTCGAGACATCCAAATCGTGATAGGTATTTCTGTCGAAATTTTTCACAAAAAGAACGAACAAATCACTTATGAGATTTTGTTATTTTTGTTTTGAATTTATTTTGAATTGTATGAACCGTGGGATTTATTTTGCTATTTAAATAATTGTTTCCATTTATGTGCATTTGTTTTTCAAAATACTGATATATTAACTTGAAATTTCCAGGCAAATAGTATCGTTTTCCATGATGGCTGCTCGACTTAGAAATGCTACTAGGCGGCGCTCACATGGGAGTTTTATTCGTGGAAATAACTTTGTTGAAGAACAGGTCACAGGTATTTTGTGAAATGTTTGTTTATCGATAGTGATGGTTATCCATATCTCTGTTGTTTTTCTCTGTTTCCAGTCAACTTTTTTTTGTAACTTGTAGTTTAGAGTTTTTATATTACAGTCTAAAAAGTAACATTCTGTATGCTTTTGTGATGTGAAATGAGCAACACAGCATATTTCACATAGAATTAATTATTTTCAGAAAGAATTCCTCAATTAACTCACCTGATATCAACTAGTGAACACCAAAGAGTATTAGATGATGCTAGTCGCACATCTCTACGTACCGGGTCACCGCGGGTCCTCCGTCGCATGCCGTTCTTTTCCGATATATCTGGAATTGGTACATTAGATTCAAGCCGAGTTAGTACTCGGAAAAAAAGTCATTACTATCGAATTAAACTGTTTCCTTCCCTTACTGGCGGAAAAGGAATAAAATTGGAGGTTGAAATCTTCATCCTTTTTTTCTTATTCTACAAATAAATTAAATAATCATTCAGTAGTAAATAATGCAGAACTCAGTACAAGAAATCAATATTAGTATATTGAAAAGCAATATATTTTTTCCAGATGGATAGGCTTTCAGTGGCAGCTTTATTTGATCGTAACAGTACATTGTTTTCAATTCTATTTGATATATGTCTCGCATCGGTGGTTGCGCTTCTAACGGCAATCGTCCTCTCACGTTCCATCTATTACGATTTATCTCTCGTTCTTTTCGCTTTCGTTGTTGCCGGAACACATGTTGGTTTTCTGCTGTTTCTTCATTTATATTTTATAATTGTGCATGCACTGCGTCGAATCTTCCGTTATTAAATGTAAATTTTCCATTAATAAATTTTTCAATGCCAAAAAAAATGACTTGAGCATGGATGTTTAAATAAATAATTGCCGCAGATTTATTTCTATTTTGTTTAAAAAATTAATGGATGTCAGAAACTATTATTCCATTCATGGCTCTGATCATCGCTTAACTGGAGTAATTTAGCTCGTAGTACTGTTTAATTTCATTTTTTAAGCATTCTAGATTAGAAGCAGTTTTTCTTTTTTCCCATAGCGCAGTTAAAGTCGCCCGAAAAATAAATAGCCAACTTAAGAATTGGAGCCCGTATAATCCTGACAGTAAGCATCGTTTTATCTTTGAGCACATACCCAATGTTGAAGCCTTTCTTTTTGATTTCTGAATTTTTTTTCTAAAATGATAATACTTGTTTTTGAATTTTATTGTATTTTTTCCAATTTTTTATTACTGGTCCGAATTTTCAGTTTTCTTTACTAAAAAGCGTGCAGCCAGATGCGGCATCACCAATACATGGATTTAATTGGCTTGTGACATATTCAAGACCAATTTACTTTTCGATTATTGCCGCAGCACTGCTCCTGATAAGTGATGGTTGGTGGGATTATCGGGATGCAATCAGTTCTGTAGAATGGGAATGGAATTTTTATCGTATACGTAATGTTTCATTAACATCTATTCTTCTGGCCTGTCGTGATATATTGTCAGTTTTATTAATTCTGTTACCTATTGGTTTTACTTTCGGGCTATTACCACAGGTAATATTTTTCGACCTATTTATTTCACGAACCATTAAATATCTCGCTGATTAATTATTTCATTGTGTTTGAAAATAATTTGTTAAAAATATGCCTCGCTCTTTGCCCTTATTTGAGGTAAATACATTAGCACTGCATTTATTGGAGCAAGTCGAAATGAATGTTTTTGGTGGTACTGCAAGTTTTTCCTTGTTATCCGGATTTATTCAAATTAGTAAAAGTTTAATGGCTTTCGGCTTTCTCTGCTTCATCTCAAAAGCTGCAAAACATGCAGACCCCAATGGAACACAGAATGCCTTTTTTTCAGCATTTGCTGCAACAGCCATTGCTGTTTCCTACCTCCTTGCAAGGTATAAATTATTTTTCTTTGTTTTTATTAACTCCAAAAAAAGAGCAGTTTATTTGCTGCTTAATTCTTAAATTAAGTGGTTTTAATTTTAGTAAAAAGCGTGCAGCCAATGGATTTGGTTGGCTTTTTAAACATACTAATTTACTTTTCGATTATTTTTGTCTGATAAGTGGTGATTGGTGGGATTATCGTGATAAGTTATAGAAGCACGAGCAATCCTGGTCATATGGCATTAAGTTTCCGTTACATGATTTCGTCGTCGAAATGTGTTCAGTTAGATGCGAATCAGGAAACAGAAAGTGAAATGAATGACGATGCAACTCCGTGCTTAAAGGATCCACTACCGAAGGAGTTGCGAGCTGTAATTATGAATCGAATCAGAAACGACGTTGTTGTTTCACTTATGATTTTGCTACTGTTTTTTGCGCTTCACTGCACTTCGGTTTTCACTGCTGCCCAACCATTTTTGCAAGTTCGTCTTATTTTGAACACATCATTTGTTACTTTTTTAGCAGAAATGGGGCATCCTCTGCAGCACATCGCATATGGAAATAGCGCTATATGTGTTTACCAAAAGAAAATAGCAATTTTAATCCCACTATAATATGTTCTGTATATCAATTATGCTGTTATTGACTCGAGTTTCAATTTTTATTTCACTCCAACATACGATTTGACTGCAAGATTACCGGTTTTGGCCTTTCCTTTCCAAATCCTGCATTTCACCAACTTCTTTGAACTTCTCCGTACGTTTGCTGTGCTCAGAATTTATCTTTAAATTCCTGTTTTATCTGTGAAATTCACATATATTTTAGGTAGTAACATGTATTGTGTGCATAATTTTTGGATTCATCAATCATTATTTATATATGGAACTACGAAAAAATACGCCGTGGCGTATCTTCGCACGGCCGATTTTACGTGCTCATGAATTTGCCCAATTTGAATCATCGGTTGCTGCAAAGCTGATGTATTTTGAAATTATTCACTTTTATATGCTTGCCATTGAAAGAAATGTGGTCAGTTCATTTGTTTCCTCTAGTATCTTCATAACGCATTTCTCACGAAAAATGAGAGCTCTCACGTTGTTTTTCGCAATATTTTAAACTCCTTAGCCACATAATATTAGGTTGCTAATCTTAATTTGTTTTAAAAGATTGAGTTCGAGTAATCACTGTCACTTCCGCTTTATTTATTTTGAAACAGATACTCCAAAATCAAAAAATATCGGTACGCTTCTTACAGGTGCGTCTCACTCTTGCCAGCATTCTGCTGAAAATATTGGTAATGAAGGTTCTTTTGATCTCAGCGTATTTTAATTTTTTTAATAATGTAACTTTCAGTTGTATCCGTTATTGGTGACAAGTACAATAACGAATAACAAGTGGGCATTGCATCCTTATTTCATTGCTCTTTTCGCATTGCGTATTCTTCGTTCCGCTTTCTCACAACCACAACTCATGTTTTTACCGTTGGCATTCTCCTTTCTTTTAACGCAAGCAGATCTTGCCAAGTACTCTGATATTGACCGGTACTTTCCGTTGCTTTTTTATTTTGCCGCACTTGTTTGGCCAAAACTTTTGGAATTTTCGCTGAAAATTAATTTTATTCTTGCATATGTCGCACCGTGGCAAATCAGGTATGTTTTTATCATACGATTTAAAATTTTTCATTTGAAGTCATTTCAAAGTCGGAAATTTAAACTTTATATAACCATTGCCAGTTACATGTTATTGAAAGGTTCCATTTATATAATTATAGTGTATATACATTTAATTGCAAAACACTTGTAAGGATTTCGTTTCTCCTGAATTCTTGAATTTTGTGTCATCTTATTCTAATGTGTTTGTTTTTCGATTTGCAGCTGGGGTTCGGCATTTCATGCTTTCGCACAGCCATTTAGTGTGCCTCACACAGCTTTATCTTGTATCCAAACAATGCTTTCTTCCATGATATCTGCTCCACTCAATCCTTTCTTAGGTTTTTTTGATCTAAAGTTATAAGTTAAGAAATTTCATCTTTTCAGTTAATATCATTATAGGAAATGGCATTTGCAACGATGAATTTGTACTTTTCTTTTATAATTTATTTTTTAACTAATAGGTACTTGTATCTTATTACTTCGAATATAGATATCAAAGTCAGTGAACAAATTATAGTTCTGTATATGCAAACATTTTAACATGTTAATTGCAGGTTCATCATTTTTCTTGACATCCTACGTACGACCAGTGAAATTTTGGGAAAAGGATTACAATACGCGTTGTGTAGATCATTCAAATACACGTCTAATTTCACAGATTGATCGTGGGCCAATGATGGATGATAGTAATTTAAATGCTATCTTCTATGAGCACTTAACAAGATCACTGCAATCATCATTGGCGGGCGATATTCTCTTGGGGCGTTGGTCCACTGCTGTACAACCTGGAGACTGCTTCATTTTAGCTAGGTTTATATTGCCAAACATTGCTTCATTTTAGGCTGCTTCATTTTAGCTAGGTTTATATTACCAAAATTATTTAGGCGGGTATCATAACTTGAATAAGTCAGTTTTAGCAACCTCGTAATTCCAATTTTGCATTCCATTTATATCTTTTAAACGTTTGTCAGAAGGGTCGAAGATTTGAAGTTACTGATTAACACTTATTTTTTTGTCTAGGATCTTGCTTTCATGTTAATTTTGACGATTTTGGTTTCTTATCGTCTCTGTTATTTTAAACGATTACATACTTCCATAGCAGAAAAATGTTTATCGTTATTTTCAGCTATTATTTGAATTGTCTAGTACATATTATTGAGGTCGGCAATGGTTTTGTGACATTTCAACTGCGGGGTCTCGAATTCAGAGGAACATATTGTCATCAGCGTGAGGTCAATTTTGCAATTCTTTCAAATGCAAGACGTCAATAATCAGTGAGATGAAAGGAATTGACATAAACACTTGTCTTGATAATTTTAATTTTGACGTTAGTATAACATTTTGATAATTTCTTTTTCAGGTTGAAGCAATAAGTGAAGATGTTGGGGAGAGTATGGGTTGCTGTTGTTGTTCTTTGCGTTCACTTCCTTGTATGTTGTCGTTAAATACAGCTTGGATTTTGCGATGGCTAGCATGGGAAGTTGTTACGGCGAAATACATTGTTGATGGTTACTCAATTACTGACAATTCCGCTGTAAATTTGCTCCAGGTCAGTGTTCACAAGGACGACCTTCATTGTTTGCTTCAGACGCTTTCTCAAATTGATTTCATTTTTATTGAATCCATTTATATGGACTTGTTTTAATAAGTGCTTTGTATAATGGCGTACCTTAATTTATATTCTATTCTTAACACGGAAGCTGCTTTAGTGCTTTTTTATCAGTTCTGCACAAAATTGTTAATTTCGTCGCCAATTTTTAACATAATTCATCAAACATAACCATGGCCTGCGTTGGTAGAAAGAACTGCTTCTCACCAAAAAGGTATAACTGAAAAAACAGTCCTATCTTCGAAAAATGACTTTTTTGTGTTTTTAAAAACTTCTTTGATTTTAGGTACACGAATTACGTCGACTATTAGTTACTTTGTATGTGAAGAGCATTATATTTTATGCCCTTAATTCACCAAAATTTACGCAGTGGATTCGGCTACCTAATATTGTATGTGCTTTTGAAAGAGTAATAAGCCTATGTCTTGTATTTGGATCTTATTCTTCAAATTTTTATTCAGAAAATTTTCCCAAAATTTAAACACTCTGTTTTATTTTAAACACTTAGAACATTTCCAGCTCTGTGCTCTACAGCCAATTGAAACAAACAATCGATATGTTGACCTGGACCCAATGTTTAGCGCTGCGAATGACGAAGATTTCGATATCAACCTTATGGCACTTCTTTAATTCCTGGATTTTTATTCTCTTCAATTCCTGACTATATTATACCGTTCAAGCTTTTGTGTTAATTTATGTGTATTTCAGGGCGTTTCCCGGCAAAGTTTCACGGAGCTGTATGAGAACTGGATACTCCATTGCGTAGAGCAACATGCACAAAACAATACCGATTTGCAAGTTTTTATAAGTTTTCACCAACTTTTATAAACACTCGATATCTTCGTGCCTCTTTTAATATGTAGTTTTTTTTTTTTTTGAGTCACGATAAATTAGATAAATGGTCAGCGAGTCACAGTGTTAGCGAAATTAATTTTTCAAAATGTATTCGAAGTCGCATCAAAGCAAATAAAGAATAAGTATAATCTATTAATAATAGTGCAGGTAATGGAGGCTTGCAAATGATTGCAGGAATGCTGAAAAAACTAATACCAACAGAATTAATGCATTTTGCTTTGCACTTTCGGTAGTTGGACGACGAGCACTTGCAGCTGCAGCGCATAATCGCCATGCAAATGCTGCTGAATCATTTCTTTATGGTTTACATGCTTTATTTAAAGGCGATTTTAGGTTCGCGTTCAATGTGGCTTTTCGAAAATTTTTTTTCCAGAAATATTTAAGAATTAACGGATAAATTGGAAATTGTTTTCACAACTTTAATCACTAAAATAGACAGTCAAAATTCTAGCGTTTGAAACCAGTAGGTATTTAATGACAAAAATTGCGTCAGAATTACTTTATTGCTGGAGTCCATGTTGATGATGATGACTCACTGTACGAACATATCATCCTTCTTGAATAGCTTATAGTTCTCAGGATAACATGCCAGCGCGACGAATGGGTGTTTGCCGACATGGATTTATTGCGATGTGTGGTAGCGCCAGCGGTAAGAATGGCACTGAAATTACATCAGGATCATTTTACTGCCGGAGATGATTTTGACGATGCTGCATTGCTCTATGAACGCATTATACATCACTTGACAAGACTATTTATTTCGCATGAAGTAAGCTTAAGATTCCACGTTCAAGTTCTAGAAAATTTATTTTGTGAGTTCCTTCAATTCTTGGACTTTTTTTTTACTTGATAATTAAGCATGATCCCGCATGGAGAAGAGCTATTATAGCAAATACACCGAGCCTGTTAGCCCTGCGACATATTTATGACGATGGTCAAGATGATTACAAAATCATCATGCTGAACAAAATGCATCTCAACATGAGGTAGTTTGATTTATTTCTACTGATATCAATTAGAGCACTTTTTCTTTTATCATTCATGTTTCCAGAGTGATAAAATTGAATCGCGAATGTGTTCGTGCGTTTTGGGCTGGGCAGCAGCAGGAGTTAATTTTCCTGCGAAATCGGAATCCGGAAAGAGGGTCGATCCAAAATGCTCGTCAAGTTTTGAGGTATATAGATAGTTTTGGAATACCAAAACGATACAAAAAAATGATAAATTCAAATTTCCACGGAAACCTATTGTTTTGTCCTAGCTCGAAATCTATAGTTTTTTTAGAATTCTTGTTTTCAGAAATATGATAAACAGCAGTGCGGACCAGCCAATTGGGTATCCAATTTATGTATCTCCTCTCACCACTTCTTTTGTTGATTCACATCCTCAAGTACGCTCATTAAGTATCCCACTAATGACATTTGAACTTATATCGCGATCTCTTCGCTTTTTACGGGCCTCACTAAGAATGAATTTTGGTACCAGTGGAAGCAGAAGCAGTAATATACCAACACAGGTGAGACATTGAAGCAGTGCTTCAATTAGAATCTTAATTCCGTAAGATACTTCTAATTTTGTGTCATTTTTCTGAGTATTTCAAACTTCTTTCGAAGAAAAATGAAGTTTAATGAAATCGTTAGATGAAAACTTGTTGAAGCATGCAAATCCTATTTGAATATTTTTAGCTCATGATGGCAACATCTACGACAGGAATTGTAACACGCACTAATTCAAATAACGAAGGCCAAACTAGCGCGGGACATCAAAGTGGGACACTCACATTTGCTGCTACATCTGCCGGACGTTATGCAGCTGCACCTTCGATCGCCATGCTTAGAGTAAGGACTTATGATTTGAAATAGACAACGTTCCACGCCTATCATTAACTTCACTTCTATGCAGGCTCTGCGATGTGCGCCTCCTCCGAATTCCAAAGTTTCTGAGCCATAATATTTTTTACGCATTCAGCAACAACATTAATTTTTTTTCCAGACTGCTATTCTGATGTTTTAGATAATTTCTTGTAATTCTAGCAGGAAAACTCTATTGTTTCGTTTGCTGGTGATGGCGTTACGAAAGTAACACTGTGCAAAGATGCTCTAAAATCCCTCGAGTTAAATGATATGACGCATAAAAGTGGATTACTACTAGATTCTTCGCGAGGTGAACAAACCCAGTACGCTAAAATTACAGATATGGAACAGGTTAGTATTCCAAGTCGAGATTTGCAAATCCTGTTTAATTTTTCAAAAGCTCTCCAACCTTATAATTTCATTCCCTTAAAAACTCTAGATCCTTTTAACTTTTTATAGTTATAAAAAGTTAGAAAGTTGGAGAGTTTTTGAATGTAATGAGGTGCAAAATTTTTTTGCAGTTTTGCAAAATTGTTTCCTACCCTTCTGGATTTTGAGCTTTATTGCACTTTCAACATTTTCGTTTTCTTTCGTCAAGTCTTGTGTGAATAAGTCAGATTTGCTTCCTGAAAGTTTTCTATTTTATTAAAATTGCCTTAAAAAGTATTCGCATATTATTTCCAGGTCTTCACATGCCTAGACGAGCCCTTAAAATCGACTGGTGAACCGCTAGTTACTTGGCCGCATATTCGGTGGCAAACACTCGGTGGTCGTAGTTCATGGGATTGGACGCCATTGGAGGGGCACCGAGGCAAAGTTGTACATAAATGGGTACCACTTCATCCGCGGCGTGAACGACGATCACATGCAGGAACGATCTATTTGGTGGGTAACCACTATTTTAATCGTAGAAAGCACTTATCTTAATGGTAGAAAGGATTTCCAATGCAACTTTTGATAATTCAATTCGTGGTTTGCGATACTATTTAGGAAATTTGAAGATTAATGGTTCTGTCATAGTATGATATGACCTATTTCCAAAAGGTCTGTTCACCTGATCTGATTTACTTAGTATAATGTTTTCTGAAAAAACTCGCAATCTTTTGAGTAACAGGATTTACTATTTGATTTCGGAAAGTGCTTCTTATTTTAATAAGATTATGTACAAATTTTTTCATTTTAATGTTTTGCATTGTGATTTCGATTGCAGCTATGCGTAAAGGAAATGGGTGGTTGCTATGTTCCTGTTGGTGAGAATGGAATCGAATTCATCACAAAAGAAGAGTACGAATGTGATGCGAAAGCTGAAATGGTTGTTAAAAAGGAAACTTTGAAGGCTTGATATTCGCCTCGGATTAGAGTTGAAAGAGTGCATTATTTCGATTTGGCGGCCAGTAGTTAGATATTATAAAACCATTCTTGTGAAAATTATAAAATAATCGAATAAAAACTTGATAAATGAAGTCGACAAGACCTGAAACAAGTCTGCTACAAATCGAAACACGTATTATACCTCAAATTTTCTGGAAATATTCGCTTCTGCACGCCAATTTAGGCATATAGTGAAATTTAACAGCGAATTATTTGTTTCATCACAGTAGAAGCATTTAAATAGTTAAGGAGAATATTACTCGGAAACAATTATTTGCTGCTGGTGTCATCTTTTTCTTATTCAAGCAGAGCATCAGATTTCTTACTTTTGAGAAAAAAATTAGCTCCACAGTACTACTGTTTATTAAATCTTTAACATTTCCAAAATGTAAAATATATTAACACTTCCTTGAGCATTTATGACTATTCTTACAATTTTCATGACTTTTTTAGATTTCCAACTTTATATTTAACCAAACAAGGATAAGCCGTGCTGTTTTGCATTAATACATCTCAAATATCCTGTTACAAGACAGAGCCCCCTCCCTTTCATTTTCAAACATAAAGCATCAGTAAAGAGCACTTTAATCATAACAACATAAGCGCAGGATAAATCATAAGGCAACTTGTCAATAAAAACTAGCTATCAGTTAGGAATGGTTTCTTGAAAATCCTTTGCAGATCTTGAAAATCCTTTGCATTATAACTTGCGTTTTGAAAAATAAAAAGCAAAGTTGACACCTTCACAAAGAAAAACGACAAAAATTAAGTAGAAAGATATCTCTTACCAAAAATCTTTTCAGCGATGTCATTTTCCCTCATAAATGCTATTTTCCCTCATAAGCAAATGAGTGTTGTCAGGAAGAGAACAATAATTTTACTGTAGTTTAAGTAAAGTTTTGCATCTAACCATAACTGGAATATCAACTGCAGATTTCGGCATCGCAAAAATATTTGCCCGAGAAAACATTTCTTCGTACCATAGATAAATGATACAAATCGTCGCTTGTAATAGTTACATCCGCACCAGATACAGTTACATTCGATGTCTACAAATGAAGCTATACATTCATACTGAACCGCCAAGGCTGTCAATTACTACAGTTTTTCTGAAAGTAAAATAGACCCAAGCAGAGGGAGTAGCTGTGTTTTAACATGCAATAATGACAATTTAAAGTTAGTGCCATCTATTTCACAGTAGTAGTAACAAAGGTAGAAGCAGTCTTTAGCAATGAATAAAAAAAGGCTGATGAATGCTTTAAATTTATGGTAAGAAAATAATTTATTAGCTAAAACCTTCACTTCATCACTGTTTCAACTGCAAAAGCTTTGAAATAATACTCAAGAAAATGGATCAGATAAAAAACAAAAATCAGTAGGTGGAACAACGTAAAGCAGAAGTCATGGGATTTTCCGATAAAGATTTAATATTTACTTGAAATTTGACAAAAGTTTGCGAAGCAGTTGCAGGACCACCGGAAAGAGAAAGCCTTGCTTTTAGTGACCCGCTACATTCACCATCTCGAGAAAGTTCAGCTAGTTTCCAAGACAATGTGTTGTTCGAAGGTGACCTAAAACATTTTATTATTAACTCTTCCTGGAAATTCTATCACTCAAGAGAACTCAAATTTAAGGATTATAGGCTCTGTAAACCTAAGTCCATCATTTCAAATTGCGGTTCAATCACTTTCGTAACAAGGATTTCAATTCTTTCATTTGTAGTCATCATTATAAATATATAATCAAAGTGCTCATTACATTGTTTTTTTCAATACTTACCATTCAGCATTAGGATCTGCAATAACACTGATCACAGAACCATCTACTTTTGTAGTGAAAACAACATTCATAAGAGAGCAATCGGTACCGCTATCCATATTTAATTGATAATCAATTCTTAAATCAGTATTATGCGTCTCCAATTTCCAGTAAACTATTAAAATAAGAGGTGGAACTGTCGGTTCCTTTACTTCATATGTCAGGACCTGAAATAATGGAAAATAAGTACTTCATCTATGATAAGAGTCTGGAAGACCTATTTTCTTTTGAGCATAAATTAAGGAAGTTACCTCCGCACTGAAGAACTGAGAATCTGGTTTTTCAACTTTTCGTGCGGACAGCCATTCAGCTAGTTGCGTTTTCTCAAATTTGAACGTGTATGGGGCAGCGAACGCATCAATAACTTGCGAAATCAACTAAAAACAATGTGAATAAAAATGTAATAAATTTTACTATTTCAAAACCTTAACCCCATTGTCTCAAAATTCCGCTGTGTTGAGTTGACCAATATATTTCATTTTTGCTTTTACACGCGATAAATTTTTTCTTTTTTGTTTAGTCAAAACTAAACAAATTAACGAATATGGTAATAAAGATGAATCAATTGAACGAGTAACCGGGAAGGAACCTTATGAGTGTTAAGACTAATGAACACTCATCAAAGAAAGTAAAAGATTGGAATTCATTTTATAGCAATGCAAAATAATTCTCCTGAAGACGCTACCTGACTGTTCGGCGAAATAGTTTTGATTTTGTCGGCATTTTTCAGCGTTACGATAAGTGGATCGATGTCAGAGGTGAGGTCAGTTAAAGCGGGAACTACAGTCGCTGGGAACGACACAAGAACAGAACCGAAAACCCGGACCGTTGTCCTGCAAAATTCATTATATTTTCAAAAAATTGAAAACTGTTTCGTAGAGCAGCTGTTTTGAAATATTACCGTAAATAACTTACTTATTCCAGTCCCTTCATTTAGTGAGTTTTTTCACTTACTTTGCGGGATCCGTTCCCCTGAACCATGCATGTATATACTCATTAATTGCCATTGCAACCGGAATACGATTTTCTGTTATTGTGGCTGAAGCGCTCAATAAATTCGATGTTGACGTCGTGAAAGGTGTTTCAATGGCCATGGAATGCTCTAAGAACAGAGCTGATTCGCTTCGAGAAAAAGTCCGTTCATTTTCCATCGAATCCTTTAAATGTCGAACTATTAACACGATGTAACTATTACGATCATGCTGAAGGCATATAAATCGTACTGCCGTCGACCACCGTTCAATTAACAGTTTATGATCTAAAGGAATGTCAAAATTCATTCTATTACATTATTACATTATGGTGTACATCTTCTTTGTTCGTAAAAAGGAAAGATGTTAACTAAAAAAGCACATCAAAAGACATTTTTTATGATAGACTATAACAAAAAATTTTTATTACTCGAGTGTAATGTTGAACTGATGAACTGTCACATGTTTGCAATGCTAAGTTAGATGCTCCAGGTGTTGGGGTACTACTATGTGGTCGAGCTCGAGCTCTGTTTGAACGAGACATCGAAAAAGAAAATGGCAACGACGAATTATAGGAATCTGAAAAAAATAAATAAATTTTCAGTTGCGATTTTCAGTTTTTTAGAAAAATTTATGAAAAATTTATCGAGTTGCAAAAATTTCTGTAACTGAACGTAAAATAATAATGGAAACAATGAATAGAACGAGAATTACCCAAATGTTTTCTCCGCATATGACCATCACCAGTAAGCGCAGCACGAAGTGGTCGAACAATTCCTTCCGAACCTGTGTTGAAAGGTGCTGAACGACGTGTGGATGACCATGGATCCTAAATGGAGACCAATAAGCTTAAGCTTCACGATAAATTACAAGTTGGAAATATGAAGAAAAGACTTACACAATCAAAAGTACTGCTTCTGCTGAATGTTGTAGAATGTAATACGATATTTCCGATTGCATTCCGAAGCTCATCAACCGATGCGGTAATATTAGCTTTAGATCCACTAAGAGGTTTAATGCTTATGTGGCGCAATTTAGCCGCTTGTTGTAGATCTTCATCATTATCTGAAAAAAACATGGTACAAAAAAAGTTATCTGTTACTTACCTTATGTATTTAAAACTAGAGACAGAATAGTGAAATAATCCACCTGAAGACTCGGTGCAGCTACTCCAACGTGATCGGCCGAAATTATCACCGGCACCTTCATCATCATTATCTCCTGGTGGTGGAACAGTAGGATGTGGCGGTGGTACAGTTACAGGAGCATCCAGTATATTAAGAGAACCATTTGTTGTAATAAACTAAAGATTAAAACTATAGTATGATTTTACTCAAGTTATAAAATAATATGCACGGTCATTGTTCAACCGTGCGTATTATTTTAGAAAAAAATCCGTTCAACACAAAATTTTAATAAAAACAAAGTGTCCAAAACTAACAGGTTTTTCTTCACTCTTGCTACTACTTGCAGTGCTTTTCGAGTCTTCGTTGCTGGAAAAGTTGTTTAGCTTTAAAAACAAGGTGTAGCAAACATAAACGTTACATCAACAATACTATTCGATCATATAATGCTACTTGTATGTGTCCATACATAGCAGACAAGGCCAAACATGAAATCCATGAAAGGGATATTAGTCGTAACACTAACAGCCATTACCAATTCAGTATTATAATATTTTCACATTTGATGAAACAAATCATGAATATTTAGTATAATATTTTTAAAAGCAAAACATACGCTGGGCCGTCTATGTTTAAAGCAGTGATGTCGGTATTTGACTTCTTATGTTTGCTTCGATATTTCTTTAGGAAACCTAAACATGAACATACCAAATAACCTCTAATTTTAACTCCATAATAGAAAGATGTAAAACAAAACACGACGAACCCACAGATTCTGACTGGCTGTGACTAAATTCTTGATGTGAAGGTTCGGTTGCTAGCAAACTGCTTTGTGATGCATATTTCTTCCTTTTGCCAGGCAACCATAACGACAATTTCTGTCGTCCCAATGATGCTGAGAACGGCAAAGATCCAGAGCCAACATTCACTGCGGTTGATGAACTGCTATCGCTTGCTACTGGAGAAGGCTAGAAACAATCAACTGATCTAATCTTCCTGTACATGCAACGTTTTCACTTGTTCAGCAGAAAACAAAAAAGTACATAATGTTTCATGTTTATTTTTGCTAAAAAATAGTACGAACTTGAACTTTCAAAGCATTAGTTTCATTATTCCAAGAATCAAACGCATTGGTATCAAGTGTCATCAAGTTGGGTGTCGCGGGTAGGTGACTATCCGCTGATCTTTGTACAGCTGTTAAATCAGAAGAACATGGTGCCAATACAAGAGATGCATTAATATCTTTAGCAGTATCAATTTCTTCAAAAACCGCAAATTCTGTAAAAATAAAAAAATTATGTGAGCCTTTTTGTTATGTAATCAGTTGAATTTATTAATCAAGGAAATGATTAGGAATCAATGAAAAAATCTTCGCTGCAGAAACAAAAAAAATTCAAGCATGATTGATATCACCTAAAAATTTTGTAATTTCTGTGATCTAAATTCATAAACGCGAAAAACACCTGGCCGATCTTTGCCTGTTCCTTTTGTCTCAACAAATTTAATTAGCATCCCGTCAATGTCCAAATTATTAACCGAATCCCGATACAGAGCGCATACCTTCAAAAACAATAAAGATAGAGTCGTCAATAATAAAGAAGCTGCTAATAATAGTGAAGTTAAAAAATGTTCAATTATAGCAAAAAAAATCCAAACCTGTGATGTAGCAGATGCAGACTCATCCATTGCACGCGCAAATACTGCCATAAATGTTTTCATCTGCAGCAAAAAGGCTTGATCGTGTGCTTGAAATAGTCGCGTTGCTTTAATCATTTTCTCTTCAAAGTCAGCTCGTACGCGCCCGTACTTGTCTACATAACCCTTATATTCATCATGTGATTTATTTAATTTATTTTCAGCCTGCAAAAATGCAAAAATTTAAAGATTTGCTTCACAGAAGCTGAGCACTGACAATTTAATGTTGTTATGAAGAAACCCTTTGAAGAGACGCAATGGACCATTTAAACTAACTTTTGAAATGTCTTTCGGTGTGGCATTTTCTTTTTTTAAACGTTCCAGTTCATTTACCCGTTGTGCGTATGTTTCTTTCGACTGAATTAATAAATAAAGTTGATCAGAAAATGAAATATAGTAAAAACTATTTCAATATAATTTGGAATTCGCGTTCTAATTACAAAGATTGAGGATAAAATTGAATTAGATGGAAGATAAAACTTGAATTAAATGAAAGACCAATCAACAAGTTTAATATTTACCTTTTGCAAGCAGGTAGTAGTGGTCTGCATTAAATTTACTGCATCTACAACATCTTGTTCTTTCATTTTCTTTCTTGACCGGACGAAATCATCGTGGTATTTGAAAACCTGAAATAAATCGAAATATTTATTTGTAAATTAACTGCCATGGAATTTTGGATGTTTGTACAACAGAAATCGACAATTTCAAATGGTTACTCCAAAGTTTATCTGAAAGATTTACTAACATCTTTCAGCAGATGTTGTAAGGTAATATAGAAGGATGCTTGTATTTCTGTTAAAAGTTCCATTGTATTCTTCGTTACAAGCCATGCATTTGAAAACATCGAACTCGATGCAATCAGTCCATTTGTCTACAATTTACTAAGTTTTCTGAATAACTTGTTTAAAAACTTCTTGCCTCCCTTGTTAAAAAAGAAACCAAAATTTTTTTAAGATTATATATATATGATACCAACGCTGACTTCCGAAAAAAATAAAATGAAATGAATGAGACAGAAATTTCAATATTAACCGACAACTTAGTTAAAGTTTATATATCAGATTAAAAGAAGAGAAACAATACCTTAGCAATACATTTATTCAAAAATTTGTTCCATTCCTCTTCATATGTTGCTCTTTCCTTCACAAATTGTGCTAATTCTTGCACGGACTCTTCTTCATGTTTCAAATTCTCATATAAAACATGATATCCATGATGTTTCTGACCCTGATAAATAGTTCCAGTAAAATAATTTTCTTTCATTTAAACAAATCTTATAGTGAAGGATTAAATTTTCAAAATCTCTAAAAAGATTTGCAACTCATTTGTCAAATTCATTTAAATTTTTACTGTATTGATATCACTAATGCTATTGTCTCTATAAAAAGACCTTTATTCACAAAATCGATCAGTTTTAGACTAAAAAACTCATTTACAGAAATGATTTTGAATACAAAATCTTTTATTTGAGAGAAATAAAAAGTTGAAAATATTAAAGACTCACCCAGAAATGATTTGCATAATCAACTGCTGTTGCAACCATATCTATACCTACTTATTCAACAAAACAGCATTGAGAGAGACTGAAACATTCTTTCCGACTTATATAAATACTGACCTTCAACATTTGACGGAAGTTTCGTCCTTTTCGAACTTAAAGTTTTACTCATTGGTATATCCAGTACACATAAAAACAACGTGTTATTTCCATGCAAATAGTTTATACACACAAATTTACTGATATGCCAACAGTAAATACTATTATAGATGATATAAAGAGAACTTATACATTTCTTTTTAAATTCTACGAGATAATAATTCAAACTGTAATAGCAATTTATGTTTCCGACTAAACCGTCTTGCAATAATAGCACAGCCATGTTTTTTAGTATTTGAACAACGGGAATATTAATGTTATATTTACAAATTTGATTGTCTTCGAAATTTTTTGATTTAAAGTACACCATATTTTTCACCAGAATGCCTTCGTTATATGAAAAAGATTAGTGCAATACTGACAATTGTTGTTGAATTTAGAACAGATAACTCAGCAAAAAATCCAATAAATGAATCGATAAAGCACTAAAACTGGCAACTGAGTTATTAACTATAAAAGATCATTTAGAGATGATATGAGGTCTTTCACCTACTTTTAACGTCTGATTTTCATCATTCTAAATCATTTATTATACCTACCCTAAAAGCTTCACGAATCCTTTTTAATTGTCATACTTTTAAATTAATATAACAAAAAAATCCTTTCTAATTTTGAACAAAAGCGAAATAAAAATTGTATTCTGCATAAATGTGCAGCTTTGATTCCAGGATATCATTATTTGACAATCAAACAATGCGAAAAGATATGCAAACCAATCAATTCAATAATCTCATATATCCATGATATCATATCTCATATATCAATCAACATCTCTATCAAAGTTGTTTCGGCATGACTTCTATTCTCAAACAACTTTAAAAAGATATAATCGTATGCGTCATTGCTGACAACACAAAATAAATGAGGGTCAATTTCTTGAAAAAAAAAACAGGAAAGGAAAGGCAAAAGGAAGCACTATAGCCGTGAAGAGAATCTGCACATGACCAATTAATTGATCGAAGATGGAATCAGATAGAATCGGAACGAGTGGGGACGCTTTTTCGCTCTCTTTCTTACTTTCCTTCCCTCTCTCTTTCTCCATTTTGCAATGTCACAAATCAAAATATAATCAAAAAATACGATCATCATCTAACTACTCTCTGTCATTTACACACTTTCTTATGATAACGGCTAAAGCGAAAATAAATGGAGAATGAAGCGACCTAGAAGTAGGATATCGGATATTCGGATCATCTAGCCGTGGTTAACCTCCTCATTTCAGAATCCCAAACTTTCATCTATTTATTTTCTTTTAAAATATACAAATTATTGTTGTGAGCGATATCTTCTGATTCATTAGGACAGCAGTAGCTGACAGTGTAACAAATTATCGCTAGGACTAATGAAAGAAGTTGGACCGACCGTAAAATTTGCGAGACCGGGCTGGGGAATAGCGGAAATGAAGGTTGAGTTGGGAGAGGTATTTCAGGATTTGGTAGAGACATTTCTGGGGTCGAAGGGAGTGGCTTCGTGACATGCTAGTAAGAGATATTGGACTTTTTGTTATCTGATAGCCATAGTTAATCGAAAATAGAAAGCATATTGTGATCCGCTTCGGGTATTGGAAGAGTTCATCCTATGACACTTCACTTTCCTATATCTCTCGTTCGATGAAATCTTCATCGAATTTTTATCATCTTTAATTTAGAATAATTCTTAGTCATCTTTTGATTTTTAAAGCTTTTATTAAGCGAAGGGATGATGAAAGATCCGGTAGTTTGAGCTTATCCAACTTTTAAACTTTATCTTTTTTTTTTTCCATATCTTACAGAATTCAGAAATACAAGGACATAATAAATTGATTAAGTTTTATAATGCAATGAAAAACAGAGTAAGTATTTGAGAGGGAATTTCTTTTTCATGAAATTGTTGAAGAGAAGAATTTATCTAATTAGTAGCTTGCAAAATACACTTTATACTAATGCAAAAATGGATGATTCGATTGATTAAAAGTAGCACTAGTTTTTGAAAAATTCAAATTCTTTACAGTTGGGTATGCATGCGTCTTACAATTGTCCTTTTCAATCGTTAAATTTGCAACAAGAAGAACTAATCATTTCATCATTAAACACAACAATCTAATTTCAATTGGATTTTGCTTTATTAATACCCAAGTGAATTTAAGAATCTTCAAATCTGTCCTAATCAAAATGTCTGGACAGGGATCCATTGGAAGTTTCGTTTTATTTCGATGACTGAAATTCGTCGTAAGTCAAGCATTGATTAAAAGTGTTGAAAATAGAGAGTTGCAAGGAAATTTGAATGATAATATCAACAGAGAGCGAAAAGATCATTGGAAAGAATTAACAAGATAGCAGATGAAGAGATCATTTCAAAGTTACAATGAATCCGATTGCAAGACAACAGCATATTATTAAACAAATGATTTAAAAGTAAATTCATTTGATTGATAACAATAAGCAGAGGTTCAATTCCTAAAGCGCTTAAAGTTAACATTGTTGATTACACAAACAGGAAATGACAAATTAATTTTCTCGCATTTTTCGATAACCATATTGATTTTAGTGGCTTATTAAAATAATTATTAAATTGTCGACTAAGATAATTATTAGGTTTCGAAATACATTTTGATTATGAAACATTGAAACATTTTTATCAATGAAATCAATAATTTTTAAATCAAATTTTCATTTATTTTTAATTATAAAATTTTCTGCGACTAAATATCGATCTATTATTTTATTAATTTAATTATCAGCAATACTAAATATTCTTTTTTTCGCCAGATGGTTACAGAAACATTGAAATTGTTGATAAAATTAGTCTGTTAGAGAAGAGGATGGTTGAAAAACTATGTAAATAGCAAAGATCCGGTAGTAAATTTTGGTGATTTATTTATAAAATGGAATGGAAAACTTGTCTCGATAAATCTTCAATATGTTTGCAAATTAGAAAAATTGAATTCATTTTGAACATTTCATTATTTAATTGAATTATTCGTTCATACAAAAACAAGTTTGACTACTTAATGAATTAAATAAATTAGTGTTTGATGGAAAGAAAGAAAGAAAGAAAATTGTTGTTTGCTTCAGCTAACAAAACCTTTTTACCACATGAAGTTCAAAATTAAATGATAATCTTTATCAATTTTGCGTGATCAACTCTTTTATCTTTTTTACCTTTCATCTTTTCACTTACTTATCATTGATAAGAGATGAAACAAGCTGATTGATGCGTTATTTTTAACAAACTTTCTATCCTTCTTCAGTAAGATGTCTCCGAATATAGATAATTATTTAATTGAAAACTAACAGCAATTTTAGCATAGAAATAAAACTACTTTGATTTTTGGTAAAGAGGATAAGTTAATTAAATTAAGCGTCAAAGAGATTTATCAAATTCTAATTTGATCTGTTCAAAAATTAAAAAAATATCAAAATATCATAGGAGTTTTTTAGTATTAATTTTTTTATATTTTTAGTATTAATTAGTATAATTAATTTACGATTTTTATTATTCCCTTTTATTGTTTCGTTCATTTTTTTCCTTTATGTTGGGATTATTTAAACAACAATGAATTTCTTCAAAATTCATCCAACATTATAGTGAGAAACAAAGAGTGAGATTACCAACTTCTAGTTAAATGATCGCAGATTTATCGCTGATTTCAATATGGAACTGGTGTCTGTGACAATTCTATTTCTTATTGTAGTACTACCCTGAAATGTTTGTCATATGTCATCTTTTGCAGTTGGCTGCCTTTTATTTCTAACGATTATCGAAGTGCAAACTGTTATTACGTTTTGCATCACTTCCACAAATTTGCTATTTCAAATAATCGATATATTTCTTATATTTAATATTTCTTATAGTTAATATTTTCTATTATAATATTCATCTTTGATTTTCAGTTTCATTTCATTTAAGTCGGAAAGATATAGCAAAAAATTGTTCTAAGCTTTGAAGAGATAAATAATATAATATTGGTTAAATAGGAAAATATGCAGCGTTTTCTTCCTTACTCTGTTTTATGCTGTCAATGCATACTATTGAATCATTAAATATTCCAGGTATCATCGGAAACGTGTTTCTGAATTATATTACCTAAAATTGATAATTTAATTGTAATATATTTCGATATTTGTTCACATTGTATAAAGACTGTATTTGGTATTTCGAAAATTTCCTTCACTAAATAAACTTTTTCTACGCACAATCTTTGCTGTTTTATGTTTTGTTTTCTTTCGTTAGTGACAGCTTTCATTCAGAAGACTGGTAAATTGTCTACCTCGAAGTTATAATATCATCAAGTAGAAATAAAATATACCGAATGATGCGGAAAGCAACGTTTTCATTTAATGCACAACGGTAATTTACAGTTGATTAAACATATTCCTATCGATTAGAATCATATAAAGTGAATATAATATTTATAATTTTACATTATAAATATATCCGTTTTGAAATTTAAAACACTATAATATGTTAATCTGAATGATAACTGTTCAACATATAAAGATATCGAAGGGGACGTAAAAATTGACCTGAACTTTTGACCTGAACGCTAGAAATATTTAACCGATGCAAATGTTTGATTTGAATCATCTTACTCTGATTTCCACATACATATTTATTTGAAGAATTTATAAACATATTTCATCATAGTAGAAGCCTCTCCAAAATATACATAAATTAGAAAGGATTAAAATCAATTTCATTTTTGAATAAAAATTGATAGTTATATTAATCCAAGCAATTCTATGTATGATATAATTCTCATTGTTATTTTAAATATATCAATGAATATTTTAAATTAATTCATTTTAATACAATCATATTTAATTCGTTTGATTTAGTTTATTCAATGATTATCATCAGCTTCATATTTGATTCAATCGTTGATTTTTAGTTTCATCTACAACTACATTGCTTCATTCGCAAATATCACTAATATATTTTATTGCAAAAATGTATTTTGTTTGTGAATGGTCCTTTCTATGTGCTGCTTACTGCTATTCGACTGTTAGAAATTATGTTGAAATTCTTTAGATGACGAATATGTACAATGTGTTTTCTGTGGTCATAATTGATGTTGATTTTAGAATAATCTTTGATTCTATTCTGTTATATTTATATAAAATAGAATTATATGGAATGCTTGAAAAAAGAACTATCCAAATTTCTCATCGATATTAATTTTATCGGTTTTTTTTTTCATTAAACTCTCTAGCATTATTTTACATTTAGCTAATAAAGTTTTACAGTTATGTTTTTGTAATTTCTTTTTTAATTAAAATTCTGATAATTAGATGTTTAATTAGCTAAAATTTTGATTTAATATTCAATTCTTAACGCAATTTTCTGTAACTTCAAAAAATTACTTTTTCATTTTATTAAAAATTTTAGCTAATTAAAAAAAAAAAAATAAAATTTTAGCTAATTATCGATTAATCTCAAACTGTGTAATTAATTATGTTTCTTCGGATAATATAGCCAGAGAAATAAATCTCTCTTCTCATAATTCATCTGACGATTTTAACAAAATTTTCACATCTCTGGTAATATTTTATTAAAAAATATTAATTGAAATTTTTAAATTATAATTTTTCTTGCTGACAGTTTAAAAAGGATTTCGAAGTTATTTGTGATATGAAATATCAAATTCATAGTTACACATATAATATTATCATTATTAATGCTTTCATATAGCTTTGGATTGGATTGTTAAATGTGAATAATATAATAAGAAGAATGAATGTTACATCATAATCATATATTGCTTGCATATTTTGGTATATTTAATAATTTTGAAATGTTTAAGAAACATCAATGAATCATCATAATCATCATATGAGTCACATCATAAGTGATTCTAATGCATCGGACGATTTTAACAAAATTTTCACATCTGCGGTAAATTCGGCGCCCATCAATCGCGTTTATTCTTCCGCATCTCATATGCATTCCATGTCATTCCATTTTGGCTCCAATGAAATAGTACTTTTCAGTTTTTGGGTTGTCACTAGCCCGATCGGTTTGTTTATTTACTCAAACTACAATTATCTGATCGAGAAATTAGTGAATTCATATCATCATATAAAATTCGAAATTTCCAAAATTGCACTAAAAGAAAGCAAAGTTTTGAATTGAAATTCTTGCTATTAGATTGTTTTACGGAAAGAAGCTCTGCTTAAAGATGTAAATTATGCTTGCAATAGCAAATTGCTACCAGCTGATCTAGCATGGAATGTCAAATTCTTTCTAAATTCAGGAATTATAACAACATGTGCTCTAACAATCTTGATGTGTTTTATAATGGAAGGTATTCGATGGTTTCGAGGTATTAGACCACCGTATAATGTTGATTTGCATACGGAACAGTCATCTGTCGCAAGTTTAAAGTGAGAATGTTTTATTAAACTTCTTGAAACTTTCGTTTTTTACAATCAATATTAGTTGAAAATTTTCGTTTTAAATTCTCAATTTTCTAGATTCGCTCCGCGCATTACGACAGCCATGTGCACTGATGCAATTTTGCATGCAATCCAACTTACACTAAGTTATGTTTTAATGCTACTCTTTATGACATTCAATGTGTGGATTTGTGCAGCAACTGTTTTTGGTGAAGTATCCGCTAGGCTCATTTTTGCTGTTCTATTCAGTAAGGAACGCATAAAAGGAGTAAGTTGTTACAAAATGAAAATTTTCTTGCTAACTAATTGCAAAAAAAAATTAAAACAGAAAGTCGAGAAAATCTAAAGATTTTGAAACATGAAAATACACAAATAAAGATGCATCGCAGAAAATCGAAATATCATAAAAAGTTTAGAATCCGGAAATTGATTAATTAAATAATGAAAATGTCTGATGGATTTATGTTAGCAATTAAAATGCTTATAGAATTATTGCAGCAAGTAATTTTTAGAATCGTGCTGATGTGGGATGCTGTACCTGATTCTAAGAGGTCCAATTCATTTCCTATCTTCAGCAATTTTATGGAGCGAAAATCTTAAAACAAGTGTTATTGAGTGTTCGGAGAAACGAGGCAAGGCAGGGGTAGGGCAATTCGGATATTCTGAAATTGTAACAAACATAAATAGATTGTAACGAAAATAAATAACTTGATGAATTATTCAAATGTGTGTCTGTCACTTCGTGAAATAGCATGAACACTTACAGGAAAAGCAAACATTGATTTACAGACATATCTGCTGCTCACATCACAAACAGGAAGTGTTGTCGAGTTTTTAGGGAGACGGGAGGGGAAGGCAATCCGGATATTCTGAAATTAAGAGAAAATACTTAAATTGAAAATGAATTACTTGCAAATCAATAATCCCTTATCTCCAAGAATGTACTCATATTTCAATCTTCACGGTACAATCCTGTCATTAACTGACATTTTAAAAAAGTATTGTGAAAATTTGATCCTTTGTTTATTCCCATTATCACAAATGATATGAAATAATGGTGTAGTCATGCTCACTGTACTATTTTGGTAAACTTAATTATGCGCAAACATGCACTACTTATTTCCATCGTAAGAGTCAGTTTAATGTATTGTAGATAGCATATAATACATGAATATTCCCTTCAAGCTTTAATGTTTTACCGGAGCGATGGTTTGAAAGCCGTGAAATGCTAGTTTTGAAATCACCAACCAGTAACTCCAAAACTCCATTAAAAGGATATCTCACTCAGTTCAATGCACAATTATAACATTCGTATTCATTTTTAAATCATAAGTCAGATTTTAAAATCTTTATAATAAAGGGAAATGAACATTTTTCACAAGTCACCTGCGTTACATCCCGTGACATTACAGAGGATGAGATTGGGCCGACATAGTGACAAATGGGATATATTTAAGGACGATGTCTTTGTCATTTTAATTATTTCCGGATATTGCTGGATTACGATTAAAATGCTGCTGCTGATGCTTATATGAATCTTACCAATATAAGTAGATTAAATTTCGGGAATTCTAATGAAATTTATTATTCCCAAAAACGGGATGTTAAGTTCTGAATAAGTAGTGGAGTAGTTTCATTTTGTTAAATTTACTGTTATACGCTTTTTACTGAATTAGGTTTCTATTTCTTCTACTTTTTTTCCGTGCCATGTTGAGTTTCATGGATTACTAGAGAGCTAACAGCTAACGACATATTATGGTACTGAGGAACAATGTGCTTTTTGACTTCGAATATTTGAGAATTAACAGAGCTCTGGCATGAATGTGACGCTTACTTGATCATAACATAAGCGCCGAAGTGAAAGTAAAGATAAAATAACAAACGACGACATGTCATTCGACAGTCATCAGGATGATCAGAAGATAAATGAGGAGCAGAAGGGAATGATTTTGGAAGAGCTTCCGGAAAATCTGATCAGGTTTGATTAGCTTTCATTGCTTTCCAGCTACCTTTTTTCCTGCTCTACATAAACAGTGATATCTTTATACATGATCATTTATGGCAGATTTGACGGAAAAGCCTATGCTAATCTCATTAAAACTCGAAGTTCTCTTTTATAATAATTGAGCTATTAATGAATATAGGATTTAAGTTCTGTTCTTTATTAACGATTTTCAAGTAATCTTTTATACACCACTAGATCATTAGATGTCCAGGTCATGATCCAATTTCATTGTTTATTTTATTCTATTGATCGAGACTTTCCAGTCTTGGAAATGTCTGGCTCAGTCTCAAATGTCATTAAAGCCTTAATTCTTTTTTAAGTAATAATGAATAATAAAATGATGTGAATCTATATCTATATCGTGTTTCAAATTTACCAATTTCTAATTGTCTATAGTTTCGATTGTCAGATAGGATCACCTGTTCTCCGCATTGAGTAGTCAATAAGAAAAAGATTATTTTTCTTTCGTTTCCATTTTCTGTTATTGTTTGTAGTATATTCAGTTGAATTATTCTTGTAATTCTATATCTGTTTTTACTATTGAAATTGGAATAGAATTAATTTCTCGAATTTGAGATTTTTGAGCAACTGATTTTTTTAAAGGTTTGCATCGCTGATGGTGAAGACATTTTACGGTAAAGAGCATTTTGTTGTTTTGGATTATGTGCAAAGGAATAAATGTATCAAGGAAGATGATTTGAGACAGCTGATAAAGTTCGACCAGCGTTTTCTGCGAACAGTAATTTTTCATTTCTCATTTAGGTGGATTAGTATAGTTTCTATACATGAAGCTAAGTTTCGAAAACATTTGTGGAATATGCGGTTCATTATTGACTTCATTTATGGTATAAACCTTATAGTCGTCCATTTTGCTTGAAATATACATTCATGGTAATTTCAGGTTTTGATGCAGCTGAAAGTTGATAAGATTCTAAAGGAACGTCTAGTATCCGAAGAAACAGATGGTCGGGCGCGTAAAGTCAATTACTATTTTATTAATTACAAGGCATTATTGAATGTGGCAAAATATAAAATTGACCATATGAGGTTTGCCGTTTTCTGAATGGCTCAACCACTATAGGATATATCGATTATGATGATAGATAGTTACATTGATGCTTGCTCTGTTGTTCAATGCAATCGATCACCATAATTGCTTGAAAGAATTTGCAATACTACTATTGATCTCTTGTTGGAATTTCCTGTAATTTATTGCTACTGAAGATCCGCGTAATTACATACAAATGATGTCGTAGCTGTGCGACTGAAAAGCGTTAATATTTTTATAGGCAGCGTTTGGAAGTAAAAGATAAGGATGAAGTGCATAAAGCTTCATATCGCTGTACTGGTTGTCAATATCAGTATGACGCCATGGAAATGGATAAAATTTTTGATCCAGTGACACAAGAGCTTTTTTGTTGGCGATGTCAGCAAGTTGTCGAGCCGGATGAAACTGCTGGTCCAACGGATGAGACAAGGCAAACTTTCGTTTGCTTTCGGAAGACTTTCCGATTTGTTTGATTAATCTTTATATCATTTTCTTATCAGGAATGAGAAAAATGCTTGTATATTTTCTCATTTTTCAGTGGTTCGCTACTGAAGTCTTACATTTCTTTTTTTAATTTAGGTCGTCTTTAGCGCGTTTCAATGAGCAGATGACTCCATTTTTTTCAATGTTGCAAAGCTTATATGGTATACGTCTTGCCAGGCATCTTGTCGAACCATCAATTAAAGCTATGGATAACATCTTTATAGAATGTAAGTTATCTTCTCCTGTTTTGTTGAACGGGGAAATATTTAGAAAAATTAAGTCATTTTCGTATCTTCTTTTCATTTTTTCAATTTTTTGAGTTTTCAGCAGATGGAAAACGAGTAATGGGAGTTGGTGAACGATCATTTAATGATCAAACAACTGCTTCACGATCCACAATGTACCAGAATAGTATCATGGTGAGCATAGTAGAGGACGGTGTAACTCCAAATGTTGAACCCAAAAAGCTTGTACCCTGGCTTCATAGTAATCAGGTATGTTTTCTTGAACTCCGTTGGCAAAGAATAGTGTTTGAATATCATTTCTCTGTGACCATAAAAATAAGTAGCAAATCCTCGTTTTTTTCCAGAAAGATGAACAAGCAACGGATTCTTTCTTAGTCTCTCCCGACAATCCTGCCGATTCGAATGAAATCACAGGTCTTGAAAGGGGCAAAAATGATATCGATAGCTTATTGGTCACGGAATTCGAAGAGGTTTGTAATATTTCATTGTCATATTTTAGTTGGAAGCGATGAAAAAAAGGGATCAAGGAGATCAGATTAACGGGAAAAATAGGCCAAAAAAATATTAGCAGAATTGATGTAGGAATAAGATAAAAGTAACTTGAATGATCCAACTGTTCAGCAAAAGAAAACACTATTTCGACAAGAACCATTGGTTACTCCTATTTATTTTGCCTAATACTCATTTGATTTTCGCTTCTAGTGCGCATCTGAGTGCTGAGACTTTCAATGTTTTCATCATTTTAGGCAAAGCCGGAAACTTCTCTTACAGAAGGTACTCAAGAAGCTGCATATGAGCCGGTTGGTACGGAAAGTGACGATGATGAAGTTATCTTCGTCGCCGGAAAGAAATATTATCTAGACGAAATTACACCCGAATTGGTATCTCAGATGAATGTTTCTGAAAAAGAAATTTATATACAAAGGACACAAGAAAATTTCGATTACTGACGTCTTCCTAATTGTGTGTCTTCCACTCCTAAGTTAATAGATTTTGGTGAAACGCTTCTCAAAAATAAGAAAAAGTAAGGCTTTATTGAAATTTAAAACCTTATTTGTATGGTATGTCAATATAAACGAGACACACGATGAGGTTAATACATTACTGGGCAGCTTATTCCGTCTCTTTGTAGACTGTTTTATGCTATTCTCACGGTCTAAGAAACTCAGCTTTTCTCAGGGAATTTATTGCTCCTGTATTCTTCCCTTCATTCCAAAGTATTTCTCATTAACTCTCTGTTATTATTGTTAATATATTTATTGCTCGATTGGAATTGTGTCTAAAGTCGCATCAACTGATTTAATCATTGTTTGCCTTTGCATAGGATAACTTCATGCCGCTTTTTATTCAGATATACATTTTTATTCCTTTTGTGATTATTTCGTTCTTAAATTACATTTCACTATGCTGAGTATACTTTCCAAGGTAGTGGAAGATTTCTATTTTATCAACAATTGTAAATAATGTGTGCATAGCTACATTGAAGAAGAGTATAGAATCCTAATGAGGCAGGAAAATCGTTATATTGTGAACTTGAACGCTTCTCGTCTAGCACAATATAATGCATAACATAATAAATACTCCTGACAGAGGTGGACGCCAGAATTTCACCTCTACCTTTGTTTTAAAGTAATTTGGAGCACTTCACGCTCCAATATCGGATCAGGGCCTATTGGAAGAACGTTGAAATGGAAATAGAAGCTCGTTTGTGTGTCAGGTTATATTACTGGGACGAATATTATAGGCGATGGACACTGTCATGATATAAGGGTCATTTAAAAAAGAACATGATGACTTTGCGGCATGGGAATCGGTCTCAACCATCGTTTTAGATGTATAAAATTTAAAAGAGGAATCAAGTCATGGTACTGCTTATGTAGGGAATAACAAAGATTGACTTAGAACGTAGACCTTCACCTCTAACTGCTGCAGTTAAGAATGTGGTGAACTGAAGTCTCAAAGTCTCCATGGTTCCCTTATTTTCATAGCATGATACTCTATATTGCGGGCGTCAGTGTATGTGGGTTACTGCTTGAAGGTGAGGGATATGTGGGTTGAGTTTAGACAAATACAAACTGATAAGAGGTTTAAGTGGATTACTGGAAAAGGTAAGTGTATCATATCCCGCGGTTTCGGAAGCGAGATACTCCCCTCGGATTTTCAAATCTGTCTCGGAGCGTACAACAATAGGGCTCCCCCCCACTCAACGAGCACTGCTCATCACCACTAATTTACCCACCCAGACAAGAAACAATGGGAAGGGTAGTCATTGCTAGAGAGGAGGAAGGGAGAAAGTATGTAGCGAAGAGGTAATGATCTCGCTATGTTACAAACCAATGGAGGTTAGGGAGGTATTTGTATTTTCCCTCGTTAAGTGAAGATGGGGTGGATTTATAGTGCTTCATCCTGATGAAACATGCTTATCTGGTCGTGGTCTTTCCGGGTTTTTTTGTATGTTCGATGTAGTAGAAGTTAATGTCACTATAGTTCATTGGACTAGAAGATGAAGGTCAAGGAGACACATTTTCCACTATAATTCAATGAGGTAAGGATTCAAACCTTTTACCTCAGAAATGACATCCCGCAGTGATTAGTTAAAAGGAGCGTCCCAGAATTGATTGTTACAAGTAACGGTCACTAATCGCGTTCGCTCTTTATGTTGTTTATCCACTCATTCATATTCACTTTTAATTTTACTAAAACAGGAGCACTTCGGGGCAGTAAGCGATAGACATTAATTGTTATCTCCCTATGGAAACTCAGGGATATTGTATAGTGACACTTTTGCTTGATTAACTTCAATTAAAGAGACCAAGACCATTTATAGTGTATATCGAGTATCTTTTGAGATGGTTATGAGACAAGGGATCAATCGTAAGTGGCCTGATTTAGTGCATTACTGGTATTCTGGATATTCTGAGATATATTGTTAGGGATCAAACTAATTTGTTATACGATCACAGATTATTAGTTGCTCGCAAGATCGGATGTCTGAGCTTAGGAAACCCATTTTATCTCCAGAGGCAGTTTTCGATTCTTTTGCTGTTATTGATGAGCAGGCCAATGTATCTATAATGTGCTATTTTTTTTTTGTTTTGCTGTGGGTATAAATTATGTTTGGCGTTTTTTTGGAAAAGTACTGTGGATTAGTTCATCGTTCAAATACACTGAGTTTCATATAGATTTTTTCCGGCTTATACTCAACAGCACCATTTTGGAGGAAGGCGAAGAAAACATGAATGTAGAAAAAATCAAAAAGTTGCAACAGAATGCAGCTCAGGTGCGGACAGGTGGGAAGGTAAGATTACTTTTGAGTAAAGTTAGGGCTTATTAAATCAGTTGATTATGATCCGTTAGGTTTAACGGCATTTTATTGTGTCATTTTTGAAATTATTTCTTGTTGTAGGGCACTGCACGAAGGAAGAAGAAGGTTGTGCATAAGACCGCAGCCACTGATGACAAAAAATTGCAAAGCAATCTCAAGAAGCTTTCAGTTACAAACATTCCTGGGATTGAAGAGGTTCATATGATGTTTTTTCAATGTTTTTAACTTTCCAGTAATCACTCTAATGTTCATAAGTTTATTATATAAACTATGTAGGTCAATATGATAAAAGATGATGGGACTGTGATACATTTCAATAATCCAAAAGTACAAGCATCTGTCCCAGCAAACACATTCTCGGTGACAGGAAGTGCAGAAAATAAACGTAAGTTCTTTCACATGTCGTATTTCGATGTATTTGGTTGGTTTGTTTTTGTTTTTGTACTTCCAAAAATAAGTTCATCAAGTTGTTCTCACTTTATCTCTGAACGTACCACGTTATTCTTATATTACTTTAGAAATTACTGAAATGTTGCCTGGTATTCTCAACCAATTGGGAGCAGAATCATTGACACATTTGAAGAAGTTAGCAAACAATGTTACTAGTCAATTCAAATCTAATGATGACGACGATGTTCCAGGTTTGCATCTTTTTGAAAATTCTTACATGTCTAAGGAAATAACGTGGCATAATCTTTGAAAGATAATGCATTATTAAGCAACAATACCACTGACACTTTGTATGAATTCAAAGCAATAGTTTAAGGAAAGATCTTGAAATCGAAACGAAAGTGAGAACAGAGAAGTATAGGATGGTTTAGTTGAATCTTTTAAAAAGTTAATTACTGAAAACCGATTTTTTCTGAGTTCAGAACTGTTCTTTAGAAATTTACAATAAGTGTTTTATATTAATCGATATGGAAACTAAAAATTCTTCAAAGCCTGTCTGTACGTTCAGATCTTGTTGGTGATTTCGATGAGGCATCAAAGAATGAATCTAAAGTCGGTGACTGTAAACACGAGCATGGACATGAACACGGACAAAGTTTTCATCATGAAGGTGGAGAAATGGAAGCTAAACTGGCTGCATGAAAATACTGTTGAAATTTCGCGATATCTGTTTAGCGTATTCTCCAGTAGAAAGTGTTTTTCTAGATCATTCATTGTTTTTTGAAACCTTCTTATTCCCACGTCAGTTTTTCAGAATTACGATTCATGAATCTTTTATTAGCTTTTATTTGATGAAATAGGCACATTTGCGATGATGCAAAATTTGCAGAGAAAAATAATTTATTTGGTGTTTCGTGGGCATAGAGCGTTTGCATTTCTTCGTTAAATGCTTTTCTCTTTTGATATTTAATATATGTTTGTTATTATATATACTAATCACATAAAAAAGGTTCCAACTGGTCAGCTGATTTAGGGGTCACGGTTAGCCGATTTAAGGGTCACTAGAAAAAAGATGGAATAAATATTGGTCGTTTTTTTTGTTGACTTATTGCTTTAAAACATAAGCAACTACATTTGATTTTACCAGTTTTAGTTTGATTTGTTCAGTCACTTTTTTCTTTGATGTAATCCAATTTTTCTGCAAAATAAATATTTGAAGAATTTTGAATCCACCGTATAATCCTGTTTGCAATCGACTTGCCGATACACGATTAGGGCGCTCTTGTTTTTTTTTTTTTGTTTTACATGGTCAGAGTATTTATATTGATAAGTTCGATTATGATCAGTAAAAATTGAAAGTTTTTGTAACTTTGGGATAATAATCTCGATGGTATCTTAACACTAATTATTCTCTGGGTTATGCCGACGCCGAAAAAAAAGTGGTTGAGATTTCAAAATACATTAGAATGAAAAAATACGTTTGGTATGTGAAGGCATTGCGGGATTCTTGTGATATATATATGCACTTCAAATCACAGCTATTCGCATTACTAGATTTAGCCATTAACATCTGATGCGCAGGAGCATATAATTACTCATTAGTTGCGGTCCATTCTGTACAAATCTGGATGGTGTCACGAGTAATTTATATTTCGGTCATTAATTTGTTTTGACCATTGTAGTATATTGTTAGCATGACATACAATTTAAAAGTGATTTGGAACTCTCAAAGTAGACTCAATTTATAATCCAGCAGAAATTAGTACCATATGATTTTATTCACTGTAGTGTAATACGTGCATAATATTTGGAGACATGTCAACAAAAGGATATATCACATAAGAATCAATCATGTTTATTTATTGTTTCCTTCTGATCGGCTATTCAAGTTCGGTTTTTTGACCGGTGAAATAGTTAGTAAAAGTTCGAATAAATCTCTTCAAAATGATTTTCAAAAACAACCAATAGCTTTTCTACACTTTGACGGAATAATTCGTTTTGCTTAAATAATGAATTATTAAAGTGAATTAATAGTGTACAATAGTGAGGAATAATTCATTATTGTTAGTCCATTTTCGAGCTAATACGTCGGAAATGGCTGAATGAAAATATGTATAAATTATAGAATTTAAAAGCATATATTTTGTGTAATGTAATATTCGAAGTAAGGGACTGAAATATTGGAATTCTATTTTGGTATCATGGCCGAAGCAATGAAGGAACAGATTTTGGCACTCAAAGGTTAAATATGTTTTTTATTTTTGAATTTTGAAATAGATGGAATTCAGGTCTTGGTTTATGAAAAATTTTAACTTTTGAATAATAATTATATTATTTGTAGTGATGCGCCTTGCCCGTCCCAAATTCTACGAAAATATTTGCATGCCAATTGATCCAGCTGATACAACCAGCCAACTAATTGGTTCTGCTATTTGTCGTTTAACTGGACAGGAAGCTGCTGATATGCCTATTGGAAAATATCTTATGGCACCGCAAAAGTTCGAGTAGGTCTATAGAAGATTCATGATTGATTTAGTAATGTTTGCAGCACTTTTGTTGGTTTTTGCTGACGCGATGACTCTAATGATTATAAAACTGTGATGATAGCTCGGCTAAATTTGGGATTTATTTCTTCCAAGGGAAATTTGAGCACCATGTGATCTCGTGCTACAATTTATATGGAAATTGTGATTGCCTAATTGCTAGGAATTTCACAATAAATTAATAAAATGCAACCTTTACTTAAAAAAATATTCTTTTGATCTTTTCAGGAACATTTATTTGGGAGAGACCTTTACTTTCTATGTGTGCGTACAAAATATAAGTGATAAGGTTGTGACGGATATATGTGTCAAGGTAAATATATATCTTAAATTTCTAAAAACAAAAGTTTGTTAAAGCTTGCATAACTTTTGAACTTGTCACATGAGCTTTCTGTGAAACTGTTTTATCGACTTTAAAATCTTTTCATGTCTTGCAGACTGACTTGCAAACCACAAGCCAGCGTAATGCTCTACCATCGCAGTTACAAGAAGCGAATGCTGTGCTTGAACCAGGGAAATGTTGTGGGGAAGTTATTACTTATGAAATCAAGGAAATTGGGCAGCACATGTACGTTTTACTTGATATAAATTTATTTGGATACTGGAAAAGTGGTTGAAATCTTTTAGGTGGTGAGGGATGGATGATTCAGAATATTTATGAAATAAGTTTAGTAGTATAATCCCTTTGTGACTTTCAAACTTATTAAAAAAGTAAGTGGATGATTTGCCTGAGGTCGCCTGACTTACTTTTCTAATAAATCAGGAATTTCCTCGGTTCATTCAACAATGAAATCATTGCCTTTTCACAAAGATTTCATGCACTATATTAGTATCTTCAGGACCAAGATTTTATTTTTCTCTGATTAAGAATGATTCATACTTTTGTTATATTTAAATTACCTGATTTTCTGGATCTTGTGATATTTTCAGTAGCAAATTCCAACATAATTGCGTGTTGTAAAAGTAAAATTGAGGCTATTTCATCTACACTTATTTGATGTCTTATAATTGGAGACCTTTGCTTCGTTATCATTTTTTTATTGCGTAAAAAGAATTTGTTTATTTTTTGCAGATTAGTATGTGCCGTGAGCTACAAAGTATCTAAAAATGAGATGTATTTTCGGAAATTTTTCAAATTTCCGGTCAGCAAACCAATCGACGTCAGAACGAAGTTTTATAACGCGGAGGTAAGTATCCAGAATTAACCTTTTTTACTAAGTATATGCTTTACCAAGGATAGTTTGCTGTGGTAAATTCAATTTTGAAAACACTCTTCGTGCTTCCCAATAAAATGTTTTAATTATTTTATTTCGAAGAGCCAAAATGTTTGATATAATTATGTTGTTCGCATGTTATTGCGTGTATGAAATAACTATTGACATATGAAGAGTCCCATTCCCCGTTCTTGATGTTATTTAGGATGAGGTTTTCAAATTTTGAAGCCAGTTCTTCTCTTGTAAGACTTACATTTTAAATCGCATTATGGGATACTTGTGCCAGAAATTATAAACGAAGGAATGCTTTATAAATTTCTAACTTTGAGAAGTAACCTTTCCTTGTAATTCTCGTCCGCATGCTTAATATAATTTGCTTTGCATGAATATACGAAAGAATGATGTGTATAACCAATGGTGTTTATCTTATATACAGGATAATCTGGTAAGCTCGTTTGCATTGTAAATTATCAAGTAAGTTAGCGTTGCGAAAAAAGTAGATATTTGAAAATCGATTTGACTTTTAAGAAATCAAAGTTGGTCTGTAAAAATGAAAGCTTCTAAGCCTTTTTGTCAGCCTAAAGAATGGAAGTAAGGTGCTTTGTAAGAATCCATTCATAAAAAGTGAGATTTATATTAGGCAAGGAATAAATCATAACGTTTATTTTGAAAACTCTTCTTATGATAATTAACGAAGTTTACAGAACAATGATGTTTACTTGGAAGCACAAATTCAGAATACTTCTGAACTACCAATGGTTCTGGAAAAAGTAGTCCTGGAACCGTCCGACTTCTATATAAGTTCTGAAATCTCGCCTCCTGAAACAGAGTATTTCTTTCTTTTTCACTTAACTTATTTCTTTTACCTTCCACTATTTCTTTTGCAATAATACAATGTATGATTTGTGAAGGAAAGTATATCGATGGTACCCACATACAGAATCGCGTCAGCATTGAGAATATTAATTTCCCATTAAGATTTGTATTGTCTTTAAAATATTATGAGGACGAAATTGCGATACAGAATCATGCTGTCCATACCATTATAACAATACAAGTTAATTGTATTACTATTTCCATATAGCTGATCATTGATTAGTGAAAATAATATCTCTAGAAATGAAAACATGGAGCAGTCTTATCTTAATCCAAGTGATATTCGACAGTATCTCTTTTGTCTGAAACCGAAAACAACAGATTATTCCCTTAATTATTTTAGGTATGTCACGTTAAACTTTCATTTTCACCGGAGAGTTATTTTGCTTCATGGAAAGACGGACATACAGATTAAAGAAAATTTTGATAAAGTAGTTATTCAATCAATGTCTTGAAAATTTAAGAAAGAGAAAATGCGAAGTATGGTAAACTTTTGGGAACTATTTATTGAAAATTACTTATCAAGTTCTACTTATGAAAAATTTCATCGTTCGTTTTTATTCTTTATGCTACATTGACCAATCTTGCAATAATAACAAGGGTCAACTTTTGTGCCATTTAAGAAAAGGAACATCAATTGGGAAGTTAGATATGGTTTGGAGGACTACCATGGGAGAGAGAGGCCATTTACAAACGAGTGCTCTGCAAAGAATGGTTTGTTACAATTATTCCGGTATTTGTTGCATTCATTCGCTATTTCTAAACATTCGCAAATGTGCAACTTACAGAAGCTTAAGAAGACAAAAATTTAATAATTTCCAGAATTTAAATTTCCAGGCCCCAGGATATGGTGACTTGCGACTGACAATTGAAAAAATACCAGCAACAGTAAAGGTTTTGCAACCATTTTGTATGATGTGCCGACTTCATAACTGCAGGTAAACTCCTTTTCCTCGTTAGAACATAAATATAAATTTACCTTCCTTTCGTATTATCAATTCTTTACAATTCAAAATCCAAGATTAATATCTTTATGCCAGGACTTTGAAATAATGAATTACAATTTCAGCGAACGATCACTGGATTTAGTGCTGACTCTAGACGACAAACTGCAACCGAATATTGCGTTTTGTTCAACTAGTGGTGTTGAATTGGGACAATTGCCACCAAACAGTACGATTGACTTTTCCCTAGAGTTATTACCGCTAACTCCTGGATTACAAGTATTTTTTTAATCCATTTACCTTTTTTTTTTCGAAGTCCTAACATATAACAAAATCAGTATCTTGGATAACAAGAACATATCAATATCATAAAAGTTCGATGGTGACAGTATGGAAACGTGTTGCATCTGAATATTTGATTTGCTTGTTTTGAAGTTTTGATATATTTTGCAACAGAAAATTCATTCTATAAGACCGTCGTTCTCCAGCATGAATCAGGAATTTATTCCTCTATCAGTCTTAAGTGAAGTTCCGTAATATGAAAACACAGATCCATCAATTTATGTTACCTTCAACAATTACTGGTCTATGGAAAACTTCTGGGAGTAATAATGCTCAGGATCTTAGTTGTCCAACTTCTAATCCTCACAGGTTCTTGTATGAATCATTATAGATTATCGCGAGTGTAATGGCTTCCGTTTAAGTGACTGCTGCTTTCATCAAATCTTTTAAGCACGGAAGAACACAATTCATATTCTTTATCATATTTAATGTTTTCTATTGTTTTCTAATTTAATGGTAATTTTTAATTTTCAGTCAGTTTCTGGTATTCGAGTCACGGACACATTCCTAAGGAGAACATATGAACATGACGATATTGCCCAAGTGTTTGTAGCATAAAATTTTTGAGAGCTGGTTGTTGTATTAGTTGCATTTCGATAATAAGTGATTTATTATCAATTGTGAATGTCATCTCTTTATACACACGTTGCGAAATTGCGCAGACCTTTCTAGTTATCATTTCTTACCTGTTGATAAATAATACTCATCAATATGTTGAGGATGGATATAGGAACTATTAAGGAAGTCCTATTATGCGCATTTAAGGAGATTATAAAATTCCTTCTATCTAAAATTCTTTGTCTGATGACGGCACTCACTCCAACATCTTTTATATATTTTTTACCTTATTTAAACAATTTCGATCTGCAACTTTAATAGTCTTACATATTTCTTTGAAAATTTAGAGCTCATAATCTAGCATGTAGAATCACCCCTTCTTAAAAGGCTTTCTTCAAAAGGTTAACACCGTGTTCCTAGGCTTTTTGAAATAAAAACCTAGCTTTCTGAAAAGTAATTTCTGTTAATGTTAATGTTAATGTTAAAGTAATTTCTGCAAGGGAAAAGAACAAGAAATTTTATCTGTTCAACAAGCAAAATATATTTCACAAAAGAGACATGAGAATAGATGCAGAGCAAGAATTAATATACACAACGGAATAAACTTCCTCAGACTATCGAAATCTATTAAATGATATAAAATAAACAAATAGAGAAACGACTAAGAACGTTTAATTTTATAGAAGCTGCAAAGATTCTGCGATATGAGAGTATGAGCGTTGCTTAAATTCCGAACGATTTTTTTTTGCATTAAACTCAAAGACAAAAGCCACAGTAAAGTGAAAACAGTTTCAACTAACGTTTAAAGTATATTTCTTTTTTCAATCCAGCAAATTCAAAAGTGAAAACTTCATGAAGTCATGATTCGTAATAATTAGATCTCTAGTATTGGTGGACAGAGTATTTATTAATATCTACGAAGTCCGTTGCTATAAATTCACAGAAAGCTGATCGATAAATGAGAAGAAAATTCGCCCCGACTCCATATTAAATTGAACAATTTTTTAAATAAAACTATGAAGAAAGTGATAACCAATTCTTTTATTCAAAGAGCAAATCACAGTGCTATTCAATTTGAATTTGGCCTAATCGAAACATCGGCACTGTCACGCTCGATATCACTTACAGTGCTTCTGCTGGATGAAAACGCGGCACCAGACGTACGCAGGAGATGAGTTGATGCAACTGAAAAGTAAATTGTGGACAGTCCACAATTTCGGCATTCCTCAGCATCAGACATTCTCTGCCTTACATGATTCATCAACAGATTTTCTCAAATCTTACAAAATCTCCACATGGAATGCTATCACAATATGCCTCGAGCTTAAGCTTGATACTTATCAATAGCCATTCTAACTAGTAAAGAATGTTACTAACCTTGCCCAGATAGCGCACTGAATTCAACCATAACATTGTCAATCACAGTTTGCAAATATTCTGAAAAATCATCAATATTGAATTATAGAATTTCTATTAATAATCATCTTTATATAAATTTAATTCGACTCATTCGAAAAATAAGGATAACAATTTTCTGATGAATTAGAACAAACTTTTCATGTTGAAATAGTCTCTCCATGTTGAGTCTGGTTGGTTGAGTATGTCTTCCAGTTCTTGAATAAATTGCCTTATACGTTTTACCCTATCATCGAATAGGCCACCTTCCGGAACATACATCCATTCTGAGCACAATTTTCTCACATAATTCTTCTCCGAAATCATAAGCAAATGATCATACTGCGTCTTTAGTTTATCCATTTTTAATGGTCCACTTAGTGCTGCCTCTTTTCGAAATGCTACCTGGAATTTATCGATTCTATTCAAAAAAAAAAATAAACTATGATGCTTAAACAGCGTAAAATAAAAAAATTAAATTCCGAATTTTTATCTCAAAACTAAACTGCATGTGGAAACTTTTCATTTGAACGTGCAAAAACTTTCTATTTGATATTTATCAGGAACATAAGAGTATGTGGTATTTTCCTAACAATTTAAGACAACCAGTGCATTTAAGTATCAAATAGTTTTATTCCACGCTTACGCGAAGAGAAGAAAATTTCTTCACTCACTTGTCGCCAGGGGCCACAATCTCCATCTTCTCTTGAAGTAGTGTCAAATGTAATATCCTGTGAGCTACATGGACCGGTGCTCGACAAACGGCTAACAGAATCATTTGAATAAATGCCTGACATATTGTTATGGTTTATCACCCGTTCGTTTGAACTACTATTATCATCTGGTTGTGTCAATAAACTGGTGGACGATATTTGTTTCTGTTGTGCAATTTGCGGCGATATTGATCGCTGTTGTTCAGTTGTACTTTCTGTTCCCTTAACAATTTCTATTTTAAAATAGACAAATTTTAAAATAATTCTCATGCAAATATTAGATATCCGATGAGGAAAATTTACCTTGCTTTTGCTTTCTTCAGAAGTTGCTTGTTCGCTTATTTCAGCAATCTAGGAGATAAATTCATGAAAAATACAACGAAAATCATAAATTCAATTTGAAAGACAAAAAACTTAGATTCGTTAATGGACTTAAAAACAAACCTTGCGATTAGTCCAAAGTTCATATATACGTCTGCTTACTTCTTTGACAGTACCATTTCTCCAGGTGCCGATATATCGAAGTACATCATGCACTATTCCACCAGGTTCATATTTGAATTCGTGCTCAGCTGTTACGTTAACTAAATCAAGATCCAGAAACCTGCAACTCAAAATCACAGTATTTTTATTCAAAGTGAGAGCATCTTACGACAGCTTGTAGTACTTCTTTGTTTCCAATAGAAAAATGACATAGTTTAAAAAATTTAAATTTTATGTATATATAACTTCCTCGGCAATTTAACAAATCATTACATGTGTTAACTCTTCGATGCTAAATAATCAGTTGTGTATTACCTTAATACCATGGCACAACTGCGCAGCGTATTGATATGAAAGACGAAGTTTAACATCGTAAACTATGATACTTATCACACTACACGCAAATCCGAAAATTAACATATAAATTCATTAACAAAAAAATGAATTTATACGTTAGTTTTCGTGGACTTGGGAATGAATTACCATTACCGTTAAAAAGAAATATATCATAGTTTTAATACCATAATTATTTTCAAGAATCTGATTGCTAGACATAAAGTGCCACAAAAACAGGATAATATAAATATCTTTCAAAAATTTAATTTAACTCACATTTCATTATCAGTGTTTAATGGGTAGTAATTAAAGTCATTCGCATCCATACTGTCATCTTCAGGGATTACTACAATTGTTTCCATGTTTGATAACTCCCTGAAATAGCTAGCTTTTTTAATATCACATATGCAGGCGATGCAATTCTTAAAGTTCTAACGTATGTTTTTTTAATATTATTTTTTGCATACATCTGTTTTCATCAGAAAGAATATAGTGAGATTTTGCAGCAACAGCAGCAGCAGTACAAACGTTCATATTTCAGAGATGCTTGACTTCCCAAACTTACATTGACGATGCTGACGAATCAACATTTCTCTCTTGCTTTTCTTTGTGCGATATTTCCTTCAGTTTTTCTATTCCTTTTGGACTATTTCCTTTGACAGTTTTTGTTCGTTCGCGCGTTATCGTTTTTTTCTTTTTCTCCTCTTCTTTTTCTTCATCATCGAATATGAACCTATAAGAGATTATTAATTAAGAACTTTAAGAATTCATGATCATCCTATGAAAAAAACTAGCTGAAATCTTTAAAATACCATGCGGAAGCAAAATGATGACAACCTCTTACTGTCTTCTCTTAGAAGATAGTAATACTTAATTCATTCAATGGAATTTGGAAAAGATCTGGTTACCTTTGTGGTGCCTTAATATGACGCTTCGGGCGACTCGTAGCTAACATTTCGATACTACCATCATTTTTCATTGATTTCGCTTCTCTTTCCAACTGATCTTTATTAGATTCAGTTACTTCTTCACTCAACTGTTTTTGTTTCTTTTTGGGTGGTATTTCATCCACTTCCTGTTTAATATCATTTTCTAAAGACTTTACGCCAGATGATGATTCCAGAAATTTTACGCCAGTTGAATTCGATACCGAAGATTTTACTCCAGTTGAACTTGAAATCTGAGAAGCAACTTCTGCAGATCCCAGTGAAACGGCAGGATTCGAATGATGTGCTGCAACTGAAGCAGCAAACTGTGCTCGAAGTCTTCTAATTTCCGGAGTTTCGAAAAGAGTTAGATCAAGTCGACGACCTAGAAGTATTCAGCAGTATGATTATCATCTACGAACAGTTAATCGTTTAAAGTCGCGCAAAATAAACGAAATTCATAATTTGTAAGATTTTCTGAAATGGTACCATAGATTACAAATTGTGACAATCTCACTAACAGATATGTGGCATTATAATTCGAAGCACATTTCAGAGATTGAGTGTCAATCGTTTTTAGGGGACGTAATGTTGGACTATTGCATAGATAGTCTTAATTAGAGCTAAGAAAAGTTTAGAAAACATAAAAATTATTATTACTTTCCTTGGTAATGTTTTCCTATACAAATCCTCCAAATTCATATTTTTTCTTAAATATTCTTATCCAACTAAAATAAGATCAATATTTGCTCTTTAGATTATGTCTTGTATAATTGAAAATCTTTCCTTTTTAAATCCATACTTTGATTTTAATTATTACTCAAATTGATTTTAATACTATAATACTAACTAATTGTTAAGAATCATTTGGAATCCTAGCATTCCATTAAGTAGCAAATTTCATTTAAGGATTGTTTGCTAGTTTCAAATATTACCAAAAATACTGAATGACATGAAAGCAATAATTTAATATATCGCTTTAGAAATAAACTATTTCATGAAAATCTTTTGAAATGACAGATCTCAGAGCGATAGCAGCAAGGTGCATATACTATTCTTCCGTTTATGTTATCAAAAGATGTAAAGAAATACAATGTCCATAAAGGGTAGATTTCTTATAATTGACAATCGTACGGTCTTAATCTTGTTTGGATAAAATAAGCAGGAGAAGGATATAAACTAAGAAGAAGTTGAGGAATCAAGTACAGAAAAGACCAAACATCTAATAAACAGAGGAAATAAAGGATTACTTCGTATTGCATTGTGTTTCGGTGGAAACAACTGCAGCAAATTCAATCATATAAAATTAAAACTTGATGTTTTGTGATATAGGGATTAAAACGATATTGCACAAACAGTTCAGCAGGTACTATTTATCTCTTTTGTCAAAAGATTGCAATTTTTCTCTTTTAGTAAAAAGAAAAAAATCAAGACTGATAATAATAATCAGGAATATTGAACACACAGACTCAAATAATTTAATTGATAAGACCCATTTCATTTTTATGAGTATCTACTTTAAAAGTCGCTGCTCACATTTCACATTTTCAATTGTTTCCCAAATATGAAGATAAAAAATCGTTAATAATACTCATTTCTGTGACAACAAAGAGCGATTGAAGCAGAAATCATGTTCTGCTTCCTAACTCCTAAATATTGCATAATATCTTAGAAACAGATAAACATGCGTCAAATTTTCTCGCAAATGAATATATGAAAAATGTCCCAGAAAAACCATGTGCCTACCTGTTTTTGCTTCATGTCTTTGAATTATCATTGCTTGTAGAAGTGCTACTGATTCATGAATGTTGCCTGAAAATTGCGGAAGGTTTGAATTTGGTAAAAATTCGTGTGATTCGAAAATTAGTTTAAAGCGAAATGGAGCATAAGTTGTTAGACAAGTTTCACCTCTGTAGAAGTCTGAATGACTTGCCCAAATTATTATTTGTATGAATATGTCATATAATATGGTTGATAGCATAATGGAACGCAAAACAATGTTAGAATGTTAACATCGCCAATTCATCAGATAATTCTGAAGATCGTTTTAAAACAATATTTAATAGAATCTTTAGTAGCTGAAAAGATTACGGAATTTCGCAGTACGTCGTAAATCTGCAAGTGTTTTTGGTAGGGGAACTTCAAGTACTGCTCGATAACTTCTACATGAGCTCAAGACAGCTTCAATAGCATCCAGTATTGGCTTGTCGTCTTTGACTGAAAAGAGACATCTAAGAAACTATTGAATTAGCAATTTTTTCTTTGCATCAGATTTTAAATATCTCTTACTTTATTTACAAAAAAATTCTGAATATAAAGAAATAGAAAATAAATTCTCGCATTTTGGTGTTTCCGTTTTAGCAAATGATGCCCACAATGCTTCCACTGCTACAACTTCTTGCAATTCCAATCGATTCTTTTCATCTTCTGCAAAAGTTTGTTGTATGTTTTCTGGCAATTAAACAATCTTCGAAAACATTAAATGATACAGCAAAAAGTAAAAAGAATAAAGAACAACCTCTATCATTTAATCTATCCTACGAAAGAATTGGAAAGCGGACTACCATAAACAATTATAATTCATCAATCTATTTAGCAAAAATAATTGATGTAGGCTGTAAACCAACCTGTCAAATTAGGTGGTTTAATTGGCACAGGTCGAAGGATTTCAGCATCAGTTGTTAAACCAGATCTACCTGGTATGCTCGCTTTATTATCTCTTGTTGCAGCAAGCTGTATCGCATTCGTGACCTCAGCTTTGGAATTCAATTTTGGAGGTGTAGAAGGTTTCACATCATCGTCCAGATAGTCCCTCACTTTCAACAATGTCGATGAAGTGCTTGAAGATGAAAACTTTGCTGGTGACTTCGATGATTCGCGAGAACTCATTTCTCTATCCACTTTCTTTTTAAAAACTTTGGGCGACTTCGATTCGAAAATAACCCAGTTGTTTGTGAGCGATTCTAAGCCGTTTTCACACATATCCTCTTTCAGTAGCAAATCCCGCCGTAAAAGAGCATCTACAATAAATGAAAAATTATGCGTTTGTTGCAATGCTTTTTTTAATGAAGATATAATTGACACTGGGTAATCTGTTGTGTTCTACTCGAGATGAAATGACTATATCAGCTGGAAAAATCATCATTAACTTCAGAAATGTCCCAATGGTGATAACATCCTTAAACATGGACCACCAGACAATGTCGATAAACAGGCAATAAACAGATAAATTCATTTAACAGATTCAGTTCACTGTTTGAATCAGCTTTGATGAAAAAAAAAACTGTAGTTTAAACAAATGATTTTTCAACCGATATCATAGTACAGTGATACGATATGAAAACTTTTATAAAAACTGTTATGATAAATTACTTGAAATTCACTATACAATTGAGTTTCCAATGAAAAAGATGCATCTCCGGGCATAATACTTCTTATAAAATAAGCTCATCATATAGGAACTAAAATACGAGAGCAGATCTATTATTTAAAAGTAAAATAAATCATCTCACGAATTATTTGCTCGTCGAAATCATCAGAATCTTTGATCTTTTCATACGTAGTTACTAAGTCTCGAACGTATTGTTCCACACGATTCTGCACAAAAGTACGATAACATAACGGTCGCACTACTCCTGATGGCGTTTGCAGCTGTTTTAGAACATCTCCCCAACGACGTACCAAAAATTGGAGTGAAAAGAGGTGCCTAAAGATAAATTTTCGAAACTTTGAAGAAATGTAATTTCTGATTTAAAACAATGCTTCACTCAAGAATACTTCTAATGTTCAAATGGATTAATACCATATCTGAATATAGAAATAAGCATACGCTCTTTTCTTCTTAATTTGATCACGCTCTTTCCAAAAATTCGCCGAGTCATCTTGTTCTTCCTCCTCATTTAATTTGTTAGATGATGGCGATTCTGATAATCTAACAACGTCGCCATCAATTTCAGTATGTTCAATAGCCTCTTTCTGAAACATGGATGAAATCTTCCCCATATCTTCTTTAAGTGAACAACTAAGGCCATCGTCTTGCTTTTCCAAATGTATATTGGCATTCACACGTCCAGATAATGATGGTGCAGCTGTCTTCACCAGTGCTTCTCTTTTGTAATACTCTTTACGAATCAGTAGTTGTTCACACCTTCGAGCTTCCTCTGAAACAGACATGTTGATAAATTAGTATCTTTCGAAATTTCTACTCAAATCTTTATAACCTCTAAAAGCAGACCCAGCATCTCAACAAGCAAAACATACCCTTTCGAGCTCTCCACAACATTTCTGGTACTAAAGGTTTGCTTTCGTCACCATCCCAGCAATGATCAAGTAACCATCTCAGTTGTCCTACAAGTTGTTTCGCTTTTGTGATTTCTTTATGGTCATTAAGTTGTTTTCTGAAAAACATAAGCGAATACACTTTGGTAAAGACCTAAATAATTTAGAACAAATCACTTACACACAGCAGTTTAGACTTAACAAAACCACTTCAAGAATCTTGGACTAAATTGTCTCATATAAGCTTAATCAGAACTTACTTTTGAATGATATCGCGCCAGTATTTGTATTTATCAAGAAAGAAATCAAATTCCTTTCTCCATTTTGACAAGTTGAGGTACTGGGAACTGTAACGCGCTTGAGCGTAAACCTAGGAAACAATAGCATTACGCCAGATTTCATAGAATGTCAACATTAACAATATTTGCGAAATTCTGTCACTACTGCATCTCTATCTGTATTCAATGAAAAAAGTGTGGCAATAACTGAAAATATTCTGAAACCCTTCATACCTAAATAATGCACTGAAGCTTAACTGAATAAATTAACCTTGAAGTGGCTAAATTAAATCGTTTTTAAAATTTTTTAAATAGACAGCAGTGTCATTCTTGCTGATGATCGTTCATCATTGGCCCACAGGGACATTTCTTGCTGCATAGGGAAAGAAAAAATCATGGTTTTATGGGTAATGAAACCTACCACGTAGTTGTATGTTTTGGGGAATATATGCTTGATTTCACTTGGCTCACTCCAATCCACAACTGGCACATCTTCCGGCGGATGTGGTGGGCACAATCCATTCCCTCCTCTTCGCCTTGCACTTCGCTGAAAAAGGAAAAGTTTAGCTCATATCTAACTATTATTATACTATAATTTCTGAAGAAACTCATACCTTCCGGAATTGTTTAGTTATCTGTGCAGTTGTTTTTGATTGCTCATCTGCCGCTCTGATCTCTCCTAACATTTCCGGTGATTCACAGTCGATGGAATTCCGGTCACAATCACTATTGGGAGATCGGCTTACTGCCTCATCTGCAAAAAGTAAGTAAATGGATGGGTTTGATGAAATAAAGGAAAGATTTCATGTAAGATGGACTTTCGAAATGGAGTCATAAATAAGTCCTTTCTAAGAAAGAGCCACTTGCTTCAATTTGGTTTCAAATGATACTTATTCTATTTGTTAATGGAAATAAATCTACTTAATGACAGAGTAACACTTACCATCTAAAATATTATGGAAATAATGAAATATTTATGTAGAAAAACACCTTATCTTTTAGAGTACTTCTTATGATTTAACAGGATATACTACTGTCACTTCACATATTCACGATGGGATAGTATCTGTCGGGTATTTTACAATTTTTTTTTTTGATCTCAAAAATCTTATTGAAAACGATGTTTACAATGGGCCCAAGAAAGGACCCTACTTAAAAAGAATTTTGCCTCTTCCGGGCATTTGAAATGAGGAAAAGATCATATAACAAGAACAGCAATGATGAAGTAATTTTTATTCAACACGAATGTGACAGTTAGAGCTATCATGCTAAAATTGTTATTTTTTTTAAGCCGCACAAGCGGTGAAAGTATCATTATCACAGCAGCAACAAACTTTAAAATCATAATGTATGATTTCTTAAAATGAAAGTTTATGTTAACAGTCTCAGTTGGACAGTGTTCTAAAGCCGAAGCTAAACAGTCGTATGTGAATTAAACAATGTAAATATTGATTTAAAAAATCTTATAATTCTTACTATGGTTCTCACTATATTTAAATGATTTCTGAGATATACAGTTCAGGAAATATTCAAAAGGTAACTATATTAACAAAAAAAAGAAAATCATCTAATTCTTTCAAGATAAGTTTGTGCTATCAAATCTTACATGAAGTCCTTGTTTCATATATCTAACACTAGAAAGAATGATTCTGAATTAATTTATTTCCAATATTGGTTTACTTCTGGACGACTAAACTGATTTTCTGATAAGCTCTGCCTTGCATGGAAAAAAAAAACATCAAGCAAACATTCATAGACACGAAGTTCTATTAGAATTCCATAATTTGAATCAAAAACCTGAGAACCAATTTCATTTTAATTTTACTGTCATTACCATAGACGTTTTCTGATTGCTCATCCGGTCTGCTTTCTTCAACCGTTCCAGGTGGTGTGGCAGATTCGTCGGATTCTTCAAATGGTACAAATTGTTGGCTAAGATCAGCATAAACAGGCGGTTCTTCAGGTATAGCTCCTTTTGTAGTTGTAGTACTCATTGGAAATATCTTGAAAAAGAATTGAATCGGTTAGAGCAATATGCCAGAAACGAGGAACGCGCAGTTGCACACAAACTTCAACAAAACAGCTAACAAATCTCATTCAAACTGCTATCAAACATTTGGTTACCTTTCCTAATCAATAGGAATTTTTTAATAATAGAATATGTGATGGAGATGATGGATGGAAGTAGGAAGTGAGCATATCAAAGATAATCATCTTATGATATTTGATTGAAAACATGCTAATCTAAGTAAAATCAATAACATAGTACTAAAAGGCGTAAACGATACAAAATCCATCCAGAAAATTAACAAACTGTTTGCTTCTACCACAAAGTTCACCTATTTTTTGTCTGGCAAATAATAATTGACAATTAATCTAAGCTATTTTTGAAAAAAAATGCAAGCTACCGATGATTTTGTACTTCTCTAACGTATAATGCACGTAATCAGATTCAATCTTCCTCCAGCTGATTCTGTGTCATCGATGATGCCATGGAGAGGATATAACATTGGGATGATATACAAAACAGGAAGGAAAAGTTTCTAGATATGAAAAAGACATCAAAACAGTTTATCATCCTGACATTTCCGCATTCGTTGCACAAAATATATTAGTGAGCATAAAGAGGAAGAAGAATCAGGGTGGCCAAAATATGAATCCTTCCGAATTATGTAAATTTGCAAAACTGCCACCGGTAGGTTCCAATGACGAAAATGACAGATAAATCCACCAGTCAAATGACGCTAAACACGCTGGGCATCTACATGATACAGGGAATTCAAAAATAGACAAAGTCAATTAAATTCATTATAAATGCAATCTCATCAATTAATGATTTCCGCTCTATCTCATAACGATTTCCGTTGATAAATTTCATTACCTGCAACATTTTCCAGTATTAAAATGTTATTCATTGCGTTTAGCAAAAATAAAGCTGTCCTCAAATCTCATAATACAATGAGAATTTTGAACAATATATAGTAGAAATAAACATAAATTTAACTTCTGGAGAAGTTCTGGGCATATAATAAGTGAATTTAAATGTTAAATGTGAATTAGAATAAGCAACGACATTACGCAAATACAGGTGAAAAAATCGACTTGAGTTTCGATAGAACGCCAATATTTAACGCAACGTGGCTCGTTCATTTTTAGTCTTGGAGACAGTTAATGCACATTACCAGTCGTTGTAAGGATGGATGATGCTAGCAGCATAGTAAGAAAACTTCTGAAGTAATGATTACTTCCAAAGGCAAAGATAAGAAATGAAAGAATTGGAAAGATGTGACTGAATCTATCAAACCAACGTTCAGGTCAAGGTAGAGTATAATTTCCATCTAATCCATCATCATTCGTCTCACTGCCATTTTGAGCCGGAATTTCATCCAACGGTTGTGGTTTCTTCTAACAAACCACAATATGTATAGGATCTCTGTTTTAGACCACCCTATAATCTTTGACCATAGAGAGATACGTCTTACCTATCAAAAAAATACCTACTAGTATCCTCACACAGCCTAAGCCATACCAAAGCACACCCATGTCCTGCCCCACTCGCTCGTAGACCTTTCGGAAAAATATTTGTCTTCGAGAAGGAACTGTTGCATGAAGCCAACTGCGCACTGTTATCCTAACTTTAGAAGAATTTTAGTAGCGAAAAGACAATATCTCAACTTTAATCAGTTGAACAAGCTTTGCCAATTGAACAAGCTTTATTTACCTGGGAAATTGTCTCACCTTAAACATGCTCATACAATATCACTCAACTCGATATATACTTAATGGTTAATTGATAGATTGGCTAATCGTAAACAGTAAAATACACAACTGGTCAGAGGAACAGCAAAAACTACATCGAAAGTATCTGAACTTTCCATAAAATTTACTACCATCATCACCCACCATCGATTTAGTGCTACACAAACTGCATCCTCTAACAGCTAGAAAACCACTAGCGAGCGAGTCCGCTGATTGGTCAGGGGTCGCTTAGGCCTCCGGTATTTTTGGCTCAGACATGTGGAAACTATAGAAATCAAATTGCAAATTCCAGTTATGTAAGGGAAAGATAAAAGCCAAAATATGAAGGATCGATGGGCAACAGGTAAACTTAACGGAAGATAAAGACACCACTTCAAGTGTAATACGCCCACTTCTACACTACCTTTTCCACATATCATTACAAAGGGGTACTACTGGAATTCAAAGGATAAGAATTCATAAAATTTCTTAAGCTCTTTATTGTCGAGAAGTAAACGTCGTCCTGCGACGTCACCCGGTCATCAGAAAGAAATTACTTTACTATTTTTGTAGTGTAAAATGAACAACAGATTGCTGTCGTCTTTTTTATTCTCTTAAAGGATATAAATTCGCTACAATATTACAATGACTGTGCAAAATATGCGACACGGTTTAAAAATTGATATATTAAAAATGTAATAGCAATGAATTCATAGTATAAAATTGACAAATGTAAATAATGAAATGGAATTTGAATCGGAATAAGAATCATTTTGGTGTCCCGTAGACTCATAAAAAGTAGTGGGGATTGAGGTAACATGACAGTTGCGACTGGACATTTTCGGCCTACCCATCTTCTGTCACAGCTAAGGATTTCTAGAAACATGGCATATTTTTTTCCAGAAATATAACGAAAAAAAAATGTATGAACATCAAAAAGTCCGCAACAGCTGTGACACTCTTGTAATGATTTAAAAAAAACAGCATTGCTCATTGCTTATCTCAAATCGGCGACCATGCTGGATGGATTCTCAAGATACTGCTTTACTTGGTTACTAAAGCGAGCTACCGTGGCACCATCAATAACACGATGATCTGCAGCCCAGGAAAACTTCACCACATTGGTTGCACAAACCTGTCAGTATGCAAAATTAGTAATCATCTTCTGATTAATAATTTCCCGTAAATGTCCAACAGAGGATAATGTTCACAACCAATTTCAATTTCTTGGAAGAAGACTCAGTAGAATAAACAAAACAGTAATCTCAGTAGAATAAACAAAATAGTAAAACAGTAATCTGTTATACTTCAAAAATACACTATCAGTCTCAAATATGGAGAGTCCGTAATATACATTCCTAGTAAAGCAGCTAATGGCAATAAATTTCATGAAAGCAATGCTTCTGAAGCAACTCACATTTCCCTGCTTATCAAATCGAGGCAATTTAGAAATCTGTCCAATTGCTCCAATAGCAAGTTGCGGTGGCATAATTACCGGAGAAAGATAAGTGCCACCAATCTGAAAATTCGTTAGAAAATTTTCCATGACATTCTCTTATTATAATATCTCAAAACTAAGGTGATATAGCTTCCTGTTTAGGTGCATGAAATGCTAGCAGAATCTTTCCGTAAGTGATAACGCTGTCAAGTGTCATAGTTCTGCTGTCATCCATATCAGTAAGTATGGAAAGAACGGATCTGTTGCACTGTAGTTATAACATTCCAATGTACAGCTAATGCAGAGTCAAGATCACGGAATCAAGTTTAATTTTAACCTTTTTCGTTACTCGTTGGTAGCAACAGAAAAGTTTCATCAGATTTAATAATTTTTTTTCGTGTACTGTCATTTCGTTCGCAAGGTATTCCTATTCCTGCTTTTCTCGTCCATCAAGATAATATTAACAGTATTGCTTGCAAAAACATTTAAGTAGAGCACAAAAATTTTTCATGCAATTGCGTATCAAAGAAATCTGCTTTCAAATCTTTGAATCTAAATAATTTGCCATAGGAATATCCCTCGAACGACCAAACAAAGGATCGGTGCGGATTATTTGCAATTTCATGGACTTTTTGAAATTTCATGCAAATTTCTAGCCGCAGAAATATGCTCACCATGCCTACATTGGATAGTACAAATGTTCCATCCTTAAGATCTTCTGGATCAATTTTCATTTTGCTGCTAGCTTCCTGAAGACGGTTTAGTTCAGCAGCAATCTCCCACAGCGTGCGCTGTTCGCAGTGTTTAATGTTTGGTACTACAAGACCTTCCGGAGTATCCACAGCTATTGATATGTTGTGTGATGCCTAAAAGACTTGATAGAGCAACCGATACAATAATATTCTTGAGACAATGTACTTAACTTAAGCACTTAAAACTAACTTAAAAAATCTAATGTCTAAAATCAAAACATATCGGCGCATCAAATAAGGTGTTCTTTCACTTCAGCCTTATTTGATGAAGAAATTTCGGACTTTCAAAGTAGATATTCTTCCAATTCTTTCATCCAAAATACGAAATATATTGGTCAATATTCCAGAAATTGTTATATATTTAAATTTCTATGAGACTATCTATTAGTCAATTTCTTGCTTTTGTTCTGCTATAATCCTCAAAACTGAATTTAAAATGACGCATTTCCTTAATTATCAATGAGGAATTAGGATAATATAAACCAACTTACTTTGCAAATGACATTTTCTAAATTTTTGTCCAATATAGCGTTAAGTTTTGGAAATTTCTTCAAAGCAAGGGAGACAGCTTTGATAATAATAGGCATAAAACTCATACGAACATTGTATGCTTCTTCAAATTTTTTCAGCTCCTTTCGCATTGTTATTAGTTGATCAAAGTTCACCTGAAAGTGAAACTTTAATTGAAAAACCCCATTGGATATCGCTTTCTTTTCGACATAGCAAAAATTCTTCCTTAAAGAATTATTTTTCCTAATTTCTATTCATCTTTCTGATGCATCACAGTTTAGGGAATATGAAAAAAAGTGTTGATGGAGGATAAAATGATTAAATGAAGAAATGGCACTTTTTACTACAAAAAATACTTAAATCTTCTAATCTGACTTTGTCTCTACTTCAACAATTAAAAAAAAATTCAAATATTTCATGTGGTTCAAACTGCCCATACAAATTTATTAACCTCATGGTAATAACATTAAACAAATATTACCTCATCGCAAAAGCCAAGATGTGGTATTTTCAAAGATTCAGTCATCGACTTAACCATAGCACGAGTGTAGCTGCGTATAGGGATCACTTTATCTTCTTTCAACACCTCAAACTGAAATGCCACGGGTATGATAACTTTGGGATGCGTCTCTCATTGGTTTATCATTTTGCTAGTGCAATAAGCAGTCTGATGCAACACTGTCTTAAGCTGATAATGAGCTTAATTCACCACACTTTCCACAGCTAAATAACTCATCATTAAGAGCTAACACTAACATATATCCATGTAATACATGCATGCATAAACCTTTTCCAGCGACAAAGAATGCGATAGTGGTGGTGAAGTTGCATTTGTGGTATGAAATGCCATATCTTCAAATGGTATCTCTGCAGCTGCAGTCGTTAACAAATCTAGAACGTTTATATAATGTGTGAGTAAAACAAGATTTTTATATTTATACCCTGGACATAAATCAAAGAACTTCTGCGAAAATTTAATATCTAACAAAGTCTGTAAACATGCAGGTTTACCATTCGTAACTTAGTTTAGTGCTCTATATTAGCTGTTCATTATACTTCATTTTAAGTAGTACTTCATTTTTGAAAAAAGTATACGGAATTATAGCTCTAATTCCTTCACAATTACTAGTGGCGGTAGGCTTTGAAGTATAGTGATATTCCGGGAAATGGCTGTAAATTCATTTGAGAATAGCACCCATGAAAAACAGAAGGAATATAAGCCATTACCGGTTTGATGTTCGACATATCGAATAACATCATCTTTCAAAATACGTCCATCATGACCTGTTCCAGTGATTTCACTCAGATTCACCTTAAATAACCATTCAGTGAAAACTGCAACCAAATGATGCTATTTATACTAGCGATTGTCATATTTCTCTCTAACACGATGCTATTCATACCAGCGATTGTCATATTCTCTCTTGTTAGAAAAAAAGATGTAAGTTCAAAAAATAGCGCTGCCCCAAAGTAACCCAAAAATCTTGACCTGAAGTGAAAAAAGGAATGAAAAGCCATTAAAAAAGTCTAAACAATAAATTTTCGTAATATATTATTAATAGTTATTATGAAAATTGTTGTATTATGCCGTTTATGCCTACTTTTATGGGAACTTTTAAAACAGTGATAATTTTTTAACGAATCGAAGAATATTGATAACAAACAGTTGCTAAATAAAAAAAAAACAAACAAAATACCCCTTTTTCCCTAGCAAGTTGTCGAACCGCCGGAGTCGCAAGGACTTTCCTAGTTTCCTGAACATTCCCTGCAGTGATCGTTTCTGTCTCCACTTTCCCATTAAGATTTTCTTCTTGCGTCACTTAATGTGAACAAGTTAAGTAAAAAGATCACATCTTTTAACAAACGATAAAGAGCAACTACATTTTTTATTATTCGCTGATCGACATACACTTATGCTGGGGGAAATTAGTACAATTATTGTGTCATAGTTTGGACAAAAACGTTATCGTCTAAATGAGAAACGTTGTAAATATCATCCAACAAAATTGCTCAGTTGACAGAACTAACGTGTTGTGCAGTTTCGGACATACATAACCTTCTTATGGTTTAAACAGTTCAGCGAACTGCAACATTAACATCAGTTTGACTTGGGCTGATATCTCATTTCTTCCATACTCAGTAAACTATCGGGATTAAAGAATTGCTTGCAAGAAAAAAATAAACACCTGTATCGACGCCTTCAACTTCGATGTCCACAAGAGCTGTACCCACCTTCGCTATATCTTCAATATTATAATATCTGCAACGAATTATTTTAAACTTCAAAATTTTTAATGTAGAGGAAATTAGGATTAAGTTTTTCAATTCCGAAAGGCAGCAATTTAAACCAAACATCATAAAAATAACTTCAGTTATTTTTATTGAAAATTATTGAACAAGCAGTTTTCATTAATGCTTAAAACAATCAAAACATGATCAAACTCGCAATTTTCTGATGATACCATCATAACGGCTGGTGATTGTAACTGATGCCTTATCACTTTGCACCTCGCAGATATTGTCAAACTGTGTCACATGATCACCTTCCTTCACATACCATTCTTTAATCTAAAAACTATCCTCAAAGATCAGGATAACTTCTCGAAATTTTTAATTGGACGAATCTTTTAGAATCGAGTCATTTCAAAAATAATTTAGAAGTTTTGAAACTGGTAAGATTCACGTACATATCTATCTGGTTAATAAAGAAGAATAAGTGCTGCAAACGTAGCCCACAAATTACATAACATTAAGATTGCTGCATTTTATAACCCAACTCCAGGCCACATTTATTATATGTTAGAATGATATCAGAAAATGTAGCACTCTTAAGTTACAATCTTAACAGCAATACTAATGTAATTCGCATATTAATTAATGATACTGTTAACTTACTTGCACTTCAGCGATGCCTTCACCAATATCTGACAATTTGAACTGCACAAGCGGGAAAAACCGGACTGAAATTTAAAAAGTGAAATTCAATCACTACACATTGGAAATCATTCAACCATTCGCACATTGGAAATCATTCAACCATTCGCACATTGGAAATCATTCAACCATTCGTACTTCAGCTAACTGTTTAGTAGGATGGATATAGAACATGAATTTCCATAACTGTTTAACTGGATACAGAACATGAATTTCTACACATTAGTTTTGCCGAAGTAGCTCATAACTCCAATTATCAATGGATTCCGCTCGATCCATCGTCCATCCATTAGTGTGGCATTAGTTAATAATGCGGTAATCAATAACTCTCATATCGTAACAATCAAATAACAGCAAATAATGAACAACAATAAAGTTAACTGATAAAAGTGCTAGTAGAGTGAATGAAATTCAGAAACTCCCGTCGTACTTTTGACTTAAAATTCGAGCGATAAGAAATCCTGATTTAAAATGCCTACTAGCTGAACTACAAACAACGAATGAGGCAAGTAAAGGACCTCCCGCCATAGACACACACCAGATGCTGTACCATAGTAGTGTATGTGAATCTTTTTTTCACTCTCTCCTGCTCAACTTTGTCCTCTTCTCCTTCTGTTATCCTTTTTGTCTTTTCTTTCTCCTTCCTTCTCATTTTTCTTCTCCAGTCGCGAAACTCTCGAACTGTCCATAAGAGTGATGAAATGAAGTGAAGTGAAGCTGTAAGGTATAGAAGCAAAGATTGAACTACTCTAAAATTGATAAGGAACGGTCCTATCCCGAGAGAAAACTCACCCGCTTACTGCACTTGTCCGCTGTTGTGCATTTTTGCCTCATAAACAAATAATGGTATGTCGAGTAGAGGAAGAATTTCAGGATTACAACCTGATAGATATCAAAGCTTCCTCCAGAACTTTTTGTTATTTCAAGTTTATAGGTTTTTTCGCTTTCCTAATATATATTATTTTTAATTCTGGCTAGAATAATAAGCTCATTTGATGGGTGGTTGTATTTATGCGATAACAAATTCATTGAGAGCGCACAGTTTTTCTCAGATACACTTTATAATAAAATACCTGAGAAAATTGTAATAAATTATTAAATAAAAATATCATTAGGGAAATCTCAACATTTCGAAAGAGAAAACTATCATCTAGTGATAAACAGTAAATGATGAAAAGATGAAGAATAAAAGATACATACCCATCGAATTGAACAACATTCTACGACTTAACAAATGTAATCCTCCTCTACTTATCAGTGATATCATCCTGAAAAAATATCTTTTTGCTGCAGTTATCACATTATCATAGCCATATCCTTTATCGCTATTGTTTTAATAAAAAAAATAGTATGATTTATAGGGTCAATATGGTATGATCAATATGCGATAGAAATTGCGATAATTACGACTGTATCGCTAGAACCGCGTGGTACAAATTAAGTCCGTCATTGCGACTCAAATAAGTCCGACAGATCAGTTCGATATTCGTATCAGATAAAGATATCTCAAGTTGCAAATACGAATATCTTATTTTTCAGTACCTATTTTGATTTGATTAGTATTAATTTTATATTTCATCAGAATACAGAAATTGCTTTATCCTAAGTAATTAAAGCCAATAACATAGTGATTTATTGAACTTCTTTGAAGTACTTACTTCGGTGATAGCTAACTCTATTATGTACATAATGATATCTTAGAGATTGCAATCTTCATGATAAGATCATTAGAGTTGAAGCTATTTTTCATCACGTCTATAAATATTTGTAAGGGTTCGCTAATGTCAACAACTTCTCAAAGATAGCAAACTTAAATATTTCATGACTGAAATTATTCATGTACAAGAATTTGATGTAAGAATGTCATCTTTCCAAAGGACAATTTTAGATCAAAATCAATTTTAGCTTAGATTGATTAAACAAATATCCTATTATAACTCTGCTTGGCATCTTCAATATTTCTTCTTGTATTGAAATTCAATCACTGTAATTATCAGTACAATAATCGGAGCAAAACTTCACATTCAAAAGGTTTACTAACTCCTTCATTTGATATAACATGCAATGATAAGATTTAGACATCGTTAAGAAGAGAATGAAACAGAAAATCAAAAAATGAAATGAAATGGTAGCATTGTGAAAGCAAGTTGTACAGAGAGCACTTCCCCCAGCAATCTATTGAGCAAATATTTTGAATGCTGGTTTGGATGATGGCAGCGCTTTGTATTGAGCAAATATTTTGAATGCTGATTTGGATGACGGTAGCACTTTTCATCATCACTACAACTATAGTCATAAGATCTATTGTTGTGGTACTGAGGCTGAAAGGTACTAAAACGCAAATAACGTCCATATAATACGTCTAAAATAGATTTCTTTCTGTTCCATCACGCATTAATGTCAGTTTACTCATATGTTAGAGAGTGTTGAAAGCAGTTGACAAATTCATTTTAAAATTGAAATATTTGGAAGGACAACCTTTCCAGACATTTTTACAACGAAGAAAATTGTCAATCAATAATTCTGCAAGAAAAACTTGCGACGGATACTATTCTTTTTTTCAACTTTTTAAAGCCTTATCTGTAAATGTACGGTATTAATCAATATTTTTAATTCAATAAAACAAAAAGGAATTATTGTTCATGTAATGTTCTAACCTTATTTATGTAATGTTTGAATTTCTTCTTATTTTATTCCAACAACAGATAGTAATAGCAAAATGAATTTAATCATATAACTCGAAAAGTTGATAGTTAAACAAGCGAATAAAAATTAAGATAATTTTGATCTTAAGGTTAAAACAAAGAAATGACAATAAGAGAATGTAATGTTTTATTGTCGGCAATTTAAGAAGAAATATGGAAGATTATGTGAAAACGATAGGATGGAACAGTAAGCATAACAGAAAACAATAAATTGATGAAGAATTAGTTCATTGATTTCAAATTGGTCAATCCTGACAAAAAGCAGTCTTAAATTTGAACACGTGCTCCCAGGTAGGACTTCCAACTATTTGAGAAAATGATAATTATGCTTACTTTTTGAAATTCCGCTATTTCAGTTTTCTATAAGTGATACATTTATTAAACCAATGAAATATTATGCTGTAGCAAATTGATTGATAAAATATAAAAATGTTTTATTGATGTTTTAAGATTTATAATTTGTTCCAAGCAGCAACGTTTACATCTAACTTTTTCAAATATATTGATTTATTTGGGATTTATATTGGAAATCAAATAGTTTGATCGAGATGAAAATGTAATTTTGTTGATCAATAATTTGCATATTCTAAAGACATGTGCCTCCCTCTTCAATAATATTATATAACGATAGAAATTGGTCAAATAATTTCACAAACTTTTGCTACCAACGCCGCGTTGAGGTCTGATTTTAAAGGAGGACTCGTTTGAAGCTGCAATCATAAACTCAAACTACGACAGATGCGTAGTAGGGAGAAAAATAAAAGAAATGAAGATTCAGAAAATATTTTGACCAATAAGGAAGCGCCGGAAGATCAGCAACAGCTTCAGCAGCAACCTATCGTTCATCCGCCGCCATTAGAACCATTTCAGGTTAAAATGGATTATTCAGTTTCATGATAATTTGAAGGTTTAAAATGAAACTTTATCATATTGAATAGTTTAAATGGATAAACCTTTGATAAAAAGCTTAGAAAAGCTATAACTGACATGCGATGGTAGTCCAGAAATTTCCGGAATAATGGAACTCGTTCTACTTAAGCTTGCTGAGATGCAGATCTGGATCGATTTTCACTCAAACTCTAATTGCTAGTAAGAGTGTGTACCTTTTGATGATAAAAATTTGAAATGCGAATAAAATTCAGACGACGGATATAATTCCTTATCACTCAGTGCTGCACATTTACAAACCAAGCAGTTATGATTGGCTAAATTTGTACAAATTTAATACAAAATTGTAAATGTGCCTAAAGTCATATGCTGTTTATCGTCTAATCATTTGAAATTTTCATTAATATATTTTAATGTTAATGAATTCGTTAATCTGCTAATTTCTATTCAAATTAATTGGTTTAAATTAAGTTTCGATTCAATCAAACCATTTTTTAGGATACGGTTTTATTAAAAAAACCACTTGGTTTACGGATTTGCAAAAATACTCTAAAGGTTAAAATTCGTTTTGTAATTTAAAAGAACTTTATTCAATTAAAATATTAAATTTTTAATTTCTCATAGTGCAAAATCATTAAGAACAATAATTTACTGAAATTTTCAACATTTCAATCTGAAAAAAAAAGCCATAGATATTTTATTTCAAAATTTTTTAAATGCCACTAATGGCTGGATCAGAATATGACCATATCCACTAGAACTGGAACTATCACAATCGTAGTTTAAGTTTAAACTGTATCGATACTTCTACTTAAGGTAACATATATCGAGGAATCCGGAGCATCAGCGGGATACGTATCTGTTGGTGATGTTATCATAGCTGCTGATGGGCAAAAAATCAGTACTATCAAGGAGCTCAACAGTATACTTAAAAAACCTTCACCGGTGAAATTATTTCTGTTCATCAAAACATCGTTAGATTCAATTCCGGAACAGTTAATAAAAGCTTCTTCACATGATTGTTTAAGAAAAAAATCCTGCAATTAATTGCCGAATTTATATTCTGCAATTAATTATAGGATTTTAAATTAAATTTAATTAATGAATTAAATTATTATGACATTGCTTCATAAAATCCGTTATGTAATTCTATATTTTATAGGATTACATAGTAGATTTTATAAAGAATCGAAATTGAACTAATAAAAAATTGAACTTGAACTAAATTGAAATTGAACTAAAAACTGAAATTGAACTAAAAATTGAAATCGAACTAATTAATTTTTTTTGTTTGAAATTAAATTAATCAAAACTCCTAACGTTTTCATGGCATATTACATTTAGATGATAGCTGTCGGATTTAAACGTACATATTATTCAAAATGCAAACACAAAAAAACATTTGTGGAGAAGATAGGCGTTGAACGCGGTCGAGAAATGAAATGCACCGGTCGAGCAATTAATCTATATCTGGCAAGAAGACTTAAATAAATTAAATTAATTCTCAGAGGACCTCTCAAATAAAGCTACCGTGAAATTTTTCTTCTTTAACGACAATTAATTAGAAAATATTTCAGGAAGAGAATCATATAGTAATGGAAAGAGTAGAAAATATAAGATATATTTTGAGATTTTCAATACAAATGATAAAAGAAATTTAATGGATGAAAAATTTGAACGACATTCTAAAATTCATTCTTAGTCTAATTTAGTAGTTCTAATCCTATTTTCTTAGTCTAAGTCTTTCTTAGTTTAACCTTATTTTCTTTTTAATCAAAAAGAAATCTTAAATAAATTAAATTAATTCTCAAAGGTCAAATGCTACAGCTTGTTAGTAGTCTATTTTCCTTACATTTGCATCCAGGCGATATAATTGTAAATTATTTTTGCAAAAAATTTTCTATCGATCATTTAAAGTTAATTCTCAGAGGTCAAATGCTATAACTGTTGACAGTTTATTTTCCATACATTTACATTCAGGCGATATAATTGTAAATTATTTTTGCAAAAAATCTTCTATCGATCATTTAAAGTGAAAATTTAGTCTTTTGAAGTATTCTTCTTCAAGGCAAATTTTGAATGATTATTTTATTTAAATTAATTATAAAAACAAAAAATTTTTTTTGGGAAATACTGTTGTATTTTCAAGTGATAAAAATAAGGTTTTAATTTTACAGGTCCAAATGGTACTACAAATTAATGATATGGTTGATGTGAGCGACGTTCTCGGATTATCAGTGAAATATAATGCAACAGAAAGAATTGAAGTAAATGCTACAGCTGTTAACAGTCTATCATCCTTACATTTGCGTCCAGGCGACATAATACGGTATGTTTTGATGTTTACAATTGATATTTGTCCAATTAGATAAGCATTGTGAGTCCAAAAAATAACATTTTGTCTATTCATTGTAGCACCAAATTTGAATATCTTTATCATAATTGATCATTAATCGTTAGAATTGCAATGAGCAAAATAATAGTAGACATGAGAGAGAATTATGAAGTATATCGTTTCCCGAAATTAATCGATAAATTCATTACATAACTGAATGATATCGTAAACTCTGAATGATACCGTAAAGTCAGTGGAATATTAAATTGAAGAATTCGATATTTTGCAAATGAAATGAGTTATTTTAGTGAAGTAAATGAGTATCCTATTGCAAGTAAAACTATGCTTAATTATTTCATACAAGAAGCAGTCATCGAAAAAGGTCAGGTATTTCTTTATCTTACCTTTTGAGATTAACATACCTGTTTGGAAAAAAACTTATGATCATATCATAGTTTGAATAATATAATTTATTATTCATTAAGGTAAATTTTACAATCGAAAGCTCAGCCGGAGACATTGATAGTTATCGTGATCAAATTGAATTAGGAAGTGATGTTTTAGAGATCGCTCAAAAACAGGTAAATTTTTTGAATTATTTCTTTCAATTAAATGAAAACATTATTCAGCTTTTCCTAATTCTTTATATTATGTGAAATTTTAAAATTTATAATAAAATTTAATTTGTGAAAAATTCGATGAAATCAATGTTTCAGCAATTTTTGCAGATCGTTCAATTCCGAATGGCTTTGGCATCAAAAACACTAAATCGTCCATCAATATTGAAAAAACAGCGAACAAGTAAAAGTAATAATAAAATCATTATTTCCACCAATTTTGTCGAATTGCCAATTGGAGCTGATTTTGATCCATCAACATTAAAACCATGTAAGGGAGCTAATGTAGAAAAGCGAAAAGCGTGATTCTTTATGATGGACGAATTTAAAAATTTTTCTGGTTATGTACCTTTATTTTACGAAAACCATTTCGGAAACACGCAGTGTTCTATCCGCTTACAGAAGATAGTGATAAAGGAAAAAATAGCATTTATTAGTTTGTGTTGTAATAGTTTTACTACAAGATGAAATTAGTTGTGATTATGCTATAACTTTCCATATAATTTATGCCATGCAAATTTTGCTCAATTTCAAATGTATAAAATGAAAGGAATAAAGTTTTATTGCCATTTGATTAGTTAAATATAGAAAGGAATTCAATTCAAATTCATAGTGTAAAATATCACGAATTTTGGAAGGTTAGAAATTGTTTGAGAATGAAATGACGGAGCGAACTGTCAAAGCTATTCGAGTTCATGGACCAGGTCAAGGTAAAGACGTTGAAATTGCATTTGGCAAGGAGCATCTTCATGCAAGCGGTGTTTTCGCTAATGTTTATTCAGCTAAATTGTATAGACCAGTAGAAATGACTGTTGCAATCAAAAAAACTTGGTCCGATGCCGGTTGGTCGGTAATTAATCCGGAAGTGTATTATCTTTCTCGAATGAAACATCAATGTATCATTACACTTCTCTATCATTTCACTCTAACATCAAATAATGAAACATGTCATTGTATGATTTTTGATTACTTACCTACGGATATGGCCAAATTACGACTGAGTAAAATAGGTCGTCGTTTTCCGCTATTGGATGCTAAATTATACGCATTTCAAATGTTCTCGGCCATAGACTATGTGAATGCCTTAGGCATTGCACATCGGGATGTTAAGCCATCTAATATGATTGTCGATGATGAAAAGGGAATCTTAAAATTGGCCGATTTCGGCAATGCAAAATTGTTGAGGAAAAATGAAGAAAATAAATCATATCAGGTTAGTTTCTAGGCCTTTTTTTTCATTCAAGTTAAAAGAACAAATGGATACAAAAAGAAGCTACTTCAAAATCTATCAATCTAATATTTATTTTTAGGTAACACGTTATTATCGAGCACCGGAACTGATATTCGGTTCAACTAGATATTCAACTGCAGTGGATGTGTGGGCATGTGGTTGTGTATTATCCGAATTTGTTACCGGTAAAGTACTCTTACAGGGACGTAGTAGCCAGGATCAGGCTCGATTAGTCATCGATATATTTGGCTACCCAAGTACCGAGCAATGTCAAGCAATGAAAGTAAATAAACCACGATATGCCCGAAAACGTGCCCGTGGTTTACGAATAATACTAAATGCTTTCAATTTACCAATCGAAATGATTCATTTACTTCAAGCTATCCTTGTTTATGAACCTCACCTAAGACTTAAAGGTAATGATGTACTCGGACATTCGTTTTTCAACGATTTGCGAAAAATCCCAGCACCAATACGAAGTAATGGACAAGTAATACCACATCTGGATTATACAATTTATCAGGAAAATACACAAAAGACATATTCCGATGAAACGGATGCTGATAATTCGGATGATGACGAGAATGAATCATGAAAATGAATTATATTTTATTATTGTTTTCAAAACTAAAGCATTTTTTTCCGTTTAATTCTACGAAAGGCGGTAAATAAAACAACAATTCTTACGAGATACTGTAGAATATTCTGCTAAATGAGTCTTAAAGATTAAAAACTCTGTTAACGGTCATTTTACAATACAAATTGAGGGATATGAAATGCAGCATAATCTGACCATTGGTCACCATTGGTCACACTCATCAGCTCATGTGGAAAATTGTTAATCAAGATGTATTCGAAATATCGTAATTTTTTTACATAATAAATTAGTTGAATTACTCGGAAAAAGTTTAGAATTTTGAATTTACTAAAAATTAAATTGAATGGAAAATATATATGTTGTCGTATTTACAACAAATATCAATAAAGAAATTTGTTAATGTGTAAATAAATTAGTCTTGTTGACTCTCTACCTGTTGATTAAAACTGGAATATCATTAATAGTAGGACTTGAAATAGAATGCAAAGGTAAATAGAAGAGAAGTTACCTTTGGTCTGAATTACATATATCCCAAGTCTTTTTGGAAATTTGGGAAAATCTCTATCGAAAAATTTATCACTTCATATTTAATACCATTCAGTCAAAGTAGTATTAATAGATAGCCTTCTAATCTTTGGAGCTTTATCTACCAATAAGGTTATAGATAACAATTTATCAGAAGTTATGCAATTTCTTATCAATGACGGAATATTGCAAAAGCAAACAGAATTATTCTGTAAGAATAAAAACTTATTGAAAGCAAAAATTACCTGTACAGGAAGATTAATTATTGGAAGCAAATTACCTGTACAAGAATTAATTATTTTAATTATTTTATAATTACCTGACCTTCCCCAAACTTTTAAATCTTTACTCAATGTCATTACATATTTCTCTTTTTCCTGTCAATTATGTTATCAGTCAAAAATTCATATGTAAAGTTATTGAGTTTCCGTTTTTTGTATTTCATAGTAACCGGTTTCAATTAACGCATGTTCATTAACGCATGCTCATTAATTATCTTTTTCGAAGAAATTAATCGGAATGATGGTGGAGAAATATCATCTGAAAACTAAATTTTCAACTCATTTTTTCATGCAACGATGATAATTGATAACATATCAATTTTCTAATGTTCCATAATTGTAAAGTTATTGAATTTCCGTTTTTTTGTGTTCGGTAGTAACCGGTTTCAAATTAACGCCTGTTCATCACTGTATGAACGAATATATTTAATAGAACCTTTAAAAGTTTACTCCATCTTTGATATGAAATGCATAATTTGTGATAAGATTGTTAAATAAGATACCGTTTGTTGTTTCAATAACAATAAATGGCCAGCGGATAATTATCATTGATACTACTGATACTTGATACTAATTATCATAAATACACTGATACTGACTGGGACATGTATTGTTGGAGTCGACGATACTCAATGATTTGAAGTCAGATTAGGACCGAAATGCAAAATCTTTGCAATTTGCAATATTTTTATAACTTTAAATTTAATTTCAGTTTCCTAATTAAAGTTATCATTAATACATTTTACTCTAACTTATTCTATGATAATAATTAAATTAGTCATTTTTCAATTTCCAATTAAATTTCAACTAATTACAACAGTAACAGTTAGGTTGATTGTTAGCCTTCAAAAAGCATTTCTTCTAATCTTTGCATTTAGGAAATTTTTATATTTCAAATTTTTTAAATTGTTATTTTTGAATTTTAAAATTATATTACTTTTTGAAAGGGTTTAAAACAAATCGTAAATTTAAATTATTACTTATTACTAATTAATAATTTAAATTATTACTTATTAATTTAAATTATTATTTTAATTAATCAATCAAGCAAATATATATGTATATATGTAAAATATGAGTCACAATTGACGATGATATTATTGATAGTTTTGTAAACTTTATAAACTTTAAATATTTCCATGAAATTTCCAAAAGAAACCGGTCCTTAAGGAAAACTTAATCCCTAATGTATGATGAAAGCAAACGCACAGACACACACACACATAGGCATACACACAGACACATACATACAGACACGTACATCCACACACATATACATATACACACACAGAGACACGCACACATGCACACATACACACATACATATATATACATATGCATGCATACACACATACACACATGTACATACATATATACATAATAGATAGAAATGTGGAACATTTGAGACAACAAAAGCAAACGACTCAATTTGGCAGGCTAAGCCCAGTCCGTCTGTTTGGGGTTGTCCACAGAGAAAAGGCTTTCATTCTTTAGTCCACTGAATTGGTCCAAATATAAGTAAGTTGCTGGCCTTATCTATTCCTTTTCTGGCCATCGATAAATTTACGAATAGTCTAATTTCGTTCATCACAAAATTACATTATCGTATAAAAAGTTAATTTTATTTGAAATTATTTACCTTAAAAAGTTTAATTACTAATTAGGCCTAATTTTAAATTCTTCTCAAATTTGTAAACGAATAAATTTTAATTGAAATAGTTTATCATTTCATACTTTTTTCGCACAGTTTATTGTTACATTATATAATGTTAACTTAAGTTTGATTAATTAATATTTTTCATTTCAAAAAATTTTGATTAAAAAATTTTATTTGCCAATTTTTGCTTGCTCTTTTTCCTATCTTTAGAGAAATTAATTAATTTGATAAGATCAAATCACCATTATAATTTAGATCAATGAGATTATCAAAAACCGTACCTATCAGCTGCCTTCCTTAGATATTTACTAGATTTATCTGATAGAATGATTGCTGCTTTGATATAACTTCAACGTATCTTTCAACTATTTTAGTGTTATTTTTTGAAACAATGAAAATAAGTCTCATTGCAAATAATAGCTTAATAGGAATTGTATTTGTGAATATGAAATTTAACAATAATAATTTCTTATATAATTGCTTTACAAGAATGGCCAAAGATAGGCCAGAGCTAGGCCTGAAAATTATATCAGATATAATTTATGTTTCAAATATTATTCCCTTTTTGCTTTATCAAAATATGATTGTTATCTTTTGAAATATTTTTTGAATTGAACTTTTTGTGTATAATATATAATTTAGAGGATAAATCTTCACTATCAATTATTTCAATTACCTTTTCCTACTTTACCGTAAACACTCACAAATTGTTTCGTTTTAGAATCTTCAACCTAAAATGATTAAAAAAAAGGCATACACTCAAAGTTCACAATCAAAATTGCCTAATTATTTATAGCTTTAATTTGGATTGAAAATAAAGACAACAGTTTAATAGCTAATATAACATTTTGATCTGTAACATATTTGCTAGAGATAATTTGAATGATTTTAAATTATTATCACAATTTAATCATTTGATTTCAAATAATGATTATAGTACGATTTCATGCTATCTTAATATAATTTCTCATTTATCATCGATTATTCTACAGGTATTTCATGCCGATTCTCTGTTGCTATGCAAAACGACGTCGTGCAAGTGCAACAGCTAAATCACCTGAGCAATACAAAGTTAATATTTTCGTTCTTTCGTTTTAGCTTATTTGATCTTTGAAAGTTTTTAATGAAGTTGAAATATATTAAAACTATTAATCAAAATGACTGAATGATAAATTGATGAATCGAACATACATTTCAGCTTCTCTGCAATATACTGTAATGATTAATTGCATTACGTTATCATTTTCTGCAGCTTGCAATCATATCAAAAAAAAAAAAAATGATAAATTACTGATTTTATAATAGTGAAAATAATAGTGAAATTTTATAATAGTGAAAATGATACAATAATGATTTTATAATAGTGAAAAATAATGATTTTATAATAGTGAAAAATAATGATTTTATAATAGTGAAAATTTCAAACTTAATGAAAATATAATTATTTGTACAAACAGAAAGAAAATGCATTTCAAATATTTTATTTAAGAAATTCTATCATTTTTGCTATTTTTGACTAAATTTCAACGGAAGATTTTGTTGCTCTTAGCTGGCAGAAATGTGACAGTTGGTGTTCAATTGGGGAAAATTTATCATATTGATCAAGTAGAGATATTTTTGAGAAAGATTTAATAAATCATTATTAGTAAAGGTAAATTAATTAATAGGGTTAAAAATAACATTGAATAAAATATTTCTAATTAATTACTACCTAATTACAACTATTTTGTTTAATTTAAAATTCTTCAAAAAAATTAGAATATTGAGAAAAAATTATTTTCAAAAATATTGATGAAAATTTTTCTTGCAAAATTGAATGTTTCATTTCAGTAATAATTATTCTTACTAAAATTATATAATAAATAGATCAAAATTTGTAGCCATTTATTATGTATTGGTAGAAAATGAAATTCAAATTAGATTTACGGATCAAATTAAATTTACGGATTATCATGAAATAGTCTCAAATGTTGGCAAAATTTTTTCAGCGAGATATATTTGGTATGAGATTAGCAAGATTGGATGAATTTGAAAGTTTGACACCGTTAATGGTCGTATCAGGTGGTAATAATGAAACATCATCATCTTCACATCGTCATCGTTTTACGACAATCATTTCACGAAGTCCACCACCGCCAAGATGTCCAACCAATGGAAAAACAATGATCGTTCCATTAAATTCTGGAAAAGGTTCATTTCGATCATTATTTGTAACAAAGCAATCCTCATGTCGAAAAAAGAGGAAATCAATTTTTGCTTGAATTTAAGATACAGTTTTAAAATTTCAATCTGATATAAGATTTTGTTTATAATTTATTTCACTCTAATGATTCATTGCTTAATTAATTCATTTTAATATTCTGAAATACTAACTTAGCCAAAACTAATTAGCATTAGAATGTGTTTTGATTAATAATTGTTGTTAATAGATTTGTATTAAATTTTATAAACTACAAACTTACTCTAATTGCCTAATTAATTATTCTTAGTTTCTTTTAAATTAAACCATTCATTTTTCTTATTTCATATGGGTACAATATTTCATCCAATTTTCTCTACTAAAAGGAGAAAATAGGGAAGAAGAAGAGATTTGAATTGGAATTGAAATATTTAAATGAAAAAGACAATTATTAATTTCCCTTGTGAAAATGCTAATCTCACTTACTATGATGAAAGATAAAATGGGAATGAATAAAATAATATAATTTGATTAATTTCAACAAATAAATAAATCGATTGGTTAGAAGGAAAAATGAGAGCGATATGTAATAATTTCACTCTATTCTTAAGCATACCAAAATTTTCCATCTGAATAATTTTCAGAAATTTAAAAAATTGAAATAATTGAGATGACAGATTATGCTCCTAATTTAATTAATAAAATTTGTGCAAAAATAAGATTTCAAGAAATGAGTAAAACTGTAAAATTTCGTCTGTCAATAGTGAATATCATTTGTTATTACTTCTTTTCATTTTATTTCTTCTTATCTTTTAATCTTTTTTTCCTGTTATTCGTATCTCACTGATTTATATTTTGAAAATTTCAATATATGTTAAGTGATGCGAAAGCTTTTTTAACTGTAATAGACTGTAATGTACGAGAGAAATTTAGTTCTTGATTTAAATTTATAGTTTTTATTTGGCTTTAAAATCTATCAGCATATCTGTAAGCAACGAATTCTATTTGCTTTTAATTAATAAAAGGAAATTTAGCTTCTGATTAAGATTTAAGATATTTATTGATACGGCAGATAGCGGATTTTATTTAATGGATCATTTTTTTTTTTGATTCAAAAAGGTTTTCAGGATGCGCACCATTTGCACCAATGCTTGCTGCACCTAAGACTAAAGGTAGATCATTCGAAAGTGATACCACAAATGGTTTCAGTACGATAATAGAAGATAATGAAAATATCCCGATATCTTCAAATCTGGATAAATCTGATGCAGATTTTATTTCCATTGATCGAGTTTGTTTTTATCAAAAAAAAAAATATTTCGATACCATAAAATTTTATTAATTTGAATAGTAGAAAAATTTTACTTTGATTTTAGACCACTATATCGTATTTGGAACCAAGACAGCAAAAACATCAACAATGTGAATGCGGTATATCAAAGCCGGATAAAGTGCCAATCTTTGAAGTACAATTAAATTTTTTAAATTTTTGGAATGCTACTAATTTCTACTTTTTATTTCCACTTAGCGATTATTTCAGTTACCAACTCCAAGCTATGCGCCACCACCATTACCTACACTTTTATCGCATTCACCACGACGTAAGTTTTATATTATAATATATAATATATAATCCGTTTTTAATCTTTTGCATTTTTTGTTAGTTTAACAAATTTATTCAATGATTGCAACATCTTGGTGAATTGAGTAAAATTTATGATACTATTTTCTTTGATTCATTTCTTGACCAAATCAGTAGAAATTAAATTATCTATCGGATTGATCAATAAACTCTTTTATTTTCCTTTCTTTGAAATGTAAATAAATTTATCTTTACTGCAAAAGATAGTAATTTTTTTCTGTAAATTATTAAATGTAACTTTAACAATGTTAGTGTTTTAGTTAATTATGTATAAATCATAATTAAAGCAATAGGAACGGGTAAGGAAATCTATGGATAGAATTGAAACAGTATTTAATAATTTTAGTTAATCTACGAAAAGAGTTACCAGTGGTTAATGAAACGGGCAGTACTCCCGATATTAATAATGATACGAAGACGAAGAAAAGCCCAAGCGTTAATTCAATGAACTCACTTGGCAGGTAGGGTTACACCTTCGCTATTTTATGCAAAAATCGATCACTTCACTTCATCATTTTTTAAATAGGCTTCTCTTTTTTTTTGCACGTATCAGCAGAGTAAAAATAAAACATATAATAGACCTGGTTGTTTAAATTATCAAATTAAATCAGTGTTGAAATATATTACAGCCCGCAAGATTCATCGTTTAGCATGGGATCACCGTTGGATACAAGTGCTTCCATTAGTGGTAGTTTTTGTGGTGAAGGAGAATTGAATTCAACCGAAAATGGACGAATATACTCTCTTGAAACAGGGAAGTTTATAAAAATTTAAAGAAAGAAATTATACAGGAAGGAAGAGGTAAAACTTTTAATTCAGTGATACTCAGATATAAATGCTGAAGTGTAAAACTGCGGAAATTTCTTTTGATTCTATTTATGATATTTAAAGTAAGATTTAAGGATAATTTTTAATTCCAATTTAAAAACAAAAGGATTACTGAGATGAAAGCGAAATTTAAAGAAAAATGTAAAACATAAACTTCAAAATATTTTAGGCTTACAACGACGATTTGATATGGAAATTTATGGATTTTCTCCAGAATTAGATTACTCAATATCCGAAGCAGATTCACAACAAAAATATGTTCTTCATCGGTTAGTTATTAAAATTTTTCGTCTATTCATTTTTGCCATCAAATATTACGATATATCAAAACTTATTCTTTTCCTCCACTGGGTTTATATTTACTTAAAATGTATACTTTCTTTAGGTATATCCCAATAAAATATTTGGTTGAAAATAAATGAAATATTATATTAAATAATTAAATAATTACAATTAAATAATTAAAAATTAAATAATTAAATAATTACAATTAATCTTTAAGTATTTTTTTTTGGTCGAATTAATTGCCGAATTTTCAGAATAGAAGAAGAATCGGAGCAAAATGGAGATATTGAGACAACCGGTATAGTAACAAGTCGAACACTCGATTCGATCAAATCAATCTTTTCACATTCAAATCAAGTTGATTCGCAATATAACATTATTATTCCTCATTCTATTTCTGAACAGGTAAAATTTTAAGCTTTAATCTTTTTCAATGATTAAAATTTTAAAAGAAATCAAATTTTATCAGGTATTCCGAAAAAGCTTTTTCACTAGAAAGCTTAACAATGCTTTAAGTGTAAATTTTAAAAAACTAAGAAACGAAACTAAATTTAAATTTAAATTGCCTAATTTGTAAATTTCAATGATATCCAAAAGCTATGAAAGATTGTTTTATTCTGTAAATTTCAGTTTGAACTGATGAATTTTCGTGAATGCCTGTGATGAAACAAATTGATACTATGTCTATCATCTTCTCCTCTTCCCAAGCAATAAAATTATTTATTTGAAATGAAATAATTTGAATAAAAGTTGTTCAGAAATGAAATGATTCAGCTACTCTGAAAAATTTATCAAATAACATGATAAAAGAATTAATCAAATTTTTCTAAGATATAAATTTTAGTTGATAATCAAAAAGAATCATGGTGATACGAGCTGTACTAATTAAAACTTACAATACCGAACAAAACTTATTCAAAAAAAACTTATTCAAGTTTTAAGGACTAGTCTGGATTTCGGATTACATCTTTAAAAGTGATGAAAGTCTAATATTGAATCAGGTTGATGATTATTGTAGTGTTTAGTTTTATCGGATATCGAAAATTTGATTTCAATGTAAGAAATTTGATCTCATCGAAGTAACCGAAGATGACAACGTTCGATTAGATAATGATAGGAAAGATTAAAAAGAATTGGAGACGAAAAATGGAAAGCAACAAAATCATTAACTATAGTTTACAAATTCTAGCACTGTAGCTTATTCAGTCATTCTATGCAAATATACATATATCATTATAATCTATAGCTCTTATCATTATAATCTATAGTTCTAAAGTAATTGATTATATATATTGGAATTAGCTCTAAAGTAATGGATTATATATATGTTGGAATTAAGAAGAGAGAAGAAAGAAATAGGCCTTTTCAACAAACGATAGCTAAATGATTAAATTATGTTCCATCAAAAACTTTATATAATATCAATTGATTTCTTCATGTTGTTTATTCTTCAATAAATCATTTTATCTCTAATACATTTTCAATTTAGATTTTATAAGCTTACTAAAACAAATTAAAGAAGAAATGAATTAAGATTATATAAGAGATAAAGGGAGGAAAATGATTAGTATAAACAGAATGAAATATTTTATTAACTTTCATTCCTATTGCTTCCATTAAATAAATCGATGGGACTATTTAAATTGAATTACTATTTCAATTTATATCTCATTTCTTTTCCTAAATTTTTCTACAACTGTAAAAATAAAGAATATATGATATATCCAATTGATTCATTCACGTTTAATTTTCTAAATGAATGATATTGAAATGATACGTACATATATTCCAGTCGTTTCTTTTTCTTTCAATTAATTATTTTATATTACATAACATTTATTTATAGAATTGAAAATTTTAATTGCAATTTTTTTTGCATAAAAATAAACTTGTCTGATATTTCAGCTTATTTAAGCTTTTAAATAAGCAAATTAGAGTGAATTTTTCTTCTTTCCTTTCTTAGCTATAAGTTTACAAGCTTATAGCATCGCTAAATGAAAATGCTGCAAAAAGTTAGTACTTTGAATAAACAACCTATCAAACTTTCTTTCAACCATTAATCATTTTCCTGAAATTATTATTATTATTATCATCATTATTATTATTGTTATTATTATTATTATTATTATCATTTTCCTGAAGTGCTCATTAACAAAATTATATTATCATTGTTATTAACAAATAAGTGAAATTTTTTCTTCTGTTATATGCAGGCAAAAGAAACGACGTCATTTGTTTATAAAATCCAAATAAATTATTTTAACAATGGATTGCATATGTGTGTATGTGTATGTATGCATGTATGTATGTGTGTATGTGTATGTGGGTATATGAGAACAATCTCGAAAATGTTATTATCAAAATTGCTGACTCTTTTTTGCAAGAATGTCCATATTTCCATTCAATATATACATATATATATATATATATATATATATATATAGTTAGTATATAAATAACTTAATATAAGTATAGTGATAATAGCTATCTGACATATATTAACTTCATATAAATATAGTAATATATATATACTAACTTAATATAAGTATAGTGATAATAGCTATCTGATATATACTAACTTTATATAATGTATAGTAACAATGATAATAACTATCGGACAGTTTCTTCCATTCATTTATTTATTTATTATTTCATAAATTTAATAAAAATTTAATCAGTTAAATTGATTAAATTTCGATGCATAAAAACGGTGTATTTCTTTTATTACATAAACAAAAAGTATTAAGGAAAAAATTGATTGAATTATAAAAATGCAACGATAGGAAATAATATATTAACTTTTGTTTAGAACAATGAAACAATTCTATTTCATTGCCTAACCTATTTCTACGTGACAGCCGGCTTTATATGATTCAGTAGAAATTGAATGAAATTCATTTATGAAATTCTTCAAATGCTTGTTCCATTTCAAAATGTTAATTTTCTTTTCAATTCAAATTATTCAAAATTGTTGAAATTTCGATTAAACTATTCAAAATTGCTTTTTTTCCTTTTTAAAATAAATTTGTCGTTATTCTTTCATTTTCTTTTTCAAAATTTTGCTTTGTTATTTTTGATTGTTTCTTTTTTCATGCAAAAATTTTGTTCATTTTATTCAACTTTAGTTAGATGGATATTTGCGCCGATATATGATAGTGCTTTATCTGTTAGATGGATATTTGCGCCGATATATGATAATGCGCTTGTTGCAATCATACGAAATAAGCGCACTATCATATTTGCGCAAATAACCATTTATTGTTGGAAAAATAAAGCAAAAATAATTATATCAACAAAAACTTGATCTCATAAATACTCATAATAGTTTAACGTTTTTATTAAACGAACTTTATAAATTAAAAAATTTCAATTGTCATATTATCATCGGATAATTCATATTATCATCGATGTATTTTTAGGTTTTCCACACTTCAAAACTTAGAAATGTCAATGAAGGAAAGTTTTTCCATTGATTGTTGTGTAAATTTAATGGGATATAGGTGAAGCAAATTATCATCTACCTCATATTTCTTTTATCATTAAGAAATGATACTCTATGGTCTTTCGTGTTAAATTTAATATCTGATTAATTTGTTATCAATTTTAATTATCCAAAAGTTTTTCATAATAAACAAGCTTTTGGAAATAGTTTAAAAATATCTGTTAAAATAAAAGTGTCTTGAGTGATACTTGAAGGATTCTGATAATTGGCCTTTAAAGCTTTCATAGCTAAATTGCCTGATCGATAATATTCGATCGAAATAGTAGAAATTGTCTATTTGAGATATATGAGAATAGAGCTTTTAAAAAATTGACATATATATATATATATGAGTAATCATTGCTATATATGACTAATCATTACATAGAAAGGAAGCAAATTTCCGGAGATTTGATTTCTCGCTTTGATGAAGGCACTTCACTTCAGATTTCTTTTTTCAATTGACGTTATTCTGCATGCGAAGCTGTCAGTAATGATTTGTTGAAAAATTTTGACGTAGTGCAATTCGTCTACAAGTAAGTTTATACACTGACTGATTATTGCTATCAATAATACATTTATGCTAATAATGTCAATTAATCAATTTTGAAATCTACCACTATAATAAAGTAGCTCTTAGATCATTATCAATTCTCAATAATAATAATAATACCTATTATCTATTATCATAGAAATGAAAAGATTATTATCAATTGTTTATAATAATTAGTAGTGAAAAAGTTTATTATCAATTCGCTATGATAATTGATAGCAGTAAAGAGATTATTATCAATTCTCTATGATAACAGATAATATTTTCATCCATTTTATTTCCTTTTAAAAATTTAAAAATAAATTTATTTCATAAAATTATTTATGACAAATTTTCCGCAAAAAAAAAAATGAAAGAAAATATTTTTTTAAAGTAAATAAAATTTTTTGTTTTAAAAATTAATTTAACTTTGTTAGAAATAATATATACCATAAAATAATAAAATTTTAAACAGAATGTTAAGAGTGACAAAGAGTAAGTAAATAAAGTCACTTCCTCCATTTTCTCTTCTTTTTTTCGTGATGGAATTTAAAAAGCGAGACGAAATATTTTGAAATTCGTTCTAAAAGCTTTCTTTCTTTCCTTTCAAAAAAGAAAGTAAATAGCACTGCTGTCAAGTATTTCACGTATTCCTTTCCCTTTCTAACTATTTTAGGATTTCAATTTATCATTTCAACTGCAAAAAAATTTTCCTACAAAATGAAATGAACTTTTTACATTACAAATATATATGATATGATCGATCTGTATGCAAAGCTTTTCTTTTATTTTCTTTTTTTTGAACAAAAAGAAGAATCAAAAGGAATTAAAAGAAGTTTGTTTGTTAGGGAAAGTTTAGAATATAATATCTGTGTTAAATTTATTTATGATAAAATAATGGTTGAAGAAAATTTTTCTGCAAGATTAAATGAGCACAAAACGATCATAGCAGAAGCAATTTAAATTTTACTAATTTAATGAAATTAGCTATATCATTCGTTTTATGCATTTTTTAATGAATGATACGAATACTTCGAATCCTTTGTTAGATATTTGACGAGAAAATGCTATTAGTGAAAAGATGGAAAAATTATTTTGTAAAAAATTTCAAAAATATTTTCAATCATTCTGAAAATTTTTTTTACCTTACCTTATCTTACCTTATCTTACCTTCTCTTACTTTACCTTACCTTACCTCACTTTGCCTTACCTTACCTTACCTTGCCTTACCTTACCTTATCTTACCTTACCTTATCTTATCTTATCTTACCCTACCTTACCTTATCTTATCTTACCTTACCTTACCTTATCTTACCCTACCTTAACATATCTTATCTTACCTTACCTTATCTTACCTTACCTTACCTCATTATCTTATTAAAAATTCAAAGCAAATTTTCTCTTTTCTCACTTTTTTTTTAATTGAAAAATACATTATTGATGTTATACATACCTTTTAATAAAATAAGTTTAAAAAAATTTTCAGAATCTAAATTTCAGAATTTTTTAATAAATAATGTGAAAAAGGTTAGTTCGATCATCAAACTTTTTTCTTTACTAATTAACTATTAATGAACCATTTATTTTACCTTCTCTTTTTTAATTATTTCCGTTTCTTACCTTAAGATTTTTTATATAATTTTTCATTTAAAATAAAAAAACTTTTTTCTTAAAATGCAGCAAATTAGAGAAAGTTTCTCTATCAATGATAATATTTTAACTTTCTCTATCAATGATAATATTTTAACTTTCTCTATCAATCATAATATTTCAACTTTCTCTATCAATGATAATAATATTTGAACTGATTGATTTAAATATAATAATGAAAAAATTTTAAAACTAATATATGACAAATAAGTAGAAATGCTGTTGAGCGATCATCTCAACTTAAAAATAAAAAAACTTTTTGATCATTTTTAATATTTTTAAGCTGTCAAAATGAGGATTGATCACTTCCGCACATTTCTTCTCTTTACCCAAATTTATTGTTGATCTTAAATTTTAAGCTTAAAAATTTAGTTAAATTAAAAAACTTTAGTTTTATATATATATCTGTTAGTTATATTGAAAAATAGATTTACAATATTTCTTTTCCTGTTTTGTTAGTAAATTACAATTAGTACTACTTTTATCACTTTCATAATTAATTTTTTATATATAATTAATAATTTTAATTTATCATTACTACTGATTTTAATAGTATTAATATCACATTAAATTGAAAGAATAAAATCTAATGAAAAGTAATTTATAATTGTATGGATTTAATTCATTTAAACAATGAATGATAGAGAGGTAATTAAGATTATTAGTTATGTTAAAATAATGCCAATTTTAATATCTGAAATTGATATGAAAATATCAGATGGAATATGAAATTGAGATCTGATAGATATAGAATTGAAATGAATATCTGATAGATATAATGGAATTGAAATTGATATGGATAATACTTACTGTTGCAAGCTTTGTCAAATAAGAATTTTTAACATATTTGATTTACAATTTTTATTAATTTGTACTTGAAATATTAATCATTAGTTATTTATTTTTAGATTAATTATTTATTCGAATATCTGTCGATGTTAAAAATATTTGTTATTATTGATTTTACCATTTAAATAAACAATTTATAAAGTTTTAAGTTTTCCAAACTAACAACAACATCAACTTTTCATTCTCAATAGAAAAGGTGACTGACATTTGTTCCGACATAATCAATCAACATAACTTTGGACAGAAACGCTTTTATGATGAAGAGCGCAACGAGCACAACGTTTCTTTTAAAATGCTAATCGTGTGGAAATCATTAATAGCGCGACCTAAAATTATCCATCCAATACTATTTATGCTAATTATGATACTATCAGTAACTGATATTTCATGGGCTTGGAAACAAAAAAAGAAACCTTGGTGAGAATTTTCAAATATTTAGATATGACATTTCTGAAAATGAAGAATTAATTCGAAAGTAGCCCACTAATTAGCTGCAATATTTGAATTTACCTATTAATTAAAATTAATTCAAATTTATTCAATAAAAGAATTCACTATTTTGCTACCACTCTTTAGCAAACAGATGGCCTTTAATAGACGTACAACAAATTATCATTCATGGAGAGAACAGATGACTATTTGTGAATTACTTGATAATTATGATCCTACCGTACGACCTTCCGGAAGAATGCCTAATAATGATCAAAGTAAGCTTTTTTTTTAAGTTTTTGAAATATGATAATGGTTTACTGTATTATGCAAACTTTTCTTATGATTGTTACTGTTGAAAAATTTGAAATTATGGAGGAAAAATTGGAATGAATTTCAGAAGGACCAGTAATTGTATGGACAAGTTTAGAAATACGTTTTATTGGCGCAATTAGCGAACGAAATATGGTAATGCTTCATTTTGAATAGTTTTATTTAAATTGTTATAGTCAAGCTAATATGGTCAATAGTCAATATGTCATGGTCAGTATACTATAGCCATGCAATATTATATTTCAATATCTTCCAGTATATATTTATATTTAAGGATTTTAAGTTTCTTCTTTTTAACATATAATACACAAATTATTTTGTCGAAGATACTGGTTACCTGATCACCTTTAAATTAATTCAAATTTTCCCTTTTTATAAATCAAATGCAAAAATGCACCATTTTTTCGTAGGAATTTGTTGCACAATTTCGTTTTCAACAAGAATGGTTTGATGATCGTCTTCGGTATACAGATCATAGTGATTTTCGTAATTTTGATTTCATTCATATTGCTCATGATCAAGTACTCTGGATTCCTGATACTTTTTTCCAAAATGAGCGAAATGGACGGTATCATATGTTGGATCAGGTTGTTCTATTGATAAATCTATTGATTGAATCTATTGATAAATTATCAATTTGTATTTATTTTATTTTATATTCATCTTTATCTTTTTCTAATAAATTTAGTTTAGAGGCAAATTATCTCATGCTCATTTCATTTCATCCAATAATATCATCATTCTTTTAATTTTAAATATTTCAAAAATATTATTTTCAGGAGAATAAATTTATCAAATTACGCTCTGATGGAAAAATTATTTACAATCGCAGGTTATCAGATTATTATTATTATCTTAAAAAAAATTATCACTATTCATTAAAGATTGAAATTAAAACAATGTATGGATTTCAGGTTAACGTTAATATTGGCATGTCAAATGAATTTAATTCGGTATCCTATGGATGTTCAACAGTGCCTTATCGATTTTGCTAGTTGTAAGTAGTTGTAATTAACAAGCAAAACAAAAACCTAACAATAAGTTTGTTCATCAATATTTCTTCCTTTCTTCCTCTTTCTCTCTCCCTCCCTCTCTCTGTCTATTTCCTATTTTAAATGGATTATAGAAAATATATTTTATAGATGCATATACAACAAGTGATATTATCTATAAGTGGGATCATACAGCAATAACAATTGATAAGAATGCTAATAATGCTTTGCCGAATTTTCGAATCACTACCTTTGAAAATAAATCCTGTGATAGCACCACGAATACAGGTAATTTATATTTCTTTCATCATTGCGCATTCTATGAGAGATATATACGCATTTTTTTGATATGTCTATTAGCAAACCTTTCAAAATATCGTACTACAATGATAATATTTTAACAGATAATTTAATATTCTCACTTCCTTAAATGCTAATTTCATATTTAATATAAAATAATTATTAAAATTAATTTGCATATCTTTCATTATCATAAATTACTTCTATTCTTTCAACATTTATCAATCAAAATTAACTAATTATATAAGCATAAAATTTAGTAAATTATTTCATCAAATTAGCAATATTTATCATTGAAAATTTTTTGCTATGTTAATTTAAGAAAAATTTCAAATTAAAATTTCTCTTAAATTAATTTTAATTTCAGGAACATATAGCTGTCTTCGGGTGGAACTTAAGTTAACACGTGTTTTCTCTTTCTTTCTCCTACAACTTTATATTCCATCAACAATGTTAGTTGGAGTATCATGGGTATCATATTGGATTGATTGGAAAAGCACCGCTGCACGTGTACCTCTTGCAATTGTTACCCTATTGACGATGATCACCCAATCAAATGGTCAATTCTTTCATTCAATCATTCTCTTAATTAGCTATTTATTCAATTAAATTATAAACTTCTAATTTCCAATAGACAATTGGAAGAAATTATCAAATATTTCCTATTTTTATATTATTTAAAATGGTTAATTAGAAAGAAAGCTTTTGTTTTCGTTTACTAATTTTTTGAAAATTAATTAATGAAATTATATCATACCTAAATATTTTTCAATTTTATTCAATTTATTAATTGCTAATTATTTATTAATCTAAAAAAACAAAAAAATTATAATGATATGCAAAAATTTCGACGTTTTTTTCCGCACAACATGCATATTTTCTGCATTAAATTCAAAATTATTAAATTAAATTTATTGTTTTTTTTTCTGATTAAATTTTATAGAAAGAATAATAGTAAAAATATTGAATTATTTATTGCAAAAAGTTAACTTCCGTTGATTGATTATTTATTTGGCATAAAAACTTCTTAAATTATCCCTTAATTGAATATGTCAAACTTTTTCAATAGTGACAACAACATAAAATATAAAGCTTTTTAAAGTTGAAAATTTAATTATGTTATATTGAGGAGTGTTGAGTTGCTAGAAGTGATTATAGCATAAATAACATCCTTCTTCTACATTTCCTACTTTTATAATTTGCATTGGATAGCATAGTTAACAATAATTTTAATTTTTATTGCTAAGAATATGAATGAAATTAATTACCGCAATATCATTCGTTTAATTTAAACATTAAGAGTATTCAATTTAAAAACATATGAAATTTTATATGCTTTATATTTTTCTATTAAATATTAATTGAGGTGAAGTTGCTAAGTGGCAAACATGCAATTCATTAATTATACAAAATTTTTTAAAACAAACAATCATATTAATCTTACTCATTTAAACAGAATATAAACAATGGAAGAAAGTATGGAAAAGTTAGCATCTAAGCAACAACTTAATGTTTCGAAATATTAGAATAAAATTTTATAATTTCAATCTGTTGAAAATTTAGAGAAAGAGAATTCAAAAATTCAATCCATTAAGAAATTAGAATATCGAAAGAAGGCAAATTATTATATTGTTTTTATTTTTAGCAATTAATTCCAATTTACCTCCTGTAAGTTATACCAAAGCTATCGATATATGGATTGGTGCTTGTGTCGGTTCGTCTTCTATATTACTAATCTTTTCAGTCTTCTCATTTCAAATCAACAAATATTCATTCAAACTCATTAATACTTATTTTAATGAAATTTCAGTATTTATATTTGCATCATTGATCGAATATGCAATTGTGAATTATTTCGGAATTTTCGATGAACATCGGTTATACGATTTATACGTTATATGATTTAAAAAAAAAAAAAAATAACACTTCCTAATTTAATTCATTATTTAAAACAAAGAAAATCACAAATGATCATTTCTTCGAATATTCTTCATTATTACTAATTATTCTTATCGTTTAAAACAAAAAATCATTTATTGATTATTTAACGATAAAATGATAAATCAAAAATTTTCCTTAATTATTGAAAAACAAAAAAGATGAAATTTCAAATATCTTAAAATTATTTTTAATTACTTTTAAGTGAAGAAATATATTTTCCTTTTATTTCCTCTTTGTTTTATTCATTTCATTTTTAGTACCATTCTTTCGATCTTTTTTGAAAGAATTTCAATTTAACTGGTTTTTTAATATCTTAAAAAAAACTTTGAACAAACTGATAATCAGAAGAAGACAATAATTTGAAATGATCGAATGATAGGATTTTTAAAACAAAAAGCTAATCAATTTTCTGATTTCATTTTTTTTCAAAATTGTTATTAATTCTTTTCTTTTAAGTAATTATTGTTCATTAATGTGTTGAACATTTATCAGTACAATCCAGTTGTTTGTTTCTGCATCATTTCTTTCTCCAATATTTTTGAATTTAATTAAATTTAATTTATCAATAATTTAGGAAAGCACGAATGATGACATCCAATCAAACACGTCTCACTAATATTATCGAAAATGGCCTTTTGTTTAGTCCTCCTATTACCACCTCACCGACATCCTGTTTAAATAGTCCCGAAAAGAAGGTTATTAAGTTTTTTTGTGTTTTTATTTTCTGCAACTCATAAATATTTCTCTTTAAAAAAATTTTTCATCTCATTTATATATAGTAAATTGCTGTTACAAAAATCATTCGTTTCCTTCATTAATTGAAAACAATAAATATATTCTTCTTGAAATTTTAAGAGTTTATTACGACGTAGACGGAAACAAAGTTTTAAAGAAATGAATTATGAATTAATTGATTTCAATTCATCACATATAACACAAAGTCCGGAACCTATTTGGACATTTCAGGTTTGTTCCACATCTCTATATATTCTTGCAGAATTTATGAGCGAAATATTTTTGCAAATGAAATTGAAATGGAAAATTGAATTCATGAAATAAATAATTTGGCATTCTAAATTTCTAACAAATAGACGACGAAAAAATTTGAAGTTTCTAGAAAGTAGGGAATAAATTTTAAAGTGATATATGGAAGTCTTAAAAATCTTAAAGAATATAGAATCTCAAAGATGACAGAATCTCAAGTCTCAAAAAATCTCTAAAAATTTAGAATCCCAAGTATCAAAAATCTCAAAGATTATAAAATCTCAAGTTTCAAAAATCTCAAAGAATAGAGAATCCTAAGTCTCAAAAATCTCAAAGAATAGAGAATCCTAAGTCTCAAAAATCTCAAAGATTAGAGAATCCTAAGACTCAAAAATCTCAAAGAATATAGAATCCCATGTCTCACAAATCTCAAAGAATATAGAATCCCTTAGATGTGCAATTTTTTTTCCCCGTTTTATAGGACGTATCAGATCTTATGTATGTTGGACAAAAGAAACGCATTAAATTAGTACAATGGTGTAATTTATTATCATCATGTAAACGAGCTGAAAGAATTGATATAATGGCCAGGTGATAAGCTTCATTGATTTAAACAATTAATAATAGTTTCCAAATTTTCTAAGAATTAATTTAAGTTTACAATGAAAGAAATACATCTTAAATATAGATTTAATACAAATAACACATTAATGATAATAGTTGTTATCATTTTGATATCGAAATTTGGTATTAAGTATTTTAAATTCATATTAATTATTGTTTCGGATATTCTCACTCAATTAAAATTCTGCTATACCTATGTAATTATTCGTAATATAGCACATTCTTTTTAGTAATATCATATCAATCAACAATGAACTTCAGTTCATTTCATTTCATTTCAGGCTAATTTTTTCATATTATTTCAGGCTAATTTTTTCATTTCATTTCAGGCTAATTTTTCCACTAGCATTTATTTTGTTCAATTTTGCATATTGGAGTATATATTTGGGTGAAATGATAGAGTGAAGAAATGTGCAAAAGTTATCAACGAAAATTAAGATATATCATTTATACAAATGAAATAATATGTTTTAACATTAAAAGATTTTAAACTATGGTATTTTTCATACATAACAATCTCATTTCATATCACAAATGATAAGTGATGGAAATTGGTGATAAGCAAAATTCATTGTAAATTTCTCGATGAAAAAGAGAGAGAGAGAGAGAGAAAGATATCAAAGCTATTGGCCATTTTTTACTTTAATGACAGATTAATCTGTCTATAGAGATGGGATAGGTATGGATTGTGAGGTATAAATGTGTGCAATCATAACAATAATAAGTTAAAGTGAATTATGAAAACTTTTTTAGTAAATATTAATTTTATTTAATATTTCATTTATGGCATTTTTTTTCTCTTTAAGAAATGATAAATGATAAGCTATCATAATTACGAGCTTAATTGCTATGAATATTTTAGAGTTCAAAAAAGTTGTGATTTTATATCGTAATCAGAAGGATATATTATATCATATCTAAACTAAATGATAAATTTAGCATATATATATGAGAAACATTAATTACAGTATTTAATTATAATGAGCTGATATGTTAATATCAGATTAACATTCGATTAGGAAAGCTTTATAAGTGTAGAAGAAGAAATTAAGATAAATTACGATTATAAATTTATCTTGATAGATTTAAGCGGTTATAAATTTAATCTTTATGATATATTAAGCTTGCTTTTATTGATCATTTTAATTGCTTTTCATTTAAATATACATTTAATTATACTTCCATAATAGAGAGAGGGAAAGAGAGAGAGAGAGAGAGAGAGAGAAAGGTATTCAACGATCTTCCATTTTTTATGGTGAATTCCTGTTTTCATAATTTTTCAATTAATTATTTTAATAAAGAAAATTATTAATCAACTCCTGGAAAGTATTTCCTTTATTCATATTAAGCATATGGAAATATTTTATGCGAAAATAATTTTTGTTAAGAAATTTGGATATCATTAAAATTTCCAATATTAATTCATTTCTTGAATTTCTTAAATTATATGCAAATTTGAAGAGTTTTTAAATTTCTTTGCAATTATTCAACAAACTAATTAATTCATTATTCAATTTGAATTATTATTATTACTATTGTTTTTTCTTATTAATTAATAAAAAAATTTTTAAAACAAAGAATTAAGCGCTGCAAAAAATGTTAATTGAAAAAAATTAATTTGCAAGAAAATTTTTCTTCATTTTACTATTTTCAGAGATTATCATCATATTATCATTCATTAATTTATATGAGAAAAAAAAGCAATTTTAAAATTGTTAAATAATTTACTAAATTAAATTACTTACTTTATATGTTCACAATATCGGGCATATACAACAACAATTTACTGTTGTAAATTCAGAAAAAAATAATAATTCAAATTCATAATCGGTAATTAAATAATCGGTAATTAAAAAATTTCCGATTCGATCAGTGCTACACAAATTATTACTTTTGTTTTTTCTTTCTTTGTTGTTAGAATTTTGTTAAATGAAGAAAAGTTTCCTTTAAGAAACTGGTAAAAGCTTTCAAAGGAATGAAAAGAATTTAGCCGATAAAGAAAATTTAGCCGATCATTTCAAAATTTGAATTTTAAGAAGTGAAGAAAAAAAAAAAGGGAATGCCAGGAATTGAATAGAACTTGATAATTTGTTGTTAAACTTTTTTCAACCTTTTTTTTGACAGACATTTTGTTCCTTTAAAGAGAGTGAAAGAAAAAGGTTTCTTCTAAAGAATGGAACTTTATAGGAATGAATTGACAACCATTTATTATGCTTTTAGTTTGATAAGTATCATTTGATAAATGATTACAATTAGTGAATTCATTAAGTATTCAATTAACTTTGATAATAATTTTTATCGGAAAAAGCTTTTCCTATAAAATTTTCATTTTAGGAAAATTATCAAAGTGATAATTTATTGATAAAAAAATTATATGAAAAAAAAAAAACTGTGAGGAAAATATGAAGAAAATTCGCGTATATTTTATTTCATTCATAATTACAATATTTTTCTATTATTTTATCATTATCTTTTTTTTGCATAGAGAAACTTAATGAATAACTTTTAATTGAAATTTTTAAACATTAACAATTGAGTCAATCATGCATAACATGATATGACATGTTATGACATGACATAAAATGATGTGTGACATAATATGATAATGATATAATCTGATAAGATATGATATAAACATGTTCCCTCTGATAACTGTTGACACCATTTAATTATTTCTGCAAAATATATTTTCAGCATTTTGTTTATTTGTCAAATTTGTGTTTAATCAACTCAACGTATGTTTCGCATTGAAGTTGTTTTTCTTCTCTTTCGAACAATTAATAATATAATAATAGCAATAATAATTAATAATAATTAATAATAGTTAATAATAATAATAATCTAAAAATCGCTTCAATACAATCAGTAATGTTAAAATAAAAGGTAATTGACAACCAGTTTTTCTTTACCTTCAATTATTAGGTGTTTTTTTTTTGTTGTTGTGTTTATCATATAATAAGTTTCAATTAAATGCTTATTTGTTATTTATAATTGTTATGTAACAATAGAATTCACAAAACATCTAATAATTGATGACGAAAAACAGGTTGTCAATTAATCAATTAAAATCAATTAAACACTCAAAATTACAATTTTTAGTATTATAAAATTAAGTGAAAATTTGGTGAAAGCTAATGTAAAATTATTATAATGCTATTATT